AATTGAATATGAATCCCATAGGAAATAAAAGAAATGTGTTTTGCCTGCTCACTCATGTTTTCTTTAAATGGTACTTATATTACCAATTCTTCTAGGGTATGCAAACCTTTGAGCACAACTGTATCATTCCATCTTCCACAACCATATCCCAACAAATGAACTCCTTCCCAAGAAAAGATCTGCTAAAGGACAAAAGGGAGCTGTCCCCACAATACACAATTTAAGAAACCAATTAGTACATTCAACAGCATTTTTTATTACATTTTTGTTTCTGATGAAGAATTTGCCAGTTCTGTAATATTTTTTCCACTTTACGGTCTCTGAGATAAATGTTATTTTGATTGTGAAATCACGTTGAGCATAATAATGACTTAACATATTTCCTCAGAAATCCAGCTACAGTACATTCAGGAAGTATTCTTTCATTTTTTTTTGTTTTTGCAGCCTGGTTTAAATTATTTTTATGTTCACATCAAACTACACTCACAACTCCATAATGGTGAAGTACAAGCCAGATTTTTGAACACTTTGCAAATTTATTAAAAAGAAAAAAACTGAAATATCACACAAATATTTAGATGCTTTGCAAAAGTTGATCAATCTGGCCTTTATGACAGACTGGCCAGACACAAGACTCTCCATACTGCAAGACAGCCCTCTCTCTCTCTCAAAAAAAAAAAAGCACCTTAAGGACATTTAGACAGTGAGAAACAAGATTATTGGGTCTAGCAAAATGAAGATTGAACTGTTTGGCCTCAATTCAAAGTGTCATGAGGGGAAAAAAAAATCAGGCACCGCTCATTACCTGGGTAATACCATCCCCATGAAGCATGGTGGTGGTAGCATTAGCATCATGCTTTGGGAGTATTTTTCAGCAGCAGGTACTGGGAGACTGGTTAAGTTTGAGAGGAACTTTTACATAGCAATATACAGAGATATCTTTAATGAAAACCTAGTCAAGAGAGCTCAGGATTTAGACTGGTCCACAGGTTTACATTCCAAGAAGTTAATGACCTTAAGCACACAGCCAAGATAATACAAGAGTTGGGACCTAGCCAAAGCCCACACTGGAACCCAATTAAACATCTCTGGATCCACTTGGAAATGGCTGTCCACTGACTGTCCTTAAGCAACCTGAGAGAGGATCTGCTGAGATGAATGGAAAAAAAACACCCAAATACTTGCCATATAATGCTTTGACTCAGCTGGACAAAGTGTTTGCTGATTTTTGGCTGAATTAAGCCTTTGACAACAGCCATGCAATTACAGGGACTGGACCAAGAACTATTTTAGAGTCCACCGTAGGAGCAAAGGTCCTAGCTCTTAGAGCTTCATGCAATGGGAGATTTCAGAGGATTCCCAGGCAGTTTAATTTATACCAGACCACCCGGGATGTTCAGCAACCGTTGGCACATACTTGGGCTAGGAACCTTAAGGAGAAGACCATTACTACACAACCCAAAGTTTGTTACACCATACTCCAAAAGACTGGAGCCTGTAATTGTTGCCAGTGGTGCTTTAAAGGACCACTCTAGGCACCCAGACCACTTCAGCTTAATGAAGTGGTCCTGGTCCAGCTAGGGTTAACCCATTTTTTTTTATAAACATAGCAGTTTCAGAGAAACAGAGAAACTGCTATGTTTATAAATGGGTTAATTCAGCCCTCAAAGCCTCTAGTGGCTGTCTCATTGACAGCCGCTAGAGGCGCTTGCGTGATTCTCACTGTTTAACACATTAGATTGTATATATTTGAGATTTTCACATGTTATAGCATCTTAATAAAGACTGCTAGACGGTCGAAACCTTGATTTATATGCGTTTGATTTAATATATTTTTTTGTTTACTAAATCCAATGAGTGCTCTCAATTTGTTCCATTTATATATATATATATTTTATGTTTATATATATATACGTATAATTACAATAGTAAATCAATAAAATAAAATATTTTAAATTTTTTAAAATAAATTACATATACATATGTAATCTCATTCTAACTTTATTTTGTTATTAATACATATATTGGTAACAAAATACACTTAGAATGACATTCTATGTATATCTATATATAAAATACAAAAAACTGCAAATAGTTATATATAGATAAATATATATATAGTTACATAAATAACTACATAAGTATACACGTAGAATTTAAATACATATATATGTGTATGTATATATATATATATATATATATATATATAAAAATTCTATGTGTATGCTTAAGTAATATTTTAACATAATGATGTGATTTAAATAATTAAAATTTGATTGACGTGCCTGACAACCCAGGCAGCAAGTGCAGAGAATAAATTCGCACGCGCTATATTTAACCACTGTATCTTTCCAAGACACTATAAAACCTGTACATGGGGGGTACTGTTTTACTCAGGAGACTTCGCTGAACACAAATATTAGTATTTCAAAATGATAAATTGTATTACAACAATGATATATTTAGTAAAAGTGACGTTTTTTGCATTTTTCACACACGAACGGCACTTTTACTGATGATATTATTGTTGTAATATGTTTTACTGTTTTGAAACACTTATGTTTGTGTTCAGTGAAGTCTCCCAACTATAACAGTACCCCCTATGTACAGGTTTTATGGTGTTTTGGAAAGTTAGAGAGTCAAATATAAGGCTTGCCTTTCATTTTTTTCACATTTAAATTTGCCAGATTGATTCTGTTGCATTTGAGACTGTATGGTAGCCCAGGAATGAGAATTACCCCCATGATGGCATACCATTTGAAAAAGTAGACAACCCAAGGTATTGCAAATGGGGTATGTCCAGTCATTTTTAGTAGCCACTTAGTCACAAACACTGGCTAAATATTTGTTTTTTTGCTTTTTTCACACAAAAACAAATATGAACGCTAACTTTGGCCAATGCACCATACACTTTCCTGGCCCTTTTGTCCTCTGGTATCCCACTTGTGGAGACACCAGAGACAATTTAAAAGCAAACACAGCACAAGCATCTTATTAAATTTGCTTGCGCTGTGCAGAACAAATTCAGGGCCTTTTTCTAATGCCAGAGCTCTTCAGCGGGGCTCTGCACATTGAACCAACATGCTCACTTTGAGAGGGGACGTGCTTGTCATTAGTGATGACAAAACACACCCTCTCTGGCCCCGCCCCCAGCGGCCAGTGTTTGTGACTAAGTGGCTACTATAAAAGACTGGACATACCCCACTTGCAATACTTTGGGTTGTCTACTTTTGCAAATGATATGCCATCATGGGGGTAAATCTCATTCCTGGGCTACTATACGGTCTCAAAGGCAACATAACCAACCTGGCGAATTTCAATTTGAAAAAACTGAAAAATTGAATGTGCTATATTTGACCCTTTAACTTCCCAAAACACCGTAAAAACTGTTAATGGGGGGTACTGTTGTACTCGTGAGACTTTGCTGAATCCAAATATGTGATTTTTCTGCAGTTAAAGCGAACAGTATTATGACATTTACAGCTAAAAAGTCTACAATTTTTTTTTTTTTTTTAAATCTTAATTTCTCACAGTTTTTTAAATTTTATTCATAATAAATTATGTTTCAAATATGAATAGTTCATGGGAAATTAAAGCCCAGTTTCTCCTGAACAAAATGATATATAATAAGTGTGGGTGCACTTCATTTGAAAGAGGTGAATTACGGTTGAACAGACATATAGCGCAAATACCAGTTTTTGTTTACATTTTGTTTTGATCAGAACATGTACTATTGACTCCGTCCTGAAGGGGTTAATAGATGTGCAGTGGTCAAAAATCTTATTTTATTTTTTATTTTTTTTGCTTTGTCATTATTCGGTGTTGAGTGTAGACTGGTGTGAAAACATCTATAAATTAAACAATTGTAGTATATGTCTGTTACATAAAAAAAAGTTACAAAAATATGCTTTCTGAATGCATGGTTTGTAATATGGAACTATGATGCTGAGGAAATATGGGACTGCAGAACTTGGTAAGATTATGAATATTGTGGTGTAACTGAAAAATGTAAATAAATATATATACACTGCTCAAAAAATAAAGGGAACACAAAAATAACACATCCTAGATCTGAATGAATTAAATATTCTTCTGAAATACTTTGTTCTTTACATAGTTGAATGTGCAGACAACAAAATCACACAAAAATTAAAAATGTAAATCAAATTTTTCAACCCATGGAGGTCTGGATTTGGAGTCACACTCAAAATTAAAGTGGAAAAACACACTACAGGCTGATACAACTTTGATGTAATGTCCTTAAAACAAGTCAAAATGAGGCTCAGTAGTGTGTTTGGCCTCCACGTGCCTGCATGACCTGCCTACAACACCTGTGCATGCTCCTGATGAGGTGGCAGATGGTCTCCTGAGGGTTCTCCTCCCAGACCTGGACTAAAGCATCTGCCAACTCCTGGACAGTCTGTGGTGCAACGTGACGTTGGTGGATGGAGCGAGACATGATGTCCCAGATGTGCTCAATTGGATTCAGGTCTGGGGAACGGGCGGGCCAGTCCATAGCATCAATGCCTTCGTCTTGCAGGAACTGCTGACACACTCCAGCCACATGAGGTCTAGCATTGTCTTGCATTAGGAGGAACCCAGGGCCAACCGCACCAGCATATGGTCTCACAAGGGGTCTGAGGATCTCATCTCGGTACCTAATGGCAGTCAGGCTACCTCTGGCAAGCACATGGAGAGCTGTGCTGCTCCCCAAAGAAATGCCACCCCACACCATTACTGACCCACTGCCAAACCGGTCATGCTGGAGGATGTTGCAGGCAGCAGAATGTTCTCCACAGGGTCTCCAGACTCTTTCACGTCTGTCACATGTGCTCAGTGTGAACCTGCTTTCATCTGTGAAGAGCACAGGGTGCCAGTGGCGAATTTGCCAGTCTTGGTGTTCTCTGGCAAATGCCAAACGTCCTGCACGGTGTTGGGCTGTAAGCACAACCCCCACCTGTGGACGTCGGGTCCTCATGGAGTCTGTTTCTGATCGTGTGAGAAGACACATGCACATTTGTGGTATGCTGGAGGTAATTTTGCAGGGCTCTGGTAGTGCTCCTCCTGTTCCTCCTTGTACAAACGCAGAGGTAGCGGTCCTGCTGCTGGGTTGTTGCCCTCCTACGGCCTCCTCCACGTCTCCTGATGTACTGGCTTGTCTCCTGGTAGCGCCTCCATGCTCTGAACACTACGCTGACACACACAGCAAACCTTGCCACAGCTCGCATTGATGTGCCATCCTGGATGAGCTGCACTACCTGAGCCACTTGTGTGGGTTGTAGACTGCGTCTCATGCTACCACTAGAGTGAAAGCACCACCAGCATTCAAAAGTGACCAAAATATCAGCCAGGAAGCATAGGAACTGAGAAGTGGTCTGCAGAACCACTCCTTTATTGGGGGTGTCTTGCTAATTGCCTATAATTTCCACCTGTTCACAACAGCATGTGAAATTGATTGTCACGCAGTGTTGCTTCCTAAGTGGACAGTTTGATTTCACAGAAGTGTGATTGACTTGGAGTTACATTGTGTTTAAGTGTTCCCTTTATTTTTTTGAGCAGTGTATATAAAATTCCTCTGTCTCATTAGAGATTTTGCCTATTAGATAAAGGAGCAAGATGAGTTGTGAGTGTAGGACTCACCTAAGAGGTTTGCATTGACGAGCCAAGTGAGTTTGCACAATAATGGCCATTGGAGTGATAATGAAAACCTTTTTAAATCTGTATATGGATTTGGGATAGTGCGCAGGTAATTTTATTTTGCTTTTGTTTTAAGTATTCAGGCTGATGGATATCGTAGCCATTACTGCTAATGAGGAGTAGAGGAAGTTTTTGTAAGTGAGAGTTGTAAGGGAAGCACACACAACAGGCAGGGGACACAAGGGGGATAAAGGCAGTGGACACAGGGGGGGAGAGGGCACAAGGTGAGGGGAGATATATGGAGGGACACCAAGAGGTATGGGTATACAGGTATACCACAGGAATATAAAGTAATTTTGACTCTCCTATTGGCTGTTTCTTGTGGCTCCTTTAGAAAAAACAGTGAGGGACAATGTTATATATAGTAACTCAAAACTTACGATAAGTGACTATATATATTTGCATATCTGCATATAGCTTTTTCCATCGCTTTCTCATAGCTGTTTTTAAAAGCACAAGAAGGTGTCACAAAAGATGCATTGCTTATTTTTTAACAAAGTTTTTAATAAGCTGAATAGGTTTATAGGGTTACTCCAACCAAAAACTTGTGATTTCATAAAACACTGTTGTTGGTTGGAGTACTTGATGTGGTATACTGACCCCCAAAATGGCTTAAAAAAAAAAAAAGCTTAAGAACTTACCATTCTAAAATATACACAATGTGTTGTAAGATCGTATTGAAAATGAAGCCTTTTTTTCACGGAGGGTGTGAGAGTCACAGCCAGGGGAAGTGTGGCTAGGGCTACATAAATAGAAACAAGTGATTTTACTCCTAAATGGCAGGTAAATTAGCACGGAGACTGCAAGGCATGATCTATACACCAAAACTGTATCATTAAGCAAAAGGTCTTTTGGTGCTTACATTATCTTTTCAAAGACAACCTTACATATTTGGAGATCCACGTACATTGATAGTGCTAAGGTTTGCCACCACTGGAGTATCTAAATATGGTTTATGTTTACTAGTGTTTAGACAGGTGAAAAGGTTTTTAATAAAAGGACTGAATCAAACATACTTTGGGCAATATGACAGAAATACAAGCTGTGGAAAAGAACCTTGTGGTTGAAGTAAAATCATTTGAGATCATAATATCAGTATTTATTCTGATGTGTTCACATTTACAGCACATTTCATGTTGTACACAATAATAATTTACAGAGATGTATCCTGTTGTCATTTGCTTGACCACACCATTTTGTTTTATCCATGGCGCAATCTCAATGGTATACTTTGCCTTCCTAAATACTCTGCCCTAGGGAACACAGACTGCATACACACAATGCATTTTTCCATAGAACAGACAATTTTGGAATATATGTCAATGAAAAGTTTCCACAACACAATAAAAAGTCTTCCAGGGAAAAGTAACTTGACAAGTGCTATGCAAAGAGGCAGCTATATCACAAGTTTTTAGACTTTTGTTTTCCATTTTGTTTCCTGCGGATATGAAATCGGATGCTTAAAACTAACCATTTACCATGATTTGTTTACCACACGACTGGCACTTCATGAGTTGACCATAGGAATACATTTCAAACCTGGTCTAAGGCTTACTAGATTGCCAACGCTTACACACTCCTTTCAGGTTCACCTTTCCTTAGAAAGTTGGCATATGGCACCTCAGCTTACCCACCCTTAGCACTTAAAGGATATTTACAAAACTAAAGAGTTTGTGTAAATTTTGATATCCTGATCTGCATCTCGGAATACTTTACACAACCACATATTTGCCTCTTGTTGTTCACATACAGGGTTGTGCTCTTTCTGTTCTTTTCATGAATGCGTAAGCGGCCATTTTGGCTGTGTTTCTTGACACATACATGTTACTTGTAATGATAACTATTAAAGTGAAATAAAAGTATCTGTCACGCAGCTACTGCATATCAGAAGACATTTTGATGTATTGAAGGACCATATAAGCAAACTGTGCATATGCTTTGCTAAAGATCTGTGAAAATGCCTTCTGTTTTCCATCTAAAATTCTAATCAGTTCTCTATTAAGTACTAACAATGTTATCTCTAATGAATGGTTTGAATGAATGATGTTAAAATGCCATCACTGACAGATACAGGCTTTGGTCTTCATGTTTCTTCACTGGACTAGCATACCTCTTAATGGATAGCACCATTAATATTCCCTTCACCCAGGAAGCAGCCATGCAATTCATATGACTAGGTACTGCCTAACAAATGTTCTACTATACTTAGTCAGAAGGTACCAGACTGTAAAGCATATTGGTAAAAGAGGTGCTGCATAGAGTTAATTAACAGAGTTGTTTTAGGACTTGCAACATGTGATAATAACACACAATCTATTTCACGTCCAAAAGACAGTATGATGTATGCAAACAACCAACCAACAGAAACTAGTTAATGGTCTGTTAAGACACAAATGCCACTAGTACCACTTCTACCCTTTTAGTTTGGCTTTATCCAAGATCAGATTTAAAATAAAAAAAAAACCTACACATTTCACTCCTACTTCAGAACTATTGACCTCACTGAAGTACGGAGTCACTTTTTTTTTTGTTAAAGATTGATGACACAAGAGAGCCAGCAAGAACCATGTATTTACATATAAATGATAATGGAACAAATGACATAAAATGGCGGATTAATGAGACACAGTGGCACTTTAGAGAGCAAGAGTAAAATAAAACAAAATTATCCCAAACCTTTTGGTATCAATGCTTTGTCCCTTGTCTGGGTTACATTGGTTAAGTGCACACAAATTCAAATAGCAGCATTTAATAAGAAGCCCCTCAAATTAAAAAAGAAAGGGGAAAAAAAAAAAAAGACTATTCCATTTGATATTTTACTTGGGAATTGAGTTTTAAGGATCAGAAGTAAACAAGAAGACATAGTAACAAAAAAATGAAACAATATTTACAGACACAGAAATAAAGAGTCCTAGATAGAGCTAGTCGTGCAGCGATATTCAGAGCCAGAAATGGGAGAATCACATAGCTTGGCAATCTGATGTACACTCCACCAGCACATGAAAGGTTAAGTGCTATAAACTCCACAAGACAAATAAAATGGAAACACTAGCAAATGCTGAAACTCCCACACTTAAACACTTTTGCTGCCAATAGGAGGTGTCAACACACTGCAGTTTTTAACTGCCAACAAAGGGGTTAATCTTCACAGTTTTTTTGCACTCAGTTACCCTAGTATTTACATATAAACCCACCATGTGAGCTTGACTAACCATCTTAAAATACACATTGTCACATTTGAAGCAATGGTGCAAAAGCATCTCCACTACATGGAACAATCCAATACCTTCAGCATATGAGAGGCAGCAGGAGAAATTAAACACAAGCAGCCCAAATTCATGGGCATCTGTGTGTGCCAGGGGAATTGGACGTTCTCCAAACACATTACCCTCCTCAACAAAACAAACTAAACCATAAAAGGGAATAAAATCCTTTGCTGTCTGCTCGCCATTCCAATCTTTTACTGACCAATTGAACCGTGCAGATCAACCCTGAGCCAGCACTCAAAGGTTCAATACAACTGTCTACCACATTCTCCAACACCTACAATAAGTTGTTGGCTTTTTTTAATTTTTTTAATTTTTTTTAACCATAGCTGCAACCAGCGAGTTGCATGGGCAATCTCATTCAATCAGCCGGAGGTATTAGGGCAGAAAAGTAGGCAATTAGAGGAGGGGGTATTTATACCATAAATCCACTTTATAATGCAGGAAAGAGCCTGCCCCATGCAGCACTGTGACAGCAACGTAGGCTGATGTGCTGTCTATTACTGAAGTAAGAGTTCTGGGGCAGGTAACTAGGACTGTAGGTGTGCCTTTCTCTCAAAACTTCATCTTGGCTGCAAGAACAAAAGGAGGAGCTTAAAGCCAGGTCTTCAGCAAGCATTCAGCTCGATGCTGCAGCTAAGGGTTTCTTCAGTTGCTGGGACATAAGTTCCCTTGCGCGTGTTACTTGGATCTGATCATAGCACATGTTGCAAACCAGCACTGGGTCGTACAGCTGCTGGTCTGGAATAGGGAGCTTCAGGTGGCAGCAGCTAGCACAGAAAACATTTCCACAGTTCCTAAAAGAAGAAGATTTCACAATTAGAACATAAGACACCTCAAAGATATATTAAACAGGACTTGAGTCAGAAGAAGTGATAGTCTGGTTTTAAAGAAACACTCCAAGCACCATCACCAGTACTGCACACTGTAGTAGTTGTGGTGCTAGGAGTACCCTGGTTCTTCTAAACTGTTTTAGAATGGTCTAGCTTCTTACCTGGGGTAAAGTGGGTGCTGTTCTCCCTGCACTACTAATGTTGGAGAGATTCCTTTAGCTCTCCTGAAGCTCATGGGCTTCGAGCATCAGCTGATAGCTTTCAGCCAATGAGCTAAGCTCTGTAACATCTGAAATCTTTCTGTCTGTAGAGCTGGAAGGGATCAGTCTGAAGTAGTTGATGCGGAGAGCAGTGCCTTGCAGTTCCAGGTAAGAATTAAAACCAATATAAAAAGACTTGACAGTGGAGTGGGGGCCATGCCACCCCTGGCAATATAACATCTACAGTTATGGTGCTTGGAGTGTTTCTATAATAACTATACAAGTCCCTCTGGCAACATCAGAAAGGGTTATTCCCACTTAAGGACTTGAGTCTTACGAATCTCATTTTTATAGTGCTACTTGCATGTTGTGTTTTTAACATTGTTAATCATTTTCCGTTCGTTTTTTTTTCTGCTTTACATTTTATTTATGGCTAAAAGGTAGTTGTGGTTTTAGAGGTTATTTTTTATCATTATAAATAAGCCAAAGTAATATTAGAGCTGTATAAAAAGTAATATGTATACATCTTTATATTCCACAGTATAAAATGCAATAGACGTGCAGGTAACACCATAAACAATCCTTCCTCCAAAAACAAACAAATTAAAAACCACACACACACACACACAAAAAATACCCCTGCACAATACCACAACAACAAACAAACAAGTAAAGTTTTCTTGTAAAAACAAAAACAAAAACACATTTGGTACAGTAAAGAGAATGGCAACATATTTACAAGATCACTGAATGGATTCTTTACCTGCAGTGGTGTCTACGTTTAGCTAACCAGAATTCACAGTCGCAGTTAAAACAATGTGAAGCCATGTGGTCAGGAACCCACCTTGTGACCTGCAGATAAGCATTGTTAAATTAATTAAATTAGTTGACAATCTTCAGTAATAAATTAAGACCTTAAAAGGGGCACTGTAGGCACAATAACAATTTAAACTCATTGACTGACTTGATATAGTGGTTGGCGTCCTATGGCTCCTATTCATTTAACAATGAATGAGGGTTCCTCGTCAATCACAGCCCAGCCCCCAATGAAAGTTTGGCTAAGGCAGAGATTGCACATTTCCTTCCAGCTATACCAATTCATACCAGCAATTGCTGCTGTGATAGGCCGCAAGTGGTCACAGTCACCCAATGCTGGCCAGGCTTATGTGCCATGGGACTCTAGATAAAGACCCTTTCAGGGGTCGAAACATTGTGGTGTCTCACTTATCCAAATAAATAAAATTAAAGATACTTGAAGTGCCTGGATCCTCTTCCTACCACTGATATCTAGACAGTATAACCACTTCAATAAGATGAATTTAAAGGGCCTGCAGTTTAAGAGGACAAATCGGTTATATCTAATGCAGGTAAGTTGTGATTTTGCCATTTCTGTGTGGAGGTGCTGGACCACAGGCATCCCAGTAAGTGTCAAACCATTCTGACGGATCTGCCTTTTAAACAACGGACCACACCAAGGGAGTCAACACCATAAACACTACAGTGTGTATTTTGCCTAAGGTGTTCCTTTAAGAAACTAAATCCCTCTTAGGCTAGAAAAGACAGCAGAAGAAAGCAAATGGACACAGACAGCAATAAAGAAAGAAAGACTTAATACGCTTTAGGGATTACTCCAAGCACTAGGACTTCTTCAATGATTAGGTCTTAGAGTTTGTATGTGCAGTGTTTTACTAAATAAATGTTGCACTTATAGAATACACTTTGCTGTGAGAAGTGCAACTCTGGCAATATCATTAGCAGCCCAAAACAGGAAAAAAGCATGCTGGTAAAAGATAACCAATGCCTGCACGGGACCCGCCTTCAGTTTTGCCAAAGACCCTGCCCGCAGAATGACCTTTGGGATGCATGGAAACCTTGGTAAGTTTTTTTTTTTTATTTTAGGGATGAAAATGAAAGCATGGTATTCTCCAAACAAAACCGTGTTTCATTAAATCACTGTTTTTTGATGGAAAAGAGAGCTGGTTATATTAAAGGGACACTATAGTCACCTGAACAACTTTAGCTTAATGAAGCAGTTTTGGTGTATAGAACATGCCCCTGCAGCCTCACTGCTCAATCCTCAGCCATTTAGGAGTTAAATCCCTTTGTTTATGAACCCTAGTCACACCTCCCTGCGTGTGACTTGCACAGCCTTCCATAAACACTTCCTGTAAAGAGAGTCCTATTTAGGCTTTCTTTATTGCAAGTTCGGTTTAATTAAGATTTTCTTATCCCCTGTTATGTTAATAGCTTGCTAAACCCTGCAAGAGCCTCCTGTATGTGATTAAAGTTCAATTTAGAGATTGAGATACAATTATTTAAGTAAAAAAAAAAATTTACGCTTTAACGGTTTAAATAGTTTTTTGCAAAACCTTTACATTTTGATGCATGCATTGGAAAGAGACTTCATGTACAATGTGTTGTATAAACAAAAACGATTCCATTGATTAGAACTAGATTCTCTGTTATCTACTAAACTTTTCATGGAGGCTGTGTGAGCCTCAGCCAAGTGAGGTGTAGCTAAAACTACATTAAAAAAAAATTATATTTTTTTTATTTTTTACTTGTAAATGGATACAAGGTTGTAATTACCTCCATTTCCTTCTTATCCACTGGTTCCCAGCTGGCCTCAGAAAGTTTATCTTCACTTTTATCAGAGTACAGGTCATCCATGTCACTGCCATCTGACTCTTTAACACATGTCTACAACATCAACCAAAAACAACGTATGTAGAGTAAGATGTAAAAAAAATAGCACTGCATACACATGTAAATCATTATACAAATTAGCAACATTTTATAGCACATCAAATATTCTACTTAACAAAACACCACCCTATTGATCATTGTACCGGTTAAAGCAGACCCGTAATTTTTTTTTTTTTTACTTTAGATTTTTCTTTCATTATGATGCCGTATCTTAAGAATTATACTCCCTTCCTTGCCACTTGCTTTTGTTTATACTTATTATCTTTTCTTCCTTGTGCTGTGTGACGGTAGTCACCATCACCCTGAACTTCAGACAGACTATTTATGTAGGTTGCTGGACTTCTCTTTATGTTTTAGTCACCCTGTACCCATTAAAGGTGCAGGGTGTGTGTAATGTAATTGTTTAGTGTTAAATGTTAGTGTGCTCTAATGTATTGCTAATGCTTGCAATCAAGTAGGTGAACTGGGCTGAGGACCATGTACAGCGCCACCTGCTAGTTGCAAGGATCTAGCAACTGCTGTATGCACTAGGGATCGACCGATATTGATTTTTTTAGAGCCGATACCGATACTCTGTGAACTTTCAGGCAGATAGCCGATAACTTGCCGATATTCTGTACATTTACCATTTTGAAAAAATAAACTAATTCTAAAGGTAAATGCACATAATATATATACATGCCACATGTAGTGGATGAAGTGTGTTTAGACAGGGGAGCTGTGTGTGTTTGTGTAGTGTGTGTAGTGTGTGTAGTGGATGCAGTGTGTATTTGTGTAGTGTGTGCATATAATGAATGCAGAGTGTGTTTGTGTAGTGTGTATAGTGAATACAGAGTGTGTGTTTGTGTAGTGTGTATATAATGCAGTGTGTGTGTTTGTGTAGTGTGTATATAATGCAGTGTGTGTGTATATAATGCAGTGTGTATATAATACAGTGTTATAGTGTGTATAGTGTGTATATAATGCAGAGTGTGTGTGGTGTGTCTATAATGCAGTGTGTGTGTGTAGAGATGTAATTTGTGTAAAATGGGGGGAGGGGAAGTATTTTTTTTATTTTCATTTGTTTTTTTTTAAAAATTAAAAATTTTTAGTCCCCCCTCCCTGCTTCTTACCAGGGAGGGGGGGATATAGTATTCCCTGGTGGTCCGGTGGCTTTAGTACTGTGGGGGCCGGCAGCAAGCTGTTACATACCGTCCCAGCAGCTCTCTGTGTAAATTTCGCGGTCTGTGTGCCGCGCGGAGCGTTGCTCTGGTAACCCGTGGCAACGCTCTGTGGCCGCAGGTCTCGCAAGATTTGACATGGGAGCTGAAGGGAACTGATGGGAGGTAACAGCTTGCTGCGGATCCCCCAGGACCACCGGGCTTGTAATGACCCTGGCGGTCCTGGTATGTATTATCGGCAATATCGGTATCTATATTGGCCGATACCGATATTGCAGAAAATAACGAATATCGCCCGATAATATCGGTAAAACCGATAAATCGGTCAATCCCTAGTATGCACTACCTGAATAGCAAGGATTCCTAATTTGCATATTCAGGTAGATTTGCATAGTGCTATTTATGCAAGCAGGAGAGATGTTTTGTGTTAATTATTGTCTTTCCTACCCCTTTAGAAATATGTCATTATAAGTTCTTGTATGTTGTCCAATGTGATTTAAGTGTTTGTATTTTAGTTGTCACAGTAAGCTTAATGTTATGAGCTTAATGTCATGACTAAAAATAAAGAATGGTATGTCCTTTCCTTTTGGAACTTGTATCCTGTGTGGATTTGTAGGGATCCCAGTGACAGAGTCTTTGGACCTGGTTGCAGAATCCCTCTAGTCCTGGGGTAAAGCAAGAGAGCAAGGCATGAGAGCCACAAGTGTCTTTTTCAAAGACAACAGCTGTAACATTGCAGGCAGATGTGAATACTTGTTTGGAAGAAGGGCTGCAGCAGAAGAGGCAGAGGGGACTATACCTGCCTGGAAGCAGAGGGGACAATAGGAAGGAGAGCTGCAGCCTGGCTGGGTGGAAAAACTCCACAAGGATCCCAATAAAGCTTCGGCGACTGGGGCTGAAGCGTTCCAGGGTCCCTGCAAGCAGCTAGGAAGTGGACTGGGTGGAAGTACTCGGTTGGAGTACAGGAGTTCCTTCACATACTGGATTTCAATACCTGAGAGCAGCCATTATATTCTCCTCTGCCCATGATGTCTGCTGTTTGCCCTTCTGTGGGATTGTAGAGTCTGGTCAACCTTACTGCCATACATGAGAAAAAAAAATAAGCTGCAATATGGTGTTTACGGTGTTTTATTTAAGCGTATGCTTGTATTTTGAAAGGAATGTTAAATTTGTATGGTATTTGAGGCTGCCTGTGTTCTAGACAGATAAACTAAATCGCTGTCTGAAATGGTTAAGAGATCAATAGATATGACAAGGTCTACAGACCCACTTTTAATTGTGTAATGTGCACCATGCAGGTTATTTTTTACATAACATTTTTAAAGCTATTCTTTGTATGGCAGGAAAAAAAATGTTTGCGCAGTTTATAGACAGTTTCTTATGCCTCTCCTTTATAGGTAACAGGTCCATTTTACCATGGGTATATTTTCATAGTGGTAATGTAGGACAGGTATGTGTTAACAACTAAATTCAACATGCAACGATACCCAGCCTATGCTTGCAATGTGTTTCACATATTCTCTTTTCAGTTTAAAATAATTACTTTGAGGAGACCATATAAGTAACCAGTGACATCTAGGATTGGTGCCAAGGAAGCAGCAGAAATATTTTGATGATGTAATAAATTAACAAGTGCAAAAGAAAAGCAGAGTACAACTATAAATAATAAAACCATAAGAATGTTTACTTATATATAACTCACAAAGTCATCTTCATAGTCTGCCTCTGGCTCTGGGGGAGGAGCGCAATGCTGTCGAATTTCCAGCTGTAGCTGCAACTCCCACACTTGCCTTCGCAAAAGTTCTACCTCTTGTTTGTAGCTGGCTTCCATCTGCCTCAGCCGCTGCTGTACCACGTCATTGGGAAGAGGAAGACCATCATCATCTGGATACATGAGAGGAGTAGGAGATGGGCAGGCAAAAGGAAAGAACCTGCCACTATGAAGTGGCTTTGTGTTAGAAGCCATCAGACATCTACAGCTTCTTGTGGAGGGTCCAGAACAGTGCATAGAGGCAGGAAAATTGCAAGAAATCTTTGATGCCTCCCTTGACATGAAACAGCCAACAATATGTCTTCCATGCTTGCTGTGGAGACTCCTACTTGAGTAATCATAAGACGGATGTCGACGTAAACCAATCTCTCCGATGGGAACAGACTTCATCATTCCTTGCAAACTGTTCCAGTTTGAAGTCATGAGAGAGAAATCACTTTTCTGGGTTTGAGATACTACTTTTTTATCAGTCCTAGAAAACTTGATTTGCTCTTTAACAGCCTTGCTAACCTCTACACAGGATACTACATGATCAGACACATCTGCTTCTAAGTTTGAGCTCGGAAGATCTAATGAGGCTTTAGTTGCCGGTTCATTAATATGGGTGACTACTACTACATTACTTTGTGCATCTATAGTTGTACCATTCTCCAAAGCAGATTTAAAATTATCACATGTCCAATCTACACATTCTGCTTTACTAACAGATGAAGTATTGTTAAGAGAATTGAGTTCATCACCATTCAGATTTGTAATTTCTTCTTTTTCACCTTCACTTTTTTCTTCACTTTCTTTGATTTCACTTTCCTCTTGTTCCTTACATTTAGTAGATGGACCTGGCTGCAGGAGGTCCAGATTTCCTGTCTCAGCACCTTCCACGCTGCTGCTGCTGCGAGAGTCTAAGCTAGCTTGGTGATTATTTAAATTTGGGTCACTTGAAGTGCGTGTCAGCATTCCGCTGCTGTCACATGCTGTTGCTAGATTTTCCATTGAGCGTGTTTTCGGCAATCTAATAAAGCAGAATATGGAACACACATGGAAAAATAATATTTTAACGTTAATTTTCATCTTAAAGGTTTCACACACACACACACACACATTTTATAACATTAACATAAAAATCTCTTAATTCACAAAGCTGCAAAAGAGTCATATCAGGAAAACAATGTAATCTCAAAAGCTAAAATTAGTTTTACAAAAAAATAAATTTAATTAAACAGACAGCTCACATGGAAAAGTTCAGGACCTAAGTGAACATATAGGACCCATTTTTATTTTGCAGTGTTAATGTTAATTTAAAAAGAAAAACACTTTTTTTCATGATTGCAACAGACTACAGTAAAAATCAATTGTTATACTGTTTTTTGATTCTAGTCATACCTGTCCAGGGATCTGGCATTAAAGTCTGGACCTTGAGAAGATGGAGTCAGATAGAGTTCCATGCCATCATCCATTGGAGTACAAGGTGATGATGTAGGGAGATATACAGCTGTCCAGAGTTGAAGAGCACGAACATGGCAAACTGGATGCAGAACCTTAAGAAAGAAAATATACGGAAATAAAACTACAGGTGCAAATACACTATTTCTGTGGCGACTAAGAATAACGAGCAGTCAATTCCTTGTTCTGTGCATTTACATGAATCTGTCTACTTTTTATAAAAACATTTTTTTAACATTATCTGCTTTATTTATTTGTTTGGACTCCAAATGGAAAGCTCTGCAGAATAAGCCTGCATTTTTTAAAAGAAATCTGTAGTGTTAGGAATACAAACCTATATTCCTAACGCTATAATGCTCCTGTCCCTCGTTCTATATAGGTCTGCCCTCCCAGTGTGTCATAAAAATGAGTAAAACAAAAGTTTTACCCTTTTCCATCGCTGAAGCTACCTCGGTGCTGGCACCTGCCAGCCTCCTGAAACATAATGGATAAGGCATGTCCCAATCCAAGGCACCTCATAGAAGAGCAGTGGGGAACTGGTGCACATGCACAGCGCATGCATCCAAGCTTCCCCAAAGCAAAGAATTTTATTCAATGCTTTCCTATATGCATTAGCGTCATGTTACTGAGTTTTATTCGGTCAATGAAGCGAAAGCGCTTCTAATGGCTGTCAATGTGACAGCCAGTAGAGGTGGATTTAAAACCGTGCAATGTAAATATTGCAGTTTATTCTTCATTCGGTCATAATACTGCTAGCTTTTACTGCAATAAAATACACATATTAGTGTTAAGCGATGTCTCACGAATATAAAAGTACCACCAAAAATTAAAAGGGGGGAGGAAAGGGAGGAGAATGAGCCAAATTGAGTAAATACTACTGTTCCTGTATGGGGGATAATCCCTACGTAATTTCCATAATAATGAAACAATAGGCCAGGAGTATAGTAATGTACACAGTACAATACACCATTAAGGTGTGTAAATAAAACTTAACTTTTATTAAAATAAGATAAAATATTTTTCATTAACACACACACAAACTTACATATGTAAAGTGTAATAAATAATAATAACCATCCAATTGGAATGTGCAATATAATATAATAAAAGGGACACTTATTGAAGTGGTCCGGGTGCATAGTCCTAGGTGCGTTAACCATGCAAAGGTAATTACTGCAGTTTTTAATAAACACCAATAATTACCTTTGAGGGTTAACTCCACATCTAGTGACTGTCTACCAGACAGCCACTAGAGGGACTTCCGGGTCATTAGGTGACTTATTGAAGTGGTCTGGGTGCATAGTCCTAGGTGCGTTAACCATGCAAAGGTAATTACTGCAGTTTTTAATAAACACCAATAATTACCTTTGAGGGTTAACTCCACATCTAGTGACTGTCTACCAGACAGCCACTAGAGGGACTTCCGGGTCATTAGGTGACTTATTGAAGTGGTCTGGGTGCATAGTCCTAGGTGCGTTAACCATGCAAAGGTAATTACTGCAGTTTTTAATAAACACCAATAATTACCTTTGAGGGTTAACTCCACATCTAGTGACTGTCTACCAGACAGCCACTAGAGGGACTTCCGGGTCATTAGGTGACTTATTGAAGTGGTCTGGGTGCATAGTCCTAGGTGCGTTAACCATGCAAAGGTAATTACTGCAGTTTTTAATAAACACCAATAATTACCTTTGAGGGTTAACTCCACATCTAGTGACTGTCTACCAGACAGCCACTAGAGGGACTTCCGGGTCATTAGGTGACTTTAGGAAGAGGGACACTCTATGGAGCTACAACTTCGTTTTCCTGGCACTATAGTTTCCCTTTCATAAATAGTCTTGGACATTCTACTAAATAGTTTAAGGCTCTATTCAAGAAGATGCTCTGAATAAACTCAGCATTATCCAAAGGGTAGTGGAACTATAAAGTCTCAATTAACAATAAAATAAGGTATAATGGTTACTGTATTTAGTTAGATAGTCCAGTGACTCTCATTGATTATGGGTTATCCAGTGACATACCAAATCAGCTTGCAGTTTATTCAGGTCAGAAGGTCTATGTAACAGACCCGCCTCAACCAAGCTTACAGTCTTGAGGACCTGGGGTATAAAAACACAATAGGAATGGTATTGAGGGAGACAGCAAATAGACATGGTGGGAAAGTAGCAGAACCAGAGGTGGGAGTGGAGAGAGCAAGAGGAAGGTTTGAGAGATAGAAGTTACTCCTGGAGGCTATACGCATTCCTGAAAAGATGGATTTTGAGGGACTTCTTAAAGGATTAAAGACTAGGGGAGAGTCTGACAGGGTAGGCAGGCTGTTCGAAAGGAAAGGAGCCACCCGTGAGAAGTCTTGCAGGCGTGAATTTGCAGTAAGGGTACGAGCAGCAGACAAGAGAAGATCACCAGTAGAGCAGAGAGACCGAGAGGGGGCATACCTATAAATCAGTGAAGAAATGTAAGAGGGGCTAGAGTTGGTTAGAGCTTTATAAGTAAGGGTTAGCTTTTTAAATTGACACCTGCAGGGTACAGGAAGCCAGTGTAAAGATCGACAGAGGGGTGAGGTGTGAGAGGAGCGACAGGAGAGAAAGATCAGTCGGGCAGCAGCATTCATCACAGATTGTAGGGGGGTGGTACAGCTTCAGGGGAGACCTATTAGGAGAGAGTTACAGTAATCCATGCGAGAGATTACTAGAGCATGAACAAGCTTCTTGGCAGCATCTTGCGTAAGAAAGGGGCATATGCGGGCAATGTTTTTAAGCTGGAATCGACAGGTTTTAGCAACAGACTGGACATGAGGCGCAAAGGTGAGGTCAGACGAGCTTGCAAGGATGGGGTGAGGCAGGTATCGTCAACCTACAGTGAGAGTGAATGAGGATCAGTGTTATGAGGAGGAAAAATAAGAAAGTTTTAGAGAGATTGAGTTTCAGAAAGCGGCAGGACATCCAATCAGAGACAGAAGAAAGACAATTGGTGACACGTTGTAGGTCAGCAGGGGAGGAGAGGTATATCTGGGTGTCGTCAGCATACAGGTGGTAGTGGAATCCAAATGAATTAATAAGTTTGCCAAGAGAGGCAGTATAGAGAGAGAAAAAAAAATGGGACCAAGAACTGAACCTTGAGGGACTCCGACTGAGACAGGACAAGGAGAGGAGGTGTTGTTGGAAAAAGAGACACTGAAGGAGCGTTGGGAGAGATTGGAGGAGAACCATGAGAGGGCTGTGTCACAGAGACCAAGAGATTGAAGAGTTAGGAGAAGGAGATGGTCAACAGTGTCAAAGGCAGCAGAGAGGTCAAGAAGAAGTAGTATGGAGTAGGGCCTTTGGATTTAGCTGCAATTAAATCATTTGTAACTCTAGTCAGAGCAGTCTCTGTGGAGTGGAGGGGGCGGAATCCAGACTGAAGAGGGTCAAGAAGAGAGTTGGAGGTGAGGAAGCAAGACAGACAAGTCTTTACAAATGTTTTGAGGGAAGTAGGGTGAAGAGATGGCTTTATGTGATCTCCTGCTTTTGGAGATCAATAATCGCCAAGTAAAAGGATATGGATGGTATATGGAAGATTCTACTAAAGCAATGCGAGAAGAGTGGGGATGACAATATGATACTAGAAATTGTAACATAAAATAAACCAGCTAATATTCGGTCCGCAAATACAAGGTATTGTTTGCAAGTAAAATACCGTACTTGCAACAGTGTTGCAGAATCGAGGTGAAGTGAAGTAAGAAGAAAGAATGCTGGTGTATATACAAACATGGGAAATAAACAGAAAGGGTAAGTACTAAAACGAATATCCCTACTGTGCCTTTGAGGCCCCTGTTAAATTAACGTCATTCATCTAATAGTAGAAACAGCTACATAAAAGTAATCCTGCACTCAGTGATTCAACTAAGGAATCCAAAATAAAGGTGGTATGTAGCTGCTCCTGCTGTAGTGATGGTGAAAATTGCAGAGAGGGTCAGACAAATCACAGGTGCATAACAGAAAGGATAGGTCATGGTTCAAGATAACTCATGATAAAGTGGATGTGTGCTGGAGCCTGTCGAAACCCCTGACAAGCGGTTTACCACTTCGGCTCATCAGAGGGGACCCGGACTTTCCGATGCGTCAGGTTTAAAAAGGGTGATAGGACCTAGGTAATTGGGTCATTTCAAATTTTGATTCACCTATCAGACTAAAGTGAGTCAGTGCTGATTGGACCTGTTTAATTAATAGTAAAAGTCAGTAACGATCGTTATATCTTTTATGAATAAATTATGTTTATGTGACACTTTATGAAAAACTTACATTCAAGTTGAATTAGACCACATAAAGCGTTTATGTTGTTATAAATCAGCTCAAATAATTTTCTTTATTCAACTTCTTAATTTTCTTTATTTAACTTCTTAAAATATGTGTATATATAATATTTTGGGGCATGCAGAATGATTTATTTTATATTCATTTGCAATTTGGGGGACTACCTGACAACCCAGGAAGTCCCACTGCAGGCAGAGCTTGAGACAGCCATTCCGGCCATGTAATCGCATGTTCAGTCGGATGGGTACTGACTGGGTTGTCAGACAGTTCCCCCCGATGCGGGTCTGTGGGGTAGAAGAGTATGAGGAGGTTTTTAAGCCCACTTACATGTGGAACACCAGAGACAATACACCATAAAATGCAGTGCATGAGTGTCATATTCACTTGTGTTGCGTAACATAGGGTCTCTTCCACATGCAAAGTTGTGGGGTTTTGATTATATTAAAGGGGCACCCTATGCACCAGAGTGACTACAGTTTATTGTAGTCGTTTTGGAACAAGGAGATTGACCTGGAGATAAAGCAGTGTTGACATTGCGGTCTAATGCCACCAATAAAGGGGCTTTCTCGTTGCAGTCCTGCAAAGTTTGCATTACCGATGCTTGGCGTGTACATACTTTGTATGGAGATGTTGAATGCTCCCAACAGAGATGCATTAAGTCTCTATAAGAAGATGGTGATTGAAACAGCTAGGCAATTGATGAGCATACATACCAGCCTTCCTAAACGTTCTAAAGGCAGCCAGTGGAGGAAGGGCGGCTGCAGGGACACAGGAGCTATTTTTCAACTTAAGAGGGCCCGATAATATAAATAGCTTGTATAAAACTATTGTGTTGGAAATACAGTTGTATTCCTAATATTGGAGTGGTCCTTTAAATTAAGTTTTTCTCAAAATCCATACATATCAGTATTTTATGCTTTTAAACAAGATGCTGTGTGTACCATAACAAGTATAGTTTAATGTGATTTGTGAGAGTAATATACACACATACATATATATGTATAGATAAATAAAAAATAAAAATTGATTTTCACCCCTCCTGGGTGGTATATTTTTTCCTCATTCTCGGGTGCTCTACCACCTTAAGAAAGGATCGAGAACAGATCCAAAACGTTAATGCTACACAAATACATTTGCTAAATTTGTTTCACTAAACAAGACCTGTGAGTGCCAACTTTTCTTTGCTGAAATATTTGTGTGTGTGTGTGTGTGTGTGTATATATATATACATATATATATACACACACACACATATATATATATATATATATATATATATATATATATATATATATATATATATATATATATATATATATATATATATATATATATATATTAACCTGAAATATTGGATAAGGGGGAGGCCAGTGAGGGGTGCTTTGAAGATTTTTCGACAGGGTACCTAAAAGCCTAAGGCCGGCCCTGGGCATCTGGATACTCCTTCCCCATAACAACCTACATAAGCAGCAGTGTTTATGGAGATGGGAGGAACTATTATAACAAAATGTCACTTTAAGGTTACAGTACTCTGTGTTTATTTACCTTTATAATCTCTAATGATGTTGAAATGATTGTATTAAATATATACTCACAAGTTCATTGGTTGGCATATACAGCAAGTTGTGGAAATTTTTGTTGCCAGTTCGCAGAAGAGACCACACTGAGCAGGTATGTTTGTAGATGTTGCGCATCTCTCTCTCACTGGGGCTATTGGCCAAAAAAGTCCCGTAGAGGCAGGAGTATGTGTGTTGAACTAACTTCACCTATGTGACAACAAATCGTGCTGTCAGTTTAAAAAAAAAAAATCTCCCAAGTTTCTTCCAAAATAATAATCCATAACCAACATTTAAAAGCCACAGTAAATATAAAAAACCTATTACGAAAACGCTTGCTAAATTCTACACATAGACCAGTTGGTGTGCAACCTGCAGCTACAATCACTACAATTGTTATGATGAATTATTGATAGTTATAATACAACTTTTGACTGAAAATGTTAAATGCTTTACCAGAAAGGAGTGATTGAATTCAAAGAGGCATGGAAACTGATGCAGTAGTTGATGGACACAGTCGAGCCACTGTAAGAAAACAGGGCATTGCTCATTTTGATCCTCCACATTTTCATGATGACCACAGCGATCTCCAAACTTATGGCCGTAGTCTAGCCAGTCCGTTTCAACCAACACCTGGAAACCCTATGAGAGAAATATCAAAACCTTACCTCTCATATTTTTTTAATTTTTACAAATATGATGAAACATTGAAGCTACATACCTCTAAGGTTCGATAATATGGGTCCAACAGAATCTTTGCTAAGGATACAATTTGTGGTGTTCTATCCCAGCCATCCGAGCAGTGGACCAACACAGGCCGTCCTTCTCTATCCACGGCATTGGCCACGATAGTGGCTGCCTTTAACATCACAGAAAGGTGCTGCAGCCACTTCGTGCTTTCCAGTGCAGAGAGCCAGCTAGAAAATATATAAAGGGTTTCACCACCTGACTGGTAAGTGGCATCTTGAGGAAGAAAGACCATGATTACCATGTTAGTTGATGGAAATGGAAATTGTTGAGGCCAAGGTTTTTAAAATAAAAATCTCAAATTCGTGGAGTGTGTTTCAGGTCATCTTGAAATGCATTGCTAAGTACAGTAATTACTGGCAATAAAGCTCTTCACGTGTATCTAGTCTGCTCTCCTGTATTAATGACTCTAGACTGATATCACAGAACTCCTGTAGAACAATAGCAGCCCATGACAGACAGTCTGCTGCGTAAACATATCTTGAAGAAACAATATAAGGGGAGCTTAGCAAAGTGTTTGGGTTCTATGAAGTGTTCTAAAGTACTAAACTTGGGGCAGTCACCATGGAAACCAGTTGAACCAGGAGGCACATTCCACTGGTGACTCCTCCCCTCCTACATATTTTCAACACTTTTTGGAACAGAACAGTTTCATATAGGTCACCCTGATGAAAATACTATGGATGGATATTTATCAGTGTATGGTGTTCTTTCATTTTTTATTTTATTTTTATGAACAAAATAGAAGAGTGAAATGATGTATAAACATTTCCGTAACATATGTAACAGTAATGGAAAAAAAAATCATAAAGTCTCAAATTCTAAGGAGGGTAAAACAATCTCAAATATCAAAACATAATATTTTGCTTTAATATTATTAAATGGGCCTTGCAATAGTTTATTTGTAAATTCAAAAGTCATTACTGTATGTGTAATGTTAATGAAAAATTCCTTTTGACATGGGCACATCTTTTCCACTCAAAACCAGCAGCAGCGATCTTCCCATAATGGAAATGGGCATTTGATGTGCCTGAGTGGATAATCGACATGAAATGAAAGGTAACAATGTAAATGTGTATAATCTTACTTTCCAGGATCAGGCACTTGGTTGCACACAGCTCGGAGGTACTGAAAGCTATTCCTGATTGAGTGGATATTTGCCATTCCCATAAAAACCACTTCACAGTTCGGATAGTATTCTGCAATATATAGTGAACATTTTCATATTAAAAATAACGAAATGTGCATAAATCCAGAATCAGTTTTATTATGTGAATTCTGTAAGCAGAGAGCTATGTCAACTTCAAACCATGGTGTTCAGCATTATGTGCCTAAAAGTTGCAGAAAATATGTTTTTCCATATCCGCTAGGGACATTATTCTTCAAGTGATTTAAAAAATGACAAAAAACATTTTAATTAAGTTTTAGGTTTTTTCATTAACCATTAATGTTTGTAATTAAAGAGACACAACGGGCATCATTACCACTTTATCGATATAGCTGGAGTGCCCCTTGTAACACTATTAAACAGTTTACTTATTGTTTGACAGTGAAAGTAGGGCCAATGGCCACCCAAGGAGCCAACCTGCCATTTTTGCCCTGGCAAACACTTCTGCCAAGCAGTGATGGGGCAGTGTAAGGCTTGGAGTATCATATGTGCACTTTGAGCCCATCACTGCTGCCCATTGCACACACAGCCATACCAGTATGAGCAATGATTGGTTTATTATGTAGAGGCCAAAAAAGCCTTACTCGCTCAACTATCTTTAAGGTTACATTTTTAACTTGGTTTTTCTATATGTAACAGAAAAGAATTTTTAAATGTCACCTGAACATCATCATATCATTCATAAATGGTAGGTCTTCAATATAACTATCAATTCTAACAATTCTTGATTTTTTTTGTTTTGTTTTGTTTTAAAACAAACTAGCTGTATTGAAAAAAATTAATTTAAAAAAATATTTAGATTACTCTGAATTTTATTGGATACTTAATCATTGTTATTTTTCAAATTATGATTTTATGATTATCTTTACAAAAAGATTTTGGTAGCTTTAAGAATAGTCTTAATTTTGCTACCAGTCTAATTTAGCCATATATTTGAAATCTCAATGCATTATTCAGGATATGCTAATCTAAACATTTATCTCCTTATCTTAAATAAACACCTTCACACTCGCAGCCTCCTCCTTTGGCTCTGTTTGCAACAGCGGCAGTGTAAGATCTGGCATCCAATATTAAGAGCTTCTGCGGAGGACCTCCACCATCAATCCCAGGACAAGCGGTCAGTGATGAATCTGTGATGGGTATCAAAAATGCATATACGTTATATTATGTTTTTCTGCACATATTTATATAATAATTTTATATATATATTATTATAATAATGGTAGGTTTTTGTCACAGTAGACAGTAAACAGAAAAGGATGGGTAAAGAGCATTTCTAATGTATTCCAGCTTGAAGTGTATATTACAATAAACAGTGCTTGTCTTAAGAGTCCTGTAGCTCTCAAAGTTTGTTTTCCACCCTGTTGTTGCAGCGAAACAAAACAACAAATCTTGTTCGTAACTGCTTTAGTCAAACTCTCCTAAAATAAAATAAAATAAGTATGCACAAGAAAATCTCCTTCCAGTTGATACACTGTGTGAGTACTGCCACTTGGATTCAATTTCAATTATACCTTGCAATTTTACCCAGAGAGTGGGTAAAGAACTAAACACATTATTCCTAGTGTACAATGCATGAAATTGGCTCTCCCCAAGTTTATCGCTAAGGTAACAGCTATGCCTCGTAGACCAAGCCCAAAGAAGGCAGAAACGATCGTCTGAGGTTGCTGTATCACTTGTACTTGCCGGCATTTTGGTTCTGGACTGCCATTATGGATGTGATCAGTCTGATGTGTAATGGTATAGGGTTTACTCTATAATGGCACAGGTGAGCAAAAACTATTTTGAGATCTTAGCAGGGATTTACTGAAGGGCAAGCTATTGAGTTTCTCTAAATAAGAGTTTCTAAAAAGAAAGAAAGAGATATCCCATTTCCCCTGTTCAATGTGTAGACAGTGCATCTGTTTCTATGCAGAAAGTCTTATTTGTGGTGATTAATTGTATTAATCCTTTTGCCGTTCATTTCGGCAGTTAGGAATTCTTTACAAGAGTACAGTTCTTTTTCATAGGAACACGGAGCCACAAGTGTAAACACTTCTGTTGCCTTGGAAACATGAAAGGACAGGGTTGCGTCTGTTGTATGTTTACGCTCCGGGTGGCCGCGCATGTTCACAGAAGTGGGAGAAACTGCATGTGTGCATGAATCTGAGAACTGCGGTGTTAGCTGCTACTGGGCAGTAAGTAAATGTATGTCTGTGTTGCTGCTCTTACATCTAATGTATTTTAGCTGTACTGAAGAAAGTTCTCTTTATAGAACTGAAACGTTGACTTTAGCTTTTTTTATAGCTATGACTTTTTTTAAAGTCCTATATTGCTAGATCTCTCTGAAAACACAGACACACACACACACACACTTCATTTTTAATGTTTCCTTGTGTCTGGAAAAAGTCTAGGATCACGTTCTCTAGTTCCTAATTAAGGAAACAGATACAAAGATTTCAAAAGAGCATATAAAAACAGGTAGTAGAAGAAAGCAGCATAATAGAACACAAAAAGTACTAAGATTAAAGAAAGCCGCTCTTGATCAGTCAGATTTATGGTTTCAGTGAGCAAACATACATCCCTTACCAAAGTCGGTGTCTGCATTTTCATTTGCCTCGTTGGTGCCTTTGTTAGTGACGTTTCCGTTAGTTACTCTTACTCCTGGATTATGTGCACAGGCCATGGCAATGGAAGTAACTAGGTATTCGTCATCTGCATTGCGCCAACCCCACCAGCTAATCTCTGGTTGGCTGCAACGTGCAATCACTGCGCCTGTCCGTGCATGTCTAAGAAAAACATCCAAAACAAGTATAATAAGATCTGTACCTAACATACAATGCTTTATCAATTGGGTTGGGGATGTTACTGCTGATCTGCAAGCATTCTGAAGTATCTTATTTAATCTGTACTCCTTTACTACTGGCATCTTGGATGACTAGCTGCGGTACAAATGATTTGCCGAAATCCTGGTAAGAATTTAAACTATCCATTTAAGCCATTACACTTCCATGGGGTCAACAATACTCAATATTTGAACCTAGGTCCTCACGGGATCCTAAACAACATATCTGAAAAATACTCTTTATTTTGGCCATTGCCTCAGTCTGTTAAGCTTCAAGAATTATTTATTAGTTGGCCTTGCTTCGTTTTACACAAAAGTAACACAGCACTGATATGTAACAATATTAAATAGAGTCCTAAGATTGCTCTGAATTTTGTTGTCCCTAAAGTGAGTTATTAGAAGAACAACACCATACTGCGCATTTGAATATATATTATAACATAAAATATGAGTATGGCAAGTCACTGTAAAATTCCAATTCACTGCTCAAAGCCTTGTAAAGAGTTTGTATGGATATTTTGAACAGACATGCATTTAAATGAAATGCTTGTGCCATAGAAAAATACATGCATAAATCCTCTTCTATTACCTGTACACCACAACTGGAATCCGCTTCCATGATCTGAAAGAAGCAACATTCTCTAGTTCCTTGTCACTGATCCATACTGGAACGAGGAGCTTTTGAGGGTAACTTGGACAAAGCCTAAAATACAAATATTTCATAACATATTTTTCCAGCAATGTCAGATCTATTCTTTTTAAAGGGTAGAGTTTTACAATCAGCAATTTATATAAAGGTGGATGATTCAAGCAAAGGTGCTCTGTAATAGGTTCATACTTTGCAATAATCAATGAAGCTGCTATAGCTCATGTTGCAAATAAATTGTCAGAAGCTGATAATGTACAGACAAGCCTTGGCATGCAAACAGAAAGATGTTTGTCTGCAATTTACAAATTAAAATGTCACCTTTAAGTAGCAAGTAGTGCAGAATTAAAAAAAAATTGTCAAAATTTCCCATGATGATTAACCATCATGCTCTCTGAGCATTATGGGAAATAGCTGCAGTGTCAGTGATGTTCTACTAGACAGCCCGAGTCAGGTAGCAATCGTGGTTCAACAACAGTTGTTTACCAGCCCTGTAAACACTGACGTAAAAAAGGCAGGCAAACTAACATTACCAAAAAAACAACAATTATGGAAGTAATACAGGAATATAAGAAGTACCGCAATGACCAACTATTAAATTAAAGATGCCTCCAAGTTACTGGCTGTTTGTCTTAAAACTAAATGATTGGATAAAACAATAACAATCAATAAGTATGTTTAGCATTATGCTGCCTATCTCTAGCCAAATACTCCCACACAGAAAGCAATTTTCTCTAGGGACTAAGTCGATTTTCTGACATAAAGACTAAAATGGAGCCGCTAATTATGCTGAGCATACTGCCACTTTAATTAGTGATGCTGTAATGGGCTCTAATCAAAGGAATGAAGAAAAAAAAAAACAAAGATAAGGTTTTACAGACAATGGATTTATCTCTTAACCTCTGATTTAGGTGTGATGTCAAAATGCAAGAATAACTTGAATCTAACTAACCATCGCAAAACAAAAATAATAAAAAACAAATGAAGAATGGCTCCAGCTCTCATCACATTTGATGGGCTGGATAGAAGGAGCACTGCATAAAGACCACCAACAGATCATTACAAAATACAACAATTCAGGTTTCCAACTACTTTTTTTTTCTAAATAAACAAGCCTGAACATTGTTGCCCCTTTCTGTGAAAGAGAAACAAGCAATTCATATTGAACAGAAGGATCCGAAGGATGTTTTGATATGAGTAGTATTTGAAAAGGTGTGTGCATTTGTCTCACTTGTAGTTGTTGTTGATTTCAGACACTCTCCAGGCATTCTGCAAGTCAAAACCCATTCGCACCAATTCCATCTGGAAGCGAAACTTCACATGGTCACCTAAGATAAAAAGGCATTTTACAATGAAGATGTCACAAGTGTGTTGGAAACAACAAAAGGAAAGAGATCACAAACGGGTACGTTGTAAAGAAATGTGATGTAGTGTACTGAAAGCAAGTTCTGTGTTCATAAGAACACCTGCTGAAAATAACACATGGAGAGTGCTGTGTGTGTGATTCCTGACAAAATAGAAATAAAGAATCATTTTATTGAATGCCAAAGGTTTGATGAAAATTTTTTCTGGATTTCTCATTGTAGAGATGTAATAATAGAGTTGTTAAAACTGCGGTAACGGAGCAAAACCAAAGTAGCTGAAATATCAAAACACATTTCTTTTCTTTTCCAAGGGAATGGTCAAAAAAGATGCTTATTTATTTTTTTAATACAAAAAAAATTAACATAATTTTGAATAATCCCCCCCACCCCCCTTTTTTAGAATATTTTACAGTATTTCTTGAAGGAACAAAATGCAGTAGTTATCCCTTTTGAGGACAGCAGCACAGAAGCTGTTTATATTGAATTAAATTGCCAAAGGGAATACACTAGGGATAGCTAGAGCATTCATGTACATTCAACACACCTCTTTGGATTCACAAACAGACTGTGATGAAAATTTATTACTGGACAGAGGAAGTGTCCTCTGGCACTGTCCTATGTGAAATCGTATGACGTATCTGAAGAAGCTGGGCACTGATAGGCTTCACTGATCAGGTTAAATACCACATATTAAAGCACAGCAAAAGCTTGCCTGGACGACAAAGGTGAACATGGTGCTCCTCCTCGTCATTACACACTCCCTGGCACCAGGCATGATAGGCAAATGCAAACAGATCTTCTTGTTTTGCTGGACGCACTGTGGCTCGACTAAGTCGTTTCAGCCATTCCTGGCACTGCTTAAATGTGGAGAAGTGGCATCTGAAACAAATATGCATAGGTTACTCTTTTATCACATGGCAAGAATTCATGTTACCAGTTCAGTATCTTTGTTAGTCACTGTAATCTTTATTTCCTGATGGATGCACTTTCATATCAAGTAAACAATGTGCAACAGAGTCGAACTTCATAATAATCATTCATACTTTAACAGGAGTTTAGATCCACAAACGCCCTGTAACTTACTTTGTTACCTCAAATGAATGTCTTCTTATTTGCACTGGTTTGATTGAAATTGCTATACTCTATGCAACAGACAAGTTATTAAATAATCCCAAATTTAAAAAAAAAAAAAAACAGCACATTATGCTAGCACCTGCACAACCAACATTGAAATGATTGGTTGGTTTATATTTTTTATTCTATACAATCACTGTATGTACATTTGTGTACCTTCCTGAAACTCCACATAATTGGTGGACACCGTATGAACTCTAAAATACAAAAGAGCTATGATCCAGAAATAGCTTGCAGGGAAATGTAAGGAGGGAGAGAAAACTATTTTTGTTGATGACATTTTCTATTTTACTCACCTTGATAAACACTATTGTAATGTTTTCTGTGTTGAGATGTGCATGACAAGTAAGATGCTAGACTAGGGGTAGGCAACTTTTTTACTGTGCCAAAACAAGATCTTGAAATCCCTTTGCGTGCCAGTCCTTTTTTTTTTTTTTTAATGGCCGTGTGTATGTTTCTGTATTCTACTTGTGTTATTTATGGGTGCTGCAGAGCTCTGTAGCATTGTATTTGTGTGTAAGTGGGCTGTTTTTTTTATGTTAATGAGTAGTTTTTGGTATTGTGTCTGACACCTATGGATGTGGGCTGTGTATGGAGACTCCTTGTGGAATTGTGTGGCTGACATGTCACATTGTGTGTTTGGTGGTGTGAATGTATGGTGCTACTTATGGTAATGCATGCGAGAGTCTGCTTGTGGGGTTGTGTGCATGTATGTGGATTGTCAGTGGTGTTGTGTTTGTGGGAACGGAGTTTGGTCTGTTTATATTATTTGTATGAGGAGGAAGCTTCTTCTGCAGCTCTGTGTATATCTAGCAGTGCAGACTGATTTCCTGGAGTACAGTGGATACCAGGCTGGCCAGTTACAGGTCAAGGCCAGGGTACTGCAATAGCTGCTGCAGGCTGCTATACTAGGTACAGATTCCTGTTTACAAGTGCTGAGAGGAAGTTTTCTGAGATCACTTGCTTTACGTGCTGCAATGTGTAAATTGAGGATTGTCCCTCACCACCTCCATTTACCGCTCGGTTTGCACTAGGAGGTATCTGAAGTCCCTCTCGGAATCTTGATAGGCCAGAGCCTGTTTGGCTCTGGCAACCTTGAGTGCCGTGCAAATGCACCCCGAGTGCCATAGATGCTAGATGAGAGATTTTGGCCTACCCTTATGTTGCCATTCTTATGCCAACGCATGACAGCTCTACTCTATACTAATCTCAGGCAAGTGTGTATGTGCGAGTATATAATATTATATATGTTAGAATATTTTACCCAAGTTTTCTTTTCTTTTGATTAGCATGTACACATTTCACAATAGCTTTGTATGAATTACAATTTACACATGCATCCAGGAAGTTTAGGACCAGATTATTTCATCCTGTTAACAGCATCCCATTAAATCAAATTACTTTGATGAAATCTATATAGTGTCTACCATTAATCAGCATCACCACTGTGAACATACATTCTCCAGTGGATATCTGTCCTCATTGTTGGAAAGGCTACAAATGAACTCATCCATTAAAAAAATAAAAAATAAAAAGCTGCATGACATTTTTCACTGAGCTGACAAACATGCGTCACTCGAACAGAGCAACATAACACAGTATTAAAAAAAATCCTTTCATTATTATTATTTGTTTTATTATTATTATTCATAAAGCCCAACAAATCTCATCTAATATTTTTGAAGAATTGATGATTTAAGTGCGATCTAAAAGCATAATCAATGTACATTTTGTATTTCTCCTTCAGACTTGTTATCTGCTTCCCTCAAAACAGGGTTTCTTGTGGCAGTAGAATGTTTGACACGCAAATCTCATAACGCTTACATATGCAGTTAATTCTCTGTTTGGCATTTCATATGAAGGCCATTTATATTTAGATGTTAATGACCCTTTACGCAAGTCTATTTGGATAACTGAAACAGAGGAGAAATAAAAATTAGCATGAAAACCACTCACAAATCAAAACAATGGCATTACCTCACTACTTTGGAATCTTTGCAAATTATCTGCAACTGGAACATGTCTCGACTTTCCACTGTCTCAATCATCCTTAAAGGCACCTGGGGGGGGGAAAAAAAAAAATTGAGTTTTACTTCTTGACAGAATAATATTTCAGAATCATCAAATCAATTTAAAGAGACTCTCCAGAGTGATGTTGAACTCTTTTTTTTAGAATAGGTTTAAAAATGACATATTTAAAAATAATAAAATAAAACACATGCAATGTCTGGAATGTCTCTTTAATCAACCCACTCCCAGCCAAATAACTAAAAAGCACTAAGTATGTACAATTCATACACTATGTAGACTGAGAAACTTACATTGACAACAGAATCTTTGAACTTGATGTGCAATCTGTAGTTGGAAACTGCTATGACCGCATCATTTGCACTCCCTAAATATTCTACACTCTCTCCTGGCAACACTTGGAAAGGTACCTGGAAATGGAGGAAAAATGACATTTATGAAATGTTAGTGCTCATAAAAATAGATATACATCATCAAGTACTACTTATATATTCTTAAAGCTTCTAAATTAATATCATCCATGCAAAACAAAAGGTCATAAATCTTTGCTGCAAAAGCCAATGTAAGGTCATTTATTTATAAGTAGAAGAGTCTTAAAATACATAGGGTTTTTAAAAGCCTGCCAGCGTAAATTTAGCCGATGACCTTCACCATAGGTATGGGCAAGAATATGGGCTGGTCCTTTATGTCACTACTAGTATATTTACATTGTGATCTGATTACAGTATTGTGTTCAGAAGCTAATTAAACCTTCCTGATAAACATGTTCTTGTAGGTTTGCATGGAACATTTGTAAACTTTTTTTCTTTTTTTTAAACAATGTTTAAATTACAGGACAGTTTAAAGGTATCTCCGGAAAGCAGCTGGAAACCCTAAATTATTTTTACACGTTAAAGCCATTATGATTGATTGTCAACCTCATAAATTGACTATAGAATAATAATTATAGCAAGATATATTTAAGAAATTTCACAAGACACAAATATTATATATAATAATATATATAAGATTTCTATTAAAAAGGAAATTCCAGATAAGTACTTCTCACATATTCTGATGCAGGGAATATCACATTTTGTTCCAGGAATTGGCTACTATGTCACGTGTGGCCAACCTGTAAACCCTCTGTTCAGGATTTTTTAAAGCTTAAACTCCTTATTAATAGAAATAAAATAAATAAATGAATATATATATATATATATATATATATATATATATATATATATATATATATATATATATATATATATATATATATATATATATATATATATCTCATATCTTTAATGCAGAGAATTCAAAAAAATAACAAAAAATCTAATTTAAAGAGCTACTCCAACATCCATGACCACTAATGCTTTCCTACTTGGAATGCTGCCCATACAGAGATGTTCGCAGTTTTGTGACCTGGGGCTAATTGCACCTTGGCACATGTGACTTAGGCTGCCTAATGTTACTTCTATGCAAAACTTACATCTGTTATCAGAGCTGTCCTAAAGTGAAATCACCCCCTTTACGGATTGCGTGTTAGGTAAAGAAGCCCTGATATCAATAAACCAAAGCAGGACTGGAGAACTAGGCTAAATGAATATCAAGAAATGGGAGAAAGATGAACAGTGGCAGATAGCCTACTTCACCCTCCTAACGCTCATTACAACTGGATAAACAGAAAGACTGGATAGACCCATGCTGGTATGTATAGCTCACATCAGCTAGAAGTGCACAGTGAAGAAATGAGTTGGTTGGAGTGAAAAAAGGGAGTCCATCTGCAAGGGGAAACTTAAGCTATTCCCTCCCTTGCTCCCTTGGTGTGCTCCCGCTCTACCATCTCTGTAGTTAAAAGAATTTTGCAGATTGTTGTTGTTGTGTTGTTTTTTTTTTTAAATATATTTCATCAAGATTAAATCTTTTGAGATATTTACATTGACTAAATTGAAAATTCACTAAAATGCAAATTCAGTCAAAAGATATACTGAGACAAAATAGAGACTACTTTGCCTTAGTATTTTTCATACGCTCAACAAGATGAAGCTACCTTTTTGTCAAAGTTTTGTCATTTCCCCGGGCAATCACTAGTGACGTCTGTAGGAAAAAACGCCCGGTCTATGGGAGGATCCCGTGGTCTTGTGAGATCTTGTTTAGAAGTTACACATAAACAGTAGGACCTAATTTGTTTGACACTTAACTAAAACTGATGCTTGATGGTTCAACCAACATTTGCACAAGTAACTGCCCTACACCCCACCATTAGCATCATCTACCAAAAAAGTTTTAAAGCTGGCACAAAGTTAACATTTCCTCTAGTGACCCATCTCAATCACAGATGGAGCGATGTATAGGTAATAGTCTATGGGAATTAAACATGCATGAGAAGATCTCATTGATGTCCGCGATATCACAGGATTTTCTAGAGTACAGTTCCCGATTCTTGAACATGTGCGATTTGCACAATTTATGGCATTAGAAGTGCAACCGAATGAGTAACGGGTCTGTTTCATCAGAAAGGGGAGGGTACGCAAGAATCCATTCACTAAATCTCATATGCAATAAAAAGATGGAGATCTTGATATGAACAAGTTAGGTTTTTACATAGATGCAGCTCCTAAGATTGGCAATCTTAGACCTGCTTGACAGTAACATTAAACCCCTAACGAGATCAAATGGGCCATCTAAACACCATTAGAGCAACCTTGCTATTTGTCAATGAGAGTCATTCCCTGGTTCTCTGAAGTTTAGAACAGTTTGACTAAAACCAGGGGTTCCTCTTGAAGTTAGGGACCACTCCGCACGTATCTGACTGGTATGCAACCCATTGTGTATATGTATTTTTCATCAAGTTGTTCGGTATATTGATGGACCTTTACTTATTAGTTGGATGACCATGCAATTGTACAGGAAGGTTTGCAATTTTTCTAGTTAGTGATAGGGTGTTTAATGTCAAATTGGAATATTTATATTGTTGGATTTATAATAAGGATCCTGTGTTAAATTATAGTGTGTAGTCTGTGCCCTGGGAGAAACAGGGTATTCATAGTGCGCACCTTAACAGTCAATTTATTTGATCCATTTATACTAAAGTTGTGTGCCATCCAAGTAATTGTTACTTTTAAATCTCCTCATACATTCCAAGGTGACCGATCATCGTATTCTAAGGGGAACAGGGTGTGTTTGAGGCTTTAATGTATTTGTCTAATGGCTGATTGACTATTAACACATTGACCAAATAATACGAATTCTCATAACCTTTATCTTAGTACAAAAACTAAATAGATATCAAATGAATGATATTCTGAATAGATATATAAAACACACAAAAAGTATTCCAGAGGTTAGTGAACTGGATTTATTCAACAACCAAAGTCTGAGTCGAACTTTCCACTAACATAAAAAGTTAATGATTTGCATTTTCAATCTTCTGTCCCTATTTGATCGCTGAACAAATATAATTCTCTGTTTGCTTTAATACTCAACAAGGAATAAATTCTTTAATAATGTAGGGATTAATCTGCAAGATAAATCCTGAAGGAATATTTCCAAAATAAAGTGTATCTGTCATTATTTTGTTAATATAACATTTATCAAAAACTGCTATATATTTGTTTTTCTTTTTTACTGTAGAAGACAGTAAATTAAACAAAACAAAAACACCTAAAAGACAGCCACTTGTAATGGGTGTAAGCAGGAGTAACACTTCCTAGGCCAGTGTTCGTAACTAGGAAAGGCCCGCTGTATAAACTCTCCTCTCAACCACTGCTTTTAATACTTCCTACATGACACAGGAGTAAAGCAAGTCAATTTACTCCAAACCCCCCCTAGCTAAATACTGAAGGAGAAGAGGATGCACAGCATACTGGCCACCCTCTCAAACGGATCCGGATCCTCCTCGCTAGAAAATTCCAACCCATGGACACCTAATCACTAAAATAACTGGTATCCCTTCTATACTTGCCACTCACCCCAAAAACATATTAATGATGTTTATTGTCACTACAAACTACTTTCTCCATATTGCATTTTCTATAATTATCTTCCCTATTGTATTTGAAATTTAAAAACCTTAAAAAAAAATAAAAAAAATAAAGGCAGTCCCCAGTTAAATTGACTTAAATTGAAAGTTTACAGGCTTTGGGTTTTTATTGTGTTTTCAACTAGTATATTATTGGCAAATAGAATTTGTTTTTAAATAGGGCAAATGAGCACAGCTCTGGTTAGTGCTGAAAGGGTGCATACCATCCCTAGTTTGACAATAATGTTCTGCCAATGCTTCTGACAGATTTAAATAAAAAGTGAGCAAAAAAGAGAGGCTAAAGGTTATTTGTACTTTTTTCAAAAATATATTTTTAGTTATTAAACTAGAAAAGCTACAATTTCTGGGGAAATTGTGTGAAGTGTTCTTGCCTCCACCAGAAATTTTGGGGCCCCTAACTCAGCTCAGGGGGCCTCCAAATACCGCCCACAGGGTCCACAACCCACAGGAATACACACACAGACACAAACACACACACTGATACAAAAGGACACATATACATACTAACAGACACACATACTGAAACAGACATACACGCATACAGGCATACATACTGACACACACATACTGAGACATACATACATATACAGACACACAGGCATACATAGTGACAGACACATACTAACATACATACAGACACACATGCATGAGGACATAAAGACACATACATACAGACGCCGACATCCATACATACATAAAGACATACTGACAAACATACAGACACTGACATCCATACACACGTACATACATTCAGACTGACATACATGCATATATACAGACATACTGACATACATGCATACAGACATCCATACACACATACACACAGACATACGTTCATAATGATATGCAGACATACATTCATACTGACATACACACATTGATACTGGCATACATACAGACATACATGCATGCATACATATATACATAATGACATACAGACATACATTGATACTGGCAGACATACATACAGACATATATACATACATATTGACAGACATATATACATACATATAGACATACATACATACATACACACACATACATAGACATACATACATACACCCTCCTGTCTCTTACCTTTTCTTTGCAGGAGGGTGGCTGGGGCTGATGGGAGTATTCGGCTGGTTCTCCCTCACTGCTGCGAGCGCGCGCTCCTCCCGCGCGGACTGAGCCACTTCCTCCCAGCAACACTTGCTGCGGCTGCTTTTTTTTTTTTTAAAGGGGCCCGGTCGCACTATAACACGGCCACAGCACTGACCGGGCCCCTTCAGATATACGGCCCATTGGGTGGCCCTAAGTTCATGGGCCACCTGATGTGCCCCATTAGCGTGCGGGCCCCGGTGCAACTGCACTGGCGGCAGTTCCGCTGCTACATATGGGTTATGGTTGTCACCCCCTGATGGCGGCCCTGCCTCCACCAGTAGTCTACAACTGGAGTGTGCGGAGTAACTGTTATTTATTTATATAGCACATTTAATTGCAACATTGTTGCCCAAAGTGCTTCACAGCTACATTAAAACATCATCCGCAACCCTCTACAAGCCTAACTCCCACAACAATACCCCAACATCTCCTGACACCCAGCTCGAGACTAGAGAAGATGGGTGGGGAAAAAAAAAAGGAAGCAACCCCGTCAGTAGCATCCATGTTCCGCACACCCAGCGACACGCGGAAACCTGCTTGCAAGCCACGGAGGAGTCGGGCTCCGACATGGAGATCACCGGCACTATGCAAGACCTCTTAGCCCGTCTCACCATCGGAGTACTCCATAATATTGTGGGAGCTGCCACCGCGGACATCAAAGCCCACGTGACCACGGAAATTGGCAGTCAAATAGCAGGCCTCAAAGAGGACATAGCTGGGCTGTCCTCCCGCACTGATCAAACAGAGATCAAGATCACAGCCCTTAAAGCTACCTCCACAGCCCAGGCTCAAGACATCTCTTACCTGCACGGACGGATATCTGATATCGAGGAAAGCCTGGAAGATCTTAATAATAGATCCAGAAGAAATAATATTCGCACCCGCGGCCCGCCCGAAACTGTTACACAAGAAATGCTCATACCAACACTCAAAGATATCTTCAAATCCATGGCCCCAGACCTCACGCCTTATGACCTCGAGATGGACAGGGCCCATAGAGCCCTCAAACCTCAGAGCCTCAGCCCAGCAACCCCGAGGGACGTCATCACCCGCCTTCACTATTTAAAAGTGAAGGAGAAATTGTTGAACCAAGCCAGAGACAGACCTCCCAAATACAAAGAATCACAACTTACTTTCTTCCAGCATCTGGCTCCCTCGACGCTCAAAAAGAGAAGGGATCTCAAACCCTTAACACTGGCCCTACAACAACACGGACTCCATTATACATGGGACCAGCCGTTCAAACTCCTGGTGAGAAAAGAGGAACAAACACACATCCTGACTTCGGTCATGGACATGGAACCCTTTGCGGAATCCCTGGGAATTCAACTCCACAACATGACCCCCTTCCACAGACAAAGAGAAGAAGAACACTCTGAAAATGGGCCTAGATCCGCGAGATCCCCTATGAAAATGAGACCGCCCCCAGAGCAAGAGAGAGCAACCTCAGGGCCCCAGAACAACCACCATTGACTTACACCAGACGTCCGGCCCGGAACACCATCCTGCCGCCACCCAGCTGCTATTTACCTTCTCAACCAACGACCCCTATGACAACCAAAGACCAGGGGCAGAGAAGCCACCCACACGACCCTCCACAAGGGCGATATAGAGAGATCACGCCCTACTCCACCCATGAGACTACTACCAAAGCTCCATAATTTACATGTATTATTGCATATTTGTTTAAATGTTTGAATTATCTGACTTTCATTGTCTCATACTCTTTACAAACTATGTGTATGAACAAAATGTCATTAATGTTCTAGTTACCTGTGGCACCCACGCAACCTCCTCCTGGACTACTGACTGGGACTCAGGAACGAAGGCTACCAAACACCCACACCTTCAGAGGGACCACTTGCGGTACGCCTCACTTTCACCACCACACTCAACAACTACGAATTGTAAGTGATACACTACAGAGGGCGCACGGGGGGAGGGCGAGCCAGGAACGTGAAAAACCTTCCTCCTCTACCCCACCTCACGCTACACGGGTCCCACCAGGGACACCACCTACACACAGAGACCTCACACAAAGCCACCAACGCCCCCCACCACCTGGCGACTGAACTATAAGACCAGGGAACACCACACCCACCAAACCCACATCCCCGCACCACACCTCGACCACACCCTCCCCTCTCTCCCCACCCCTCCCAAGGGGAAACCAGATGCCTCAGTCTCACCCACCTCAGCGCCCCAACGCGCTCCCACCACAATATCCCAACACAAACCCCATAAAGGGCCTCGCACAGATAAACATGCCTAGGACAATCTCCTGTGTCTCCCTTAACTGTAAGGAGCTCAACAACCCCGCCAAACGGCACCAAAGCCTGCGATGGGCAAATAGAACTGGAGCGGATATTATCCTCCTCCAAGAAACATACTATAAACACACCAGAACCTTCCCCCTTAAAAATAGGAACATCATGCCACCTAGCGAACTCCCATCATGGCAAACAAAACGGCACAGCCATCCTAGTTCACAAAAAGTGTCCCCTTCACTTCACGCAAACACACACAGACCCCCAAGGCAGATATCTGACCGTAACAGGACACTGCTCCAACCACAAATACGCGATAACCTCCATATATGCCCCCAACAACCCGGAACCAACTTTCTGGTCAACCCTAAAAGCTCATCTGAAATTATTCACCTCACTCACCACCACCCACCCCACCTCACATGAGCACAAAACAAACTGGTAGCAAAATTAGCCCTGGCCACAAGACGCACTATAGCAGAACAATGGGGAAACCAAACCACTCCCACCCTGACAACGATGCTCCAAAAAACAACCAAAACCATGGAAATGGACAAATTCTTGGCCCTCCTACACGGCACGACCAACCACTATCACAAAATCTGGGATCCATGGATAATAGGGCGCCAACTCTGGGTCTAAACGGAGACTCAAAGCAGAACGTCCAACCCGAATGAACCACCCATGAGCTACCCCCAGACATAAGCCACTCACCCCCACACCATAACCACACACCCAACACCCACAACCCCCAACCACCTTCCCCCAACCCCAAAGACAACAGATAAAACACATAATGCTACATATCTCATCCACGCACGACCCTCAAAGATCACCCACAACGCACCAAACCACAGAATCTAACACGGCAAGCTAAAAAGGCAACACAAATCCACCGAACAAGTTCCAAAACAGCATATAACATTCTCAACAGACTACCCACCTGACCCACAAAAGGCATCACTCACACCCTGACGAGACACCGAAACACCCACACTGGAAAACGTCAGCGCCACGGGATACCACCTAAACACTACTGGGGCACCTCCCCTTTCCCTCCCCCCCCCATCCCCTCACTCCCAAGAACACTTCCACTAAAACACACTCAGCACATCAATGCAGCAACAAAGAGACCAACCTATTAACCCACAAACAATGCTACTCGACCACACTACTTAGAAGCCCACAAACCCCCAAGTGACAACATAAGGCCTGAGCCTACAAATCCAGAACCACATAACAGCAGGCAGATAACGCAATCCACGAAACCACTACACGCATCGAACCAACTCAAGACTTTAGAGACGGACAAATGACCGAAACACCCACACCGCTCCTATCTAAAACTGATACTTGTCAGCAGAACAAATCCATTGTATAATGGTGGAAACTTACAATATACACTCCTGCAAACAACTACCTCTATGCTACTCCAAACCTAGCATAGAAATCCAACTATATGTGGATGATCCATGACATGTATACCCCAACCATTACATCCACCCTCTCCTTCATATACCCCCCTCACACCTTGAAAACAAGACAAAGAATTACCAAATAGAAAAGCTACATGAGAAATATACACGACAATGCACCCTACTCCCCTCCCTCCGCCTTTCTGTACCCCAACCCAACTTTAAGACCAAAACTAATAAAAGTTGACATGTACAGAGAATGTATTCACAAGCAAACAATATACACTGAAACCACAGATGTGAGACATGTACACATGTTCAAAGTGCTTGATTGCCATCATAAAATCATAAACGCATGTATGTTCTGAGAAAATTGCACCGCAAACCTTAACCCCCTATTTTCCTTTCTGTACCCTCATCCCCCCAAAAAAATGTTTTCAAAATAATGAATTTATAAAAAAAAAAAACATATTTATAAAAACATTAGCAGGTGTACAAAAGGCCCTGTCTATGACATCACTTGCTGCTCCAGCCTGGCACAGGTCAGAGTATTTTGGTGGCTGCCATCTTCAAACGGTCGTATTTTAAAAACTATAAACTATCCTACAGCGAAGAGCTTTATATTGTGAGAATCACAAGAAACAGACCTACATTTTAATGCATAGTATGTCTCTGAAATATTAAAACTGAAGGCACAGTCGCAGTTTAGAAATTGCACTTCAAATTTGAGCTTTGTAGAGTGAAGTTTCAATGAATGTCAATGGACGGCGTTAGTTGCAAACAAATGATTATATTGTGAAAACTATCAGGACTATGGCTTAGCCGTTGACATGTTTAGTGGCAGCAGGGATAGCTGAACGTTTTGATATAAGATTTGTGTAGGTGGGCCTGAAAATAAGGGAGTGGTGGCAGTTTAGAAATCATGTCCTGATTTTTCAGCTTTTGCCAGCTCCCACTCTAGTTTTTAACATTTTGCCATTCATTCCTATGGTACCAATTTCTCCACAAGAACGACGATATTCCGTGAACCATTCGGCAAAATGTTCCACAAAGTAATAGCAATCCAATCGGGAACAATCCGCACGTTTCGGTATATTACTATGTAGTGTAAAAACTGTGGGAGGAGTTAGGGTGGTAAATTTGGCTATAATAAGAATAATATATATGTGAGATAACATTAAGTGGTCTTGCTATGCAAGAACACTTAATTATAATGTATTGCATTGCCAAGTTTGGCTCTTGTCTTACCATACTGAGTAATTCAAACAGAAAACTATTTCCTCCCTACTGTCCAGCTTTGAGTATGATGGCTTGAATTTTAATGTCCTTTTCAGCATGAGTCAGTAATTGGCACTTGGTAATAACATTTCAGCTCTTATGTGTTTTCCAGGCTAATAACTGTATTTGTGATCTAGCAGAGTGCGGTCTTACTGCTCTCACAGTAATCAGGCACAGGAAATGGGTGAAAACTGGGGACGGTATGCACCCTTTCAGCACTAACCAGAGCTGTCCTCATTTGCCCTATTTAAAAACAAATTCTATTTGCTAATAATATACTAGTTGAAAACACAATAAAAACCCAAAGCCTGTAAACTTAAAGTCAATTTAACAGGGCACCACTGCCACACCGTAGGGTTTCATAAAAGCCAAAGATGATCTACTACCAGATGCAATCCGGCACACACAAATCAGTACTCACCACACCTCTACACACTACCATACACAGCTACAAAAGTAAAAAAAAAAAAAAAAATGAATAAAGCTTAGCAATTAAACAATTGCTAGGGCAGCAGTAATGTGAAGAGAATAAAAAGCATAAAAATTGCTCACACTGCTACATGAAGATATTCTATGCCCACCTAGTACATACACAGCTATACACAAACACACACTACATGCTCCTCCTCCCCAGCAACTGTAGCACGGCTGTGGCCTTTTTCCTAAGCTATGTGCACCAAAGTCTCTTCACTGAAGTTTTAGAATATGATAGTAGCAATTGATGCTACTGATGCTGCCAGAGATGCACAGCACAGGCAAACAATAGGTCCTAGTTGGCCAGCCTCCTAAACCAAAGCAAATAAGGGAATGATCACCGCCCTGATGTGGACCAGACCACCAGCAATCCTTGGCTACCAAACATAGAATGTGACGGCAGATAAGAACCATTCGGCCCATGTAGTCTGCCCAATATTTCAAAATACTTTTAATTAGTCCCTGGCCTTATCTGAAGTCTAGGATAGCCTTATGCCTATCCCACACATGCTTAAACTCCTTTACCGTGTTAACCTCTACCACTTAATCTGGAAGGCTATTCCATGCATCCACTACCCTCTCAGTAAAGTAATACTTCCTGATATTATTTTTAAACCTTTGTCCCTCTAATTTAAGACTATGTTCTCTTGTTGTGGTAGTTTTTCTTCTTTTAAATATAGTCTCCTCCTTTATTGTGTTGATTCCCTTTATGTATTTAAATGTTTCTATCATATCCCCCATGTCACGTCTTTCCTCCAAGCTATACATGTTAATATCCTTTAACCTTTCCTGGTAAGTTTTATCCTGCAATCCATGAATCAGTTTAGTAGCCCTTCTCTGAACTCTCTCTAAATTATCAATATCCTTCATGGAGATACAGTCTCCAGTACTGCGTACAATACTCCAGGTGAGGTCTCAGCAGTGTTCTGTACAATGGCATGAGCACTTTCTACTGCTAATACCTCTCCCTAGACAACCAAGCATTCTGCTAGCATTTCCTGATGCTCTATTACATTGTCTTCCTACCTTTAAGTCATCTGAAATAATTACTCCAAAATCCCTTTCCTCAGATGTTGAGGTTAGTAGGGTATAAAATATCCTATACTCTGCCCTTGGGTTTTTACGTCCAAGGTGCATTATCTTTCACTTATCCACATTAAATGTCAGTTTAACAGATATGCCCATAGCGTGGACATACCTCACTATTCCATGACAGGTATTTAGGGGCTGGAACTTTGAGACCCCAGACTGTGACAGCAGAAAATGACTAACTGGCCCACCTAGCCTGCCCATTCTGAAATATTTCGAGATTAAATAAATAATCTGTATTGAGCATTGAGTTAAGTGCAGTTTAACTTGGTATAGTAGCGGTCCATTTAAACAAAACCTGAGCATGTGAAAGATAAGGCATACAGAATTCTGTACTCCGCATGAGTCATGCATACAGAAAATCTCAGCTGCAGCCTCGTAGATGTAATACTTATTTTATAGGATAAAATTATGCACACCAGAAGCATTCTTAGTTTTAGCCTTTACTATTTCCTCTGGCAGGCTATTGGTTAAACAATTTTATTTTAGACTTTTCATATATAACTATGAACATGGGTGCTGCTATCAGTGGTTATTGTTTTGCAAGTCTGTCAGTACAGAATCTCATAACAGAGACAAAGGCAAAGAAGGAAGTTGGACTTCCTCTACTGACATCATGCGTCGAAGGGTCAGGTTCAAAGCGGTGAGTTTTGCAAATTGCTGCAGTCATGTGCAACTGTGTCAAGGAGGGATGACCTAGTGAGAATCTCCTTGCATTATCATTATTTTTGCAATATCCTTCTTTTTCTGGGTTTATTTAATTCTTGAATGTATCTGTTGGTTTCTATCATGTCTTAATTTGAACATATTAAGTAAGGTATGAATACATCTCCTTGTATTTTCGTTTCTTTTGTGGAAAGTACCACTTTTATAGTTCTGCTTATAATTATAAATCAAAAAATTCACTAGCCACTGCAAACAAGATTGCATATACATAATCATATAATTATATAGAATCAACAAATTCTGCAAATAAATCATCTTAAACATACCCTTTGCAAAAAAGCCCACAGCCCCCAAACATGTAGAGACACTCAATCTGACTAAAGAGGGAGAATAAAAAAACAAAAACAAAAACAAAGATGCGCAAGTAGACTAAACAAGTTTCCTTTTTCAGATAAGAGGCATTTTTTTGTTGACGCTTTTTTATATATTTATTAAAATGCTGAAACCTTGAACCAACAAGCTGTTAATGGATTATTTCCCCATATTTTTCTGCCAACTAACACTACTACTAATAAATTGAAATATGCAATATAGGACAGAATAATGACCTTTCCTTTGACTGGCTGAGCATAATGTAAAACAGGCAGCGAGCAAAATAGTAGCCATTCCGCCAGTAGAATAGATTTTTCTTTTTTTCTGTTAACATTACTGAATCTGGAGTATAGCACATGAAAAAGGCTAAAATATGCATTTCTGATAGTACTTAACATGCAACATAATTTTAACCACAGTATAATCAAACTAGAAATACATTTAAGGAATATATATAGAACATATAGTAATATATACTATGGGTTTGTCTTGCTCTGTTGTGGATAATTATACATAAACATTCAAGTTTGTATTCCAGCACCACAGGACACTTATTGATACTTTAATATTGGGGAAACACAGTAAGCTACATATTGTGACTAAACCCTCATATTTTAACTTGGGCACTAACTCTCATCCGGATATTTTGTTTAAATTAGGGGGATTTCAGTGGGAATATATGTTCTGGGCAGTGCTGCCCAATACCATTTATCTCTATGTATATTTCAACATTGTCACAATAGTTACAGAGCCCTGTAGTGCAGTTTCACACTAAATCAAAATGCCTCAATAAGTGATTTTGAAGAAAGGTGCTGGTGAGAATAGCTGGCTTTTTTAAATCAAAATGCATTAGTCGATGAACCTAAAAGCAACCTATAGATTAAATATGACGCAGAAGCTGTATCGAACGGAGTGAAAGGAAAACCCCTAAGAGAGCAATAAAAACTAAAAAAGCAAAAACAAACAAACTAAGGTGCATATAATTACTACTCTGCGTGCAACTTGCCATTATCATGAAGTCTGTATAATTATTTTACATTATATCTCTTACTCTTGCATCCCTTCAGCACAATGGGAACTCTGCAACCTCAGGAAATTTAGCCACTAGAAGCAGGTTTTTGACAAAATGTAAACATTGCTGTTTCGCTAAAACAGCAATGCTTTACAGTGTCATAGAAAAATGAACAGTATTCTTATACCAAAACCACCGAATTAAATGATTTCTCCCTTATTTTGTACAAAATAGAATAATGTCCTATTGTTTCCCTCAAAGAGCGTTCTAAGAGGAGATTAACTTATCTCAATCCCATGACGTCACAGGTGCCGCCTCAAGGTCCAATCAAAGGCCTAATGCTTCTCAATGCATACACGTGCTCTGAGCCCGCAAAGGGTGGGAATGGAGCAGGAGAGAGGGCGGACAATTACAAAAATTATGGATGGAATAGGGCGGCGAAAGGACTTCCCTCGGTGTGGGTGGGAGGGAGAGAGGAAAAACAAGAGCTTCTCCCTTGCAGCTGTTTTGTCTGTTGGCAATGTGAGCTGACAACAGATGTAAATTATGCACAGAATTGAAACCAGGCAGCCTGAAACAGTTCTAGGCTGACTAGGTCACATTTGACCCCAGCACACAAATATATCTCTGGGTGTGCAGTGTTTCCAGGAAGTGGAGCTGGAACGGAGCGATTTATGGGAAGCTAATTTTTTCATAACAGGTTCTCCTTAGCATACATTTAAAAGAAAAAAAGATGAGAAGACGACGAAGGTGAAAAAAGCTTACTACAAGTTATAGATGATTTCTAATGTTTTAAGCAATGGTGTAATTTCCTGAGAAGTGACAGTTCCCTTTAAGATTTTGTGCCATAATAGCATTATGGATTACAGACCACTGGTGGAGTGTTTGGAGACTTTATCTACCCACTCTGGTGGCACAGTTCCTTCCTATTTTCTAAGCGCAACTCCATTATCTGTGTCCTACCCTGCTCTCTACTACATTATCACACTAATATCGCATAACCTTAACCGCTAACGCCAACGTCTATACCTGAGGGCGGACTCTGATAACATTACAAAATTCCTCTAGCATTACAACAACTGCTGTAGAAAGTGTTAATTCTACTTAAAAAGAGGGTTAGTGCACCACACTGTTGGCTTAGAAAAAAATGGGAAATGGGTGCAGCTACTAATTATTTGGCAGTTATCCTAAGTGGCCTGAAGGTACAGCTATTCTCCTATTTCTAGTATATAATCGAACTTCCTTCTACTCAAATAGTGCAGTTGCACGTACATCTGCTTTTTGCTTGGTAGGTCTCAATGTATTCTCTCGATACCACGAGTACTATGTGATAACTCCTTGCACACATTTACTGCTCTCTGAATTATAAAAGCATGTAGATTAGATTACTGTATTTACCTAATTAATTATCTATCCATCTGCTAGCGATTTGGTTAATGAAATCTATAAAATACTTTTTACATTTAATAGAGTTCATCTATGTCATATTTCAATTGCAAAGTGAATTAATGCACTAGACACAATTACTATAGTAAAGCTTGTGACAAAAGAATTTACCTCAGTTTAAAATACCAGGAGTCCCATTCTCACAACTCGTTGGTCTAATATCTCCATGCTAAATGCCTTTGCTGGTAGTAATACTTGGCCTGAAACGCAGTAATTGCTTTACTTTTTTTTATTTTAATAATTCAATTAAAGTTCTCGCAGTTTTGCAATTGGCTTATCCAATGGATGCAAAGGCTGTTTGATCAGTGCACTATAAATGTGGCTGGCCAATTCTTGGATTCTCTTTTAGGAAGATTTAAAATTAAAGGACATGTCAATAAATCGAAAATTATTTGCTGCTCCATTCCTCAATTATAAATGTAATCAACAGAGTTATAAGAGAGAAAGAAAACCAAATGTGATCCCTTACAGGTAACATTTCTTATTGAAGTATAAATGACATTATTACTCACTGTTCAGTTTTTGGCACATAACTCACTTGTCACTTTGATAATGTTCCTTTAACTTTTCTACTTATTTCGTTTTATTCCTTATCGTGTCTAGTTAGCAACCTTCTGTCCACTTTCTCTGTGTCTTTAGCAGGTAGCTGAAGGCTCCTATTGCTGAACACTTTTTCCAATTATTCTCTACAGATACGTATGTTGCTTGTCCTCCCCCATACATTTACATTGTATCAGGGACATGAGAAGATCTATATTGAATCATATCTGGGACTATGCAGTGCTATTTAGAGACTCTACATATTTAGGAGAGGTGGAAGAACTTCCATTCAATTCTCACCATGCTATACTGATTGTGCAATATGCCGGGTACACTGTCCTGAGCTTATAAATCCTTATCTAATTTCAAAGTGCACCCTTCTACATATTGCCTAGGTTATTACATGACTTAGGGATTGTTTGCAGGATAAGAACCAGGTTAGATTGAGCTTTAGTTTTTAAGTAATTTGTTACTAGGTAATTCTGTGGTTGGATCAAACTATTTAAGCACACTATTGTACATTTTCTATTTGAGGGACTTCTCACTTTGTGGGAGAACGTGCTCATATATTCATATAGGATTAAGCTCTTGGATACTCCTGGTGTGTCCCACTGGTGTCTTGGTTCCGTAGTTTCTACAGACCCAGTAGTTGATCTTTTTGTTAACATTAGTTATTTATTTTTATTACCTATTTTATTATCTATGCAATTACTTTGAGAAACAAGGAAGCCATCTCCAGTCTGTAAAACAAGACTGTCCAAAGCCAGTCAGAAAGAAACATAGATCTTACTTTCAAGGTAACAGACGTACATTACTTTATTCACAAAACAGGGGGAAATGTTTCATCTATTGTACATAAACTGAGCAGCAACCAAACTGAGAAAAAAAATATGTTAGACATGATTTATTTTACAAGTCTATTTGAGTTTTTGAATAACCTCCAAAATAAAATTAACAGAAGTTATAATAATAATATATCAAATAAAGGCTTCTGTTACATACCCATACCAAATAAAATATAATAATGATATTGCAGCCACCACTGAACTTGGGACTAACAAAAAATATAATACGGGAGATTGAAAAGATAAAATATTAGAAGCCTCTATTAAATATAAAATATATAAAGTTTGGAGACATTTAATGTACCTTAGTAGATATACCTCTCTAAAACCAGCGTGGAATATATAAAGAATATCTATAATTTACCAGTTTGTATATTCCTCACTAACTTTACCTCTCGAGAGGTATTTCTACTAAGATGAGGTTCATCTCCTCAGCCTTTTTATTCATTTTATTTTTATTAAATGATTCAAATATTTGTATCTTTTGCACTCTCTCTATTATATATATTTTTTGTTTTAGTTACTGCATAAGAAGCCTTACTTTGGTGGCGGCTCAAAAAGAAGAGGCTACAAAATGCTAAGAATGCATTCTACTACTCAAGATTTAGAAATCCCAGGTTACTTCAGTGTTTACAAAAGAGTAGTATTTATAGAAGCTACCAAAATGAATCAAAGACATAGACCGATAGAGTTACAGCTATAGATTGCATGTTCTAACATGAAGCGGACTGCACCCAGTGTCTGATCCTTACCTGCAGTTTATCCTCCTCCTTCACCAGCTCCCTTGGCGGAAACAGATCCTTGGCCTGAATATATTCTAGACTGGGAGGCTCTTCACCCTATTGCACAATAATAAAAATAAATATCTTACGTGTAAGGCATTTTTATGTACATGTATATACAGTACATATATTTATTGCAGCAAGACAACATCATATGCATTGACACAGTGCTTGTTCACAGGAAGACTAATTTGTATACAAAGGTTATCTGTGTCAAGCTATACAATCTATGGCTAGAATTATCAACTGAATAGAGAAAATGACCTAAACCTAAGATTGCTTATCTTTATTAGTATAAAGTACTCATGTTTGCAAAGTGAATTGTATCACTAAAACACATGTGAGATATTGCTAAATTTTATCTATAACTGTTCACTTTACCTGCTGCACACACACAGGTGAAAGGGCATGTTTGGGAATTTGTTGTGTGTTTGTTTTTGTTTTTTTTAAATAAATAAAAGTTTTTCTGGTTTTCAGCTAAAATCCTGAAAATGTTCTTTAATTGGCTTCATGATGGTTTTGCTGATTTTTACAAACATAACATTTAAAAAGGAGAGTGTGTCATGAAGCTTTACTCAGTAAACATACTGCAGGTTGATATATTGATAAGCTCTAAAACAATCACTTTCACTTCAGTGAAATGTTAAGTGTCAGACTATAGAGCAAATCCTGTGCTAAAGGGAGGGGGGATATAATCACACTCACACACACAGCACCCCTGACACTCCCAGCACCCTCACACACACACTGCACCCCCTGACACTCACAGTAACCTCTCTCTCACACACACACACACACCCTGCAACCCTGACACTCACAGCACCCATCACTCACACACAGCACACACACTGCACCCCTCACACACAGCTTCCTTACACACACATAGCACCCATCACATACACACAGAACCCATCACACACACACTGCACAATACTCTTTCCTGGCATTTTTGTCTCCTGGTATCCCATATATGGAGACACTAGAGACAAATTTCAAGCTAACACAGTGCAAGCATATTATTAAATTTGCTTGTGCTGTGCAGAACAAATATAGGGTCCATCAGAGGGCTTCATCAGAGCTCATGGTCTGCCCTGGAAGAGCATTGAACCAACATGCTCACTTTGTGATGGGGCGTGCTTGTCATTGGTGATGACAAAACACACCTTATCTGGCCCCACACCCTTTTTAGTGGGCCGATGTAATTTAAAAATGCCCAGGCTGAATTTTGAATTGATGTCAGGAGAAGAGAAACAGAATGAAGGTGGAAGAAATTTGACATACAGGGCTAAAATAGAGATGGGAGCAATATGGTGAGAAATATGGTAATTGATACAGTAAGGAGAGAGACTAATGTGAAGGATATGAAGTGAATTATGATCTGTAGAAAACATGATTAATGTGAAGGTAGAACAGGAATATGTTGATGTAGGAACTGGGAGAAGTAAAGAAGAAGGAAGTTTAGATTATGGATATGGCCGGTGTGAGATCAGCAAGGAAAGGAACGGGAACTAAAATTGGAAGGGTGAATTTATATGTAGCAGAGAGAAGAAAGCTATAAATGAAGAGGAATATTTTAATATGGATTAGAAAACATGCAGCTATGAAATTAGAACTGAGAAGAAACAAGGGATAACACACAATGGAGAGAAGCGACCATAAACAAGCACAAACAAAGTGTGAGAGGAAAGTGAACATAAACGCTAGTTTTAAGGTAACTTTCAGATCTGTTGATGAAATTTATGAGTCAGAGCATATGATTTTCTAGAGAATTTAATAGAGACTGTGCTAAGTAATACAGATGTGTCATGGCTGTGAGGTGAAGTAGATAGCCATTTTTAACATTTTGTAAACCTGTGGGTAGATTAAGAAAATACATAATCTGGTACAATAGTAGTATTGTGTTTACTTGAACTAATAGCCAAAATACTGTGCAACTTTCTAAGAAGATTTACAAATAATAAACTGGTTACATGAATGAAATGTAACACCTTGCAGATCCATAGAGTTTGGGCAACATTTCCCATGACGCTCAACCTGCTAAATGCAAACAATAAAAGAATTATCATCATGCCATTTTATGTATTCTGCTGTAAGGAACTGCAGCACACAAACTGTGCTAGAAGAAGATCATCTGATCATTCAGTTATTCCTGTCCAGAGAAAACTGTAACAGAACATTCTGAAAGCCAAGATCAATTATGTACTTGGATGACGTACAGGGAAGATCACTGTTGATGTCTCTACATAGGTAAAAGGACTGCAGCACTTACATTACACACAATTTTACTATTCACTCATGCAAGGAAAGGACAGATCACCTATTACCTAAAGTACCTTTTATTCCTGTGAAAGAACATTTAATGCCCCATAAAACATTGAACATAACTATAAACTATTTCAAAACCCATTCACTGCCAGGTTAGTTGCTATTGTATAACTGACACAGATAAAGTGTTGCAACGCCGTTTCCATCACAACAGGTGAACCACTAAAAATGGGTGTGATAGCATTTTGATATGCAGGAAGCACAAAGAATGCATGCACCATGTGTAAGCAAAAATGATAATTACCTAGAGCTATAGTCACCATAGGTAAAAAAAAAAATGAAAACAAAACATAGTTTTTAATCTATTCCTTAATGGGCAATATGATAACAAAGGCATCCATCACACATACTGCTTTGTAATGTTCTGGCCTGTGGGAATCCCCAAAGTCATGTTGCCCTGCAATGTGTTCAGCAGTCAAAACTAGATCATTCCTCCCATCTCCAGAATGGGGTGTATGGGTTGGGCAAAACAATACACACATCTGAACCACACCACCACCACCACAAACACAATGTACAGGATTGTATCCCCACTGCAACACACAACAAACACTCACCCCATCACCTCATACACTTAGAAACACCTTACGCAACCAATCTACTACTCGGCATGGGAAAAGGGTATGGAACCCCGACATGGAGGTGTGGGGATAATGTACACAAACCGGAACATGCCCCGGCCAAGCTGACTGCACGGGGTGGGTATAGCTCTCCCCTCCCCCGGTCTACACCCAGCCCTGCTCCATGCTATTGCTGGTCCCTGCACACAAGGATGGGAGACTCACAAAGCAGCTGAGCACCGAGCAGTGGGGGCGCGGCGGGCGCACAGTCATGCTGACAAGGACCGGCCGCAGCTCGCACACAAGGGCCGGCCCGGTGTCACCATCGCGTCGCCTCCTCCTCGGCTAGTGTGCCCAGAGCCAGCTCACTGCGGCCGCTCCATCCACTGGAAAAGGAGGAGGAGGGGCAGGTGCTTCAGCTGTCTGATGCCTCCTCCCCTGGCATGGATTCAGACACACACTCCCACCCATCTGCCGGATCAGCAGGCCCGCACACTGATAGGGATGGCAGCCACCTCACCCCAATAAATAACAACCACCATCAGCAATGGGCTCCCTGGTCAGGGGTGTTCACAGGTAGAGGATGGGCACCTTCTAGAATGCCAGCAGCAGCGCTGGCATGTAACAATCTATCACATACCTGGGGTATGCCCAGATAGGTGGTAACACTAGAACACAGATGGATAACCAGACAGGGTGGGCATTCCACAGACATTAACATTCCAAAGGTTAAACCAAGTCTGCGCTGTATTTTGTATTTAGAAAAAAATGTGTTACTGCTAGACAATATTTAAAGCATGCTTTCTATTTGCAATTTCCCTTGCAAATACCATAAATGTCATTTTATTTTTCCTGAAGGAGATCTGGCATTCCTTTGTAACGTTGGCATAAAACATTAGGTGGGGGAAAATCATGCCAGACATTGCATTAGTTGTTGAAGGTCACGCCAGACATTAAACTGATAAATATTGTGTCACTGAATGACACTGCATCCCAGTCCGATAATATAATTCCTAACAATTCATTCCAGTTAAACAACACATTTGGCATCAAAAAGAAAATGTATCCCTGCTCAGTTTTATTTTCTATGCATCCTTTTAGATTTTACTGGAATGCACAACTTTGAGTTTTAGTACATAAATTATATTCAGGACAGTTCTGTCATTAAATATGATGGAAATAAAGTAATAAATATTTAAAAGAAATAACTCTATAAAGATTCTATTGTAGTCAGTCTCTACTGAGATTGTGAAAACTATTTTGTTCGAAAACTCTAAACCTAAGATCTAAATGCCCACTTATTGAGAAAACCTATTGATCCCTTCTACCAGAAAGTAGAATGTGCTTGTTGGTGAAGAGATAGCCTGTTGCCACTTAAAGGGACACTCCGGCAACCAGACCACTTCTGCCCATTGGAGTGGTCTGGGTGCCAACTCCCACTACCTTTAACCATGCAAGTGTAATTATTGCAGTTTTTTTATAAACTGCAATAATTACCTTGCAAGGTTAACTCCACCTCTAGTGGCTGTCTAGTAGACTGCCACTAGAGGGCACTTCCTGCTCTATAGCACAGAAAACCTGTGCTAGAACTTCGCTGGACGTCCTCACGCTGTGTAAGGACCTCCAGCATCGCTCAATTCCCCATAGGAAAGCACTGAAAAGCATTTTCAATGCTATCCTATGGGGAGCTCTAATGTGCATTAGGTCTCCCTGGCCGGTGGGCGGGATCAGTGTTGCCCACCGGCTGACGTAAAGACTGGGAGCAGCGGCTGCGAGAAGTAACCACCGCCGAGGGACATCGGCGGGGGTCTCAGGTAAGTCACCGAAGGGGTTTTCACCCCTTCAGCAACCGGGGATTGGGAGGTGGGAGGGAGAGGGGACCTGCAGTGCCAGGAAAATGGATTGTTTTTTTAATAGGTCACAAAATTACATCTATACTTTATGGTACATGTAATATGGTTTAGCCCTTTAATCTGAGTAGGACCCACTTTACATCTAGTCTCTGTTCATATTAAAGAAACACTATATCGTTAGGAATACAAACCTGTATTCCAAATGCTAGTGTCCTAGTTGAGGATTAGAGTTGGGTACCTCTACCTCCACCATTTCAGTTAAAAAAACAAAACTGAAAAAGGTTTTAGACTTATCGCTTCTCCAGCGCTTCCTCACGTTACATCATTCGGGTCTCTGATGTCCAATCGAATATCGTGCACACACACAATGCTTTCCTATGAACTGCAACCTCACGTGACAGTGCAGTGAAAGCGCCTCTTGAGGCTGTCTGGAAAAAGCCACCAGAGGTGTTTTTAAGCTTGCAACGTAAAAATTACAGTTTCTACAAAACTGCAGTGTTTTAAATTGCAGGATTAAAACAACAAGACCATTGCACCCCGACTACTTCCTTGAGTTTAAGTGGTCTAGGCGACTTTAGTGGTCCTTTAAGATATCATTCCTCATTGTGAAACTCTAAAGGAACACTAAAGGAATGTTTTGCCTTGTATGCACACTAGCCTCCCCATGCTTACTTATGTGAAAGCATTGGATTGGCTGAAATCATCAATCTCAATGATCTCCGAGAGGCAGACCTACATGCCAGCGACCAGAGCTGCGAGGGAGAAAAGGCAAGAAATACCCTTTTTTGATCCTGGAAGACTGTCTTGGCCACCTAAATGATGGCCAGGGCACAATAGCATTAAAGGACCACTGTAGTGCCAGGAAAACATACTCGTTTTCCTGGCACTATAGTGCCCTGAGGGTGCCCCCACCCTCATGGTCCCCCTCCCGCCCGGCTCTGGAAGGGGGAAAAGGGGTAAAAACTTACCTTTTTCCAGCGCTGGGCGGAGAGCTCTCCTCCGTTCCTCCCAGTCTGCTGAATGCGCACGCTCGGCAAGAGCTGCGCGCGCATTCAGCCGGTCGCATAGGAAAGCATTTACAATGCTTTCCTATGGACGCTGGCGTGCTCTCACTCTGAAAATCACAGTGAGAAGCACGCAAGCGCCTCTAGTGGCTGTCAATGAGACAGCCACTAGAGGCTTTGGGGGAAGGATTAACCCATTAATAAACAGAGCAGTTTCTCTGAAACTGATATGTTTATAAAAAAATGGGTTAACCCTAGAAGGACCTGGCACCCAGACCACTTCATTAAGCTGAAGTGGTCTGGGTGCCTAGAGTGGTCCTTTAAAATACAAAAATTTATTCTTAACGCAGTAGTGTTCCTTTAAAGTATTCTTCTATGTGTAGGTGTTAGAAAAGATAACCCATTCAATAACAAAAGTTTCCAACTTAATTTTTTTTTATTTTTTTTTTTTTTAAGTAGCATATAATGTATTTGAAATATGGAACACGTAGCTAGCATATTAATGTAAACAAAGATTTACATATATACTTCTGCATTACAGTAATACTAAAACTACTCCCCTCCCCCCACCCGTAATTCTAAAGAGATATGGTCCATCATGTCCCATATTTCAGAAAATAATGCCATTGAAACACAAACAACCAAATTTGTTACTTATCGTATGTGCAACAAAAATGGGCAAATAACTTGCTGCTGGGTTTTTTTTTGAACCTAATGGAATTTGTAGGAATGCGGATTCCTAAATATGGAACTAAAACACAAAAATGTCTTTATATGGAGGCAAAACACCCTCATATTTTACGTACACCAAGCATTTGTGCTACACACAGGGCATCACAGGCTGCTGCACTAGAACAGCTCTGTGGAAGAATCTCTGTTAAATCTAGTAACAATTTTTTTATTCCTCTGAAAAATACTTTGCTTTCACACATCGACCCTCTTGAGGTTTTCTGTAACTACAGAAAACACGGCCTTACTGTGAGCCTCTGTGCCAAAGAAGGTGTTAATTAATGTGGAGAATACACTAACCAGTCACAACTAACACTTTTTCTTATTAGTGAGGTATATACAAGAAGTTTTTGAGAAATAAATTAGCAGATGCATGTCCACAGTGGAAATTGTGCTATATTGAAATTAGAAGACAAAGGACCAATTATCTCAAAGTGAACTCTACAAGTGTCAAATGTTCAGAATGCCACACTTTGCAATATTCCAAGGAGGATTGCATTTAATAATGCTTAAAGGAAGACAAAGCTGTATTGATATCACTATAGTATCCCTCCCCCCAGGTCATTAAAGGGTTAAATAGCCTCTCTCTCACTTACCTAATTCCAGTGTCTAAGTCCCTGGATCAGTTCCCCCTCCCCAAGTGTGAGGACATACAGTCACTGACTGGTCATTCCCCCCACAAAGTCTATGCTGGGGAAGGGAAGAGCTACAGCTTTTGCAAGTTTTAGATTTCATATACCCTCCCCCACATCCACCCCAAACAAAAACAAAAAAGAAGAGAAAACCATGAAAAAAGATTTACATACGTGTTTTCTTTGGTGGTACACAGCTAATCTGTTTTAGACATAGTTTTATTAACAGTGCACTCTAAGCACCATAACCCACAACAGCACAAGACTGGTTTTGACACTAATCTGGGTGTATGTACTCAGCCCTACTCACAGGTATTGCTAAAGTGGAAGTTTTCCTGTAGCATTAGATATATCAATTTTGTCCATATCTGGATGGAATTCACTAAACTGTTTTTTTTTTTTTTGGTTTGTTTGTTTTTAACAATACAGTATGGAGAGACCATGTAATAAAATATGTATAACTAGGTGCTAATACTCCAAAGCACTCCTTCAAGTGCCAAAACAAAATCCAATATATGAAAAAAAAGAGATGGTACTAGATTTGCTCCTAAGAGATGCACATACATGCTTTATTAAACCACAAAAAGGTATAACAAACAAGAAGCACAAAATCAATAAGACAAAAAATGAAAGTGACATTAATAAGGCAAACACATTAAACAATAGCAAATTACCAAAACTTACACAAGCCTATTCTTGCAGAAACTCAAGCCCCTAATCCTCCCAAAGTTTCGGCACTTCCTGGCTGTCTTTTTTGCACATAAGGTTACTTTTAAGGACAAGAACACTATCAATATCTTTTTCACTCCATTTTTTTAATGGGGAGTGATTGACTGAAAATGCCTGGTGACACTCCCAGCCTATCAACGGTGCCCATTCCGAGGCTTCCTGGGTGAAGCCGCCAACCATCAAAGGAAGTGGAATGGCAATGCAATCAGGTGCCTTCGGCCAGAATTTGGTTTTAAACCATTAACATAAATGGCTTAACCTATTCAGGTAATATGGCATTCGAGATCTTCTCGCACCATAACAAGTTATTTGCAAAGAAGTTTTTATAGTGCTGGGGTGTCCCTTTAATCATGAAAGGTAACAGTCTGCTTCGAAAAAAAATGTATAATTGATTGATAGAATCCCTTACAACCCTATTTCAAGGCAGGCACTCCCCAGGGTTATTGAAGAAAATAATACGAGCAAAGAGGAAGCAAAGAACAGAAGAATACAAAATTATAGGCTGTTGGTATTAGGAGAAACAATGCATCTGACATGTATAGGATTGTATAAATGGTTATTCCATTCATCAACAGCAAATCAATTCTAACGCAAACCTATGTTAAATTGTTTACAAAGAATCCGTAATAGAAAGTAGATGGATAATTTAAATATGCACATTAGTGATATTACTATCAAACTAAACATATAACAAGTAAATTTATTTTAGTTACCTATGTAAGCGCAGAACAGAATTCCCCTTAGGAAATTACCTTAAATTATTTTTATGTGGGCATCGGCAATTAAACAGAATAGTAATGGAATTTCCCTTTGGTGTCCTAAATTAAATTGGTACCACTTCCTCTTTTTAAGTGGATCAGTCACCATCATTTAATTCTCAAGGGCTTATAGACTAAACAATAAGCAAACAACTTGATGGAAAATTGTAGGTCAAAACAGCAGCATTAGAAATAAAAATTCTACAATTTTATGCTTTTCCAGCTTGGATGTTTTGGTTTATATTCTGCAGCTAAACTTTCAACTCTCAATTTAACGAAGAAGACCCTCAGACAATATCTGCATTAACACTAGCATTCAAATTCAAAGGCAGTCTGTTAGAACATTCTAGGGCAGTGCACATTATGTACTGAAGCAAACAGAGGTACCTCTAGAGTGCTTTAACCCCTTAAGGACCAAACGTCTGGAATAAAAGGGAATCATGACATGTCACACATGTCATGTGTCCTTAAGGGGTTAAAACTATATTATAGCTATATACGTATAACACCTCATTCCATTTCTGCTTGCCCTCATATGACTAGAAATCAATTTAAACCAAACTAAGAGAGATACTTATTAAAGTGTTGCTAATAAAAATTAAAAGTGGTGCAGAGTTCTAGAAGTGGAGTAATCACCCCTAAAACTATAACAATACCAGCGGCAGGTCCAGACAGGGAATTAATTGGAGGCTTTTAACTCTGAAGCCCAGGATCCAAAACATATTACCAAAAGGTTCTTTACTGAATTCTGAGGGGATTCACCCCAAATTGGTGGCTGTCAGATTATTTTCTTGCCTATTGATTGGTAAAAGTGTATATTAGCCCAAGGACTAAGTATGTCAGGTACAGTTTTTTCTTGAATGCTATCACCTTCTATAGACGAAATCGTGGAGAGGAATCTTGCACATTTTATCATTTCACAGAAAAAGCAGTGTTTACAAATTACATACTGCATGGAATTTGTTAAGCTGCAGTGGGACAGGTGCTAAGTGTCCCCCTCTTAATCCATACAATCTTGATTATCGTGCTGCATACTCCAACTTGGGACAACTGGTAGTTGATTTTCTGTTCTCCAGGGTTCTACATGGAGCACTAATATGAAAAAGCAAAGAGTAGTGTACCACAAGGGACTGGGATATGTAATATACTCTGGTAAGAGTACCAGCTAACTTCAGGATAGAACCGTAAAATAGCTTCCAGACTAGGAACAAAAGAAGAGAAAATAATAAAAGAAAAAATAAATAAATTGTATTAAATATAATGTAAAACTATAATATACAAGGTGCTCGTGTACAAAAAGTGAATAAACTAACAGGTGTTAGATGGATAAAGGTCAACCAGTAATGATGGAATGTAAAAAACTGCTATTTCTGCAGAGTTAATCTTGAAATATCAAACTAGTCTATTCTACAATAATATTAAGCTAACTCTTATAGTGGTATAAGGATGAATAGGAATAGCAATATACTGATGCTTTGTTGAAACTGGTTGAAGTAAATATGCTAGGTAACAAAACAATCTGTTACCGGATCATGGTAAGTAATGGGACAAAACCTGATATTGCCTAGCATATGTCTGTGCCAGTGTATATATCTCAGTTAAATACAGCAACCGGGAAAGATAACATAGCAATAGAAATTTGATGGGGGGGGTGGGGGGGTGGAGGAGAAGAATTGTGATTGGCAGATTCCCCATTAAACTCAGATAATATACCCCAATCACGACCTGTAGTTTTAATATAGCCAATTGGTAGATGTTAGAATAGTGCTATCTTAATGGAATGACGGGTACTCCGATCGTCCTAGCGTAGGTGATCACAAGAAGAGTCCTGCCGTGCCTGAGCCGGCGTCTATCACTATAACCACTCTTGATATCAGGTTCGTTAAAGTGATTCGCCAATAATTTCTTAAATTGGTTCCACACTTGGTGGCTATCTGATTGCAAAAAAGAAATTATGATGCTGTAGCAATTCTCTGCTACAGTGTTTCTGTCTATTGACACACTAGATGTCTGGTTGGCTAGGATAGTACTCCAGTACTTTGAAGGGCACCTAAATAAAGTCCCACATTCCAAGATAGTAAAAAGATAATAGCTACTGTAAACTCAACAACGTCCCTCTCATGCCTTCAAGAGCACCTTTTGCTAGTCCTGTTGTGTACTATTATTCCATGATCCCTAAGAAAATTTAGTGTGATCGCTAGGTGAGTAATTGAATAAATAAAAGCATCAGCATGGTGGCAAGTCCGTGTGCTAGCATTAGGTCATCTGAGTAGCACTAAAAGGACCCCTTGTCACAAGCGTTTCGCCCGACCTGCCTTATCAGAAGGGAGATACCTGGAGCACATTTTACAATACTTCCTGACATCAAATTAGGCCAATAACTTTGTGAGCTAAGTTTGTTACTAGAGTATGTATCCACATCCCCATATTGGAACACCATATACGGCTTCAAAGCATTCTACACACTGGTTGTGCCCCTGTTAGGTGCCTTTCCAGTGACACTGAGAATGCATGGGGCATGACTAACATCAATAGATGCAGCTCCAAAAGTTATTTAAAGGGACCAGGGTTAAAAATCTTGCATTTTGGCAATTTTACCATACAAAGTACAATTTCCTTATCAAATCTTCAAAATGATAGGTTAGTAAATTGATACATTTGCTATGTTTAATTTCTTTTTAACTTGTAAAATAGAATTAATAAATTTTATATGAAAATAAACTCACAGGTCTATGGTGTGGAAGGAAGAAATTTAGGGAGGGGGGTGGTAAAGATGTTAAAGGGTCAATCCAAGAATTTAGTAAAGATGTTAAAGGGTCAATCCAAGCATCATGATCACTTCATCATACTTATGTAGTTATGTTTCAAAGGCCCATGCACCTGTGGTTTTTCTATTGTAATTGCACTGTGACTCAAACACTTGCTAAACAGTTTATGTGGAATATGATTTCAAAAAACCTATGAGAAGCTTTGGTGTGTATATTTGCCCTCAATTCTTCTCAATTAAGCATTTGATTGAATAATGCCCTATACTAACAAGTCAAAAGGGGATGGATTTTTATTAGTTGCAGAGGCCATTTGTGCAGCCGATGAAAAGAATATTGTAGGTTTAGAAACATTTGTTAAAATGTTAGTAAAAATATATTTTAGATTATATATATGTGTGTGTGTGTGTGTGTGTGTGTGTGTGTGTGTGTGTGTTTTTGCAACTACTAATTATATGCATTAAACATATGCATGTATTATTCGTTTGAAAGTACATAGTAGTCGATCTGTACCTTATGCTTTACAACCAAGTGATATAAATACAGGGGATGTCACAAACTCATCTTCAAATAACCCAAGATATATTCTTAAAATGCTGGTTGCAGCAAATTTAGCGGTACAGTGCTGCCAAAAACATTACTAATGTACAAATGGTGTTAGCTTTTATGCAAAGCTAACACATTTTATTTTTTAATACACAAGTAAACACGGCAATATAAATAAAGGATTGCCATGTGTTTGTGTTGAAAAGGTTGAGATGAAAGCATGTAGATGTTAAAGATTGACAGATTAAGGCTACAGCATGATTAATATTTTACCGTACTTGTCTCCTTTATACGATTAGCTTTTTCACTACAAAGTTTAACAGTGTACTTTTTCCTGTTCTATCTCTTGTCCTTGAAAAGCTCAGTTCTCACTAGATTTGATACAAGTAGCCTGCCAAAACATTCTTTCAGATAGGCAGAACCCTTGTTTCTGTAGACTACTCCGTTTAAACACCATGAGCAACGCTTGCTCAACTACTATAAAACAGAAGAATTAAAAATCACTATATATAAAAACATCACAGATGGAACCAAGAGAACTAACTTGCTGAGTGCTCTGCAACAGTCCTAACAACTTAAAACCAGCTTAGGAAATGTGAAATACATGGCCATTTTTATGCACCTCTTTGGTTCTGTCAGGATAGGGTATATTTTTGTTTTCTATATTAGGGCTAGGATTAGGATGTAGTTTAGTATTAAGCTCAGGGTCAATTTGTAGGGGAACAAATGTTCAGAAAGTATGTGATTTATTTTTTTAAATTCAAACTTTAGTAGTAAGAAAAAAAAATGCCTTTAAAATAATGTAAAGAACACTATAGTGTCAGGAATACAAACAGGTATTCATGACACTATAGCTTTAAGATCGCTGTTTTGATGACCAGCCACGCTCTTCCTGCAATAAAAAGGTGATTTTACTAATCTTTTTCCTACAACATGTGGGTCTCCTCACAGCTGGCCCCGCTCTGCCCCCTTGGCTGAGATTATTATTATTTATAAATTGCCAACAAATTCCGCAGCGCTGTACAATGGGTGGACTAACAGAGGGCTTAGTGTTTTGTTTTGATGACAGTTGCGGGAGAGGAATCAGGGTGCAGGAAACGAAAGCTGTTGACAGTTTAATTGATATGCTTTCTTGAAAAAGTACATTTTGAAAGATTTTTTTTGAAGGAGTGGAGACTGGGTGAAAGTCTAATAGAGAGAGGAAGGGCGTTCCATAGCAATGGTGCAGCCCTAGAGAAGTCTTTAAGGCGAGCATTAGAAGTAGGAGTATAAACAGAGGATAGATGTAGGTCTTCGGCAGAGCGTAGGGGCCAAGACGGGACCAAACTTGATGGTCTCAGCCAATCCAATGCTTTCCCAGAAGAAAACATTGGGAGGCTATCAGGTATTTACGGCAAAATGCCATGCTGAGCCAATCAGCATCTTCTCTTAGAGGTGCATTAAATCAATCCATTCTTTGGGGAATGAAGAGTATTTTCCTTTCTTGTAATAACTTAATTGGCAAGAGTATTTCCAGAGGATGAATCTGAGCGTTTTGCATTATTTAAATATTTGAAGATACACAAGAAAAATAGCTTTTGGTCTCTGCACATATGTCTTTCAAACAATTTCAGAATATCTATTAATTCATCCCTAATCATATTCTCCAGTCAAACACATGCAACTATACTCTGGTGGAACAAATTTAAAAAACTTAGAAGCCGTGAGGAATGAATACGGTATTGTTATTGTATTCAAAACAATGTACAGATTTTCTAAACTATTTTTTAATTATATATATTTTTTTTAAAGTTGAGTAAAAAAAAAAAAAAAAAAAAAAGCATTCATGTATTTTAAAGCAGGGAACTGCAACTTTACACATATGTCTAAAGTCTGTTCCGAGTCTAAATTCAAATGACTAACAATCTGCATAGAATTCCATCCCAAAAAATATAAAAATAAATTAACAACCAGCATGTATTTATCAGCTTGCTAGGTAATTTATGCATAACTGGAAGGAAGCACTCCTCCATATTTTTCTGGTAGAACAACATATATTTGAGGGGACAAATAGTGAGTAGTATAGAAAGTATAATTTGCTTAGTATATGAATTCACAAAAATACCATTACGGTAGTTTATTTTTTTTGCAGCCTATGGTCAGGGTACTGAATCCAAGTCTATTTTTTCTTTAATGCACGCAAAAAGTATTAAAAGGACAGGCCATGTTGCATGGAGTCACTGGCTGCCATCTCTCAGATTCCTGTCAGACTGTTTGAGGTGTTTAAGAGAAAAACAAAAACCAAAGCAGAAAAAAAAAAAAAAAAAAGGGATTTTCTGATCTTTTTTACTTACCAATCTGTTTTTCTTTGCATCATAATTTTATAACATGACAGGAGGCTTCATATTTGCTTAAGTCTCTCTTTACTAGAACTCCACAGCAGCAACACACAGAGAGTAAACAACCAATCAGAAAACAGTAAGGAGACCATATAACCTCCTTCCCAACATTCCATTTCCTCTTTCTTTGCTGCTCCGCATCAGTACAGGTCAGAGTACCACTGCCTCCTGCTATTATTAGTTGGTGGCTTTGGGATTTTAAGATGTCTCTGTATAATTATTTATATTGTTATATTTTCTTTAATGTCTTATTTGGGGACTGTTTTGTTCCTTATAGGGTAAACTATCTGCCCTTTTACTCTCTCTTTGGGTTAGTGAGAATTTCTTCTTTTCCTATTTTCATTTCTGGGGCTCTTTCCCCTTAACTGTCCCCTCTCGTTTTCCCGTTTCCCTTGCTACGGGTTTCGTCCTGCTCAGGGGTTTCGAGAGGCTGGCCTACTGCTGCCTCCTCCAACCCCCTCCCCCACCAAGCCCTCTGGACCGCAGAGTACATCTCTAGCGGTCCCATGTGTATTTTCTTCCCCTCCGGTCGCGGGGTGCTCGCGGCACGAGCGCTCTACCCGCCGACCGGAGCCTCTCCACGTAGCCGCCGGATCGATCCGCAGACCGCGTGTGTCCGCCGAGTGGAGGAGGGAGCACTACACGCACGCATGCTCCCTCCCCCGCCTGTTGGAGTGCTCTATAGGCATGAACAGGTTACTAGGGTTTCCCTATTCTAATAAAGACCGCGGTCTAAGGCCTACCTAGGTCCTGGCGGTCTGGGAACACCCCTTACGCCCCTGCAATTAACACTTCACTGCATCACTATAATTTGTTGGTGCTGGGGTTTTCTACACAGGATTTTAGTTTTGATGGGGGTGTTCACTGTTGATATATGTGTAACTTGCATTAACCCCTTAACATTAGGCCTTTCAGGCCCTATTTGACTATCTGAGGAGTGCTCCATTAAAAGTGACCCTTTATATACCTTACACCTCTCAGTAGTGACCTGGCCTGCGCTGTCTGTGCCCCTGTCACTGGCCTGCCTTGCCTGTGCCTCTATGACTGGGCTGCTTTGTCTGTGCCCATAAGATTGGCCTGCTCTGTCTGTGCCCTCTGACTGGCCTGCCCTGACAGTACCCTTTTCTGAGCCGGCGCTTGCCCGTGCCTAAATCCATTACGGCTGCTGGCCTAGGATATTATACGGGGAGATTTTTATACTGGGGGTCCACCACGACCACACTATAGACACTAGCAATTGTGTCCGTATACATTGCTCCCATAATAGCTGGGTGACGTGTCATTTCTACCCCCAGGATCACGCTACGGTCAGGATATGGACACTCCAACCCAAGAGAGCCTACAGGCTATGATTAACGTGGCTGTTGCCACTTCTGTGGAGAAAGCGCTTTCACGCGCACTGCCTCGGTCATCCCAAGATAGGGATGTATCGGAGACTCAGCGCACGCTGATAGAGTCCGGCCCCGAAGGGTGAAGGCCCTGAGCCGAATAAGGCTCCTGCAAAGAGACCCAGGCAGACGACCACCTCATCTCCAGCGCGCCCACGATACTTCCCCAAAGAGGAGGAAGAATTCACCCTCCCCGCCCCCCTGTCCGTACTGGATGAACGGCGGGCAGATCAATAGAGGAGGAAGAATTGTTGCCACTTCTGTGGAGAAAGCGCTTTCACGCGCACTGCCTCGGTCATCCCAAGATAGGGATGTATCCGCATCTGCCCCTGTTGGATTCCTGAGGCAACCATCACCCCCTCGTACTGGAAGGCCATCTCCACTTGGTGGCTTGGACTCTTTCCGGGGTACCTGGAATGTCGATGAGCTATCGAGATCGGCTAGAAGCCTCCTCTGGGACTCATGGGCCCCGGGGACGAGGAGATGTTATCTTTCCGCCTGGAACATATGGTGTCGTTGGTGCATGGAACGAAGTATCGATCCCTTTACAGCACCTGGATCCAGCGTACTGAATTTCCTTTCTCACCTCTTCGACCAGGGGAGGTCATATCGCTCTGTTAACGTTGCCAGATCGGCCATTTCAGTGGCTCATGTTCCCCTTCAGGGGACGCCCATTGGACAAGACCCATTGGTTTGTAGACTATTGAGAGGAATCAGATTGTCACGTCCACCGGCTCCTAAGTATACATCACTCTGGGATGTGCACCAGGTTTTGGATTTCATTCAGGTCGTGGCCGGAGAATCAGGACCTTTCTCTACGGCAGTTATCGGCCAAATTCACACTTCTCTTTTGCCTGGTATCGTTTCGTCGGGTCTCCGACGTCCGGGCTTTTGATATTAACGCATTTACCTTTTCCCCAGATGGGGTGACTTTTTCGGTGTCGAGACGTACCAAGTCCGACTCAACTGCCATTTTCTGCCCTTTTATTCGAGAAGCTCCTAAGCTCTGTGTGGTTTCTGCTCTGTCTCGCTATGTGGCAGTTACTACCCCACTTCGAAGTTCCCAATCGAGATAGCTGTTGATATCTTATGTAAGGCCACATAAACCGGTTTCTACCATTACTTTGGCTCGTTGGATCAGATGGCTTTTGTCGTTGGCCGGCGTGGACTCCTCTTTTGGTGCTCATTCGGTAAGGGGCGCGGCGGCATCGGGAGCCCTGGTAGCAGGTGCTTCCCTGGCAGATATTCTACGTTCAGCGGACTGGTCTCGAGAAGACACATTTCGATCGTTTTATTTCAGACCAACGGAACATGCAGCTTTTGCCTTACTGGCTGAGCGTTGAAACAGCAAATATGAAGCCTCCTGTCATGTTATAAAATTGTAGATTATGCTAGCTTTAGTGTACCTATAATCTTAATTTTCAATTATGTTTATCTCGTTTCAGTGTAAAGTGCCCAGGATGAGATCACGACCAAGTTTTTGATTCGGTTGAAGATTCCTATGAGAGTCGTTGTTTCTGTCAGAGATGGACTGTTATTGTTATGTTATGGTTTTTTTTTTATGACTGTGTTTTGTTTTCGCAGCTTGAAAGAGGAAATGGAATGTTGGGAAGGGAGTTATATGGTCACCTTACGGTTTTCTGATTGGTTGTTTACTCTCTGTGTGTTTTGCTGCTGTGGAGTTCTAGTAAAGAGAGACTTAAGCAAATGTTCGCCTCCTGTCATTAATAAAATTAAGATTATAGGTACACTAAAGCTAGCATAATCTACAATTATCTGAGATAAGTAAAGACAGAACTGATAAGGCTGTCAAACCATGCATGATATTTGCTGTAGTATAACTTGTGTGAAAATAACACGGATACACTGGTGACTGTCTCCTGCACTTAAGGCAGTAATTTATGGAATATGTAGTTTAGTACTAACATTCTGCAGTATTTTAATCAAGGAACGATAAGAATGAAAAAAACTGCAGAATGCAGTTTCTATTGGCTTAATTTATAGCTTTATCCCCATTTTAATTGAATGTCTGCAGCACAAGCTCTCAAAGATAAGATTTTTCTTATTTCTTGTAAACAGCATGGAGACTTGCAATGGGGTACTCATACATAACAGCCAATTCTACATGCTTTTAGAAATAACAGAATGCAAGAGAAACAGGGGAAAGGGGACATCCAGCACCATAACCCATGCTTAGGCACTTGTAGTACTTCGAGTCTCTATAAAAAAATCCCAAAAAGTAAATTACAGCTTCACTTGAAGACACTTCCTGGTCAGTTTTTGCAGATATACAGAAATAATACAATAAAAGGGACTGGGTGATACATAAAGTTTCTACATTGACTAGAGCCATTACAGGTTTGTTCACATTCAAATGTAATTACAATTATCTAATTCCAACAAAATATGTATGACATATGGGAACAGTTGGTAAAGAGGGCCCCAATAGCTGAATAACCAACATTTTAAGAAACTGATTGAGATTTTGGCATTCTACACTTAGCATCTTCAACCTTACCGAGTTATTACGAGTGCCTCACAGGCACTTAACAACATGTTGTGTATCTCTCAACCACTGCAACTAGTTTTCCATACGCAGTAGGTGAGATCCCTTGTGTATATATTAATATACATGCCATTAGTGGGGACTGCAGCACTGGGACTGTGTGCTTTCTGAAGTCTATGATTAGGTACCATGGTGAACAATAAACATGTCAAGACTCCCTAAGTTTGTACCAGAAAGACAACTTTTTAACCTCGGTTAATCTAGCATACACATCTAATTATAAATGTTATGCATATCTATTTCATACTACACAAACCAACCTTTTTTGACCAAATCTCATATAATTAGGCATACACTTTAAAATGCAATCACTTTTTTAAAGTGTTACTGTCATGGTACACACAAATTATATTTAAATTAAATAGCATTAAAGAGTTACTCCAACCCTTATAACTTTAAAAAAAAAAAAAAAGGAATAATGCCTCATTGGCTTACAAAAAAAAAAAAAAAAAGGAATACAATTTTTTCTTACACATGCCTACATCTGAAGCCACGTCAGGGATTGTGCAGTCCAATTAATGACTTTGTGGGGTAAACAGAATATGGCCATATGTGGCACTGAAGATCCTCATATTTATTTGGTAAAGTTGTATTTTTGTTTGTGTGTGCTGTTCCTTTAACTGTATTTTGTATGTTTTGATCTTTACGGCAGCACCACTGCATGGATATGCATGTTCTGTTTTTTTTCCTGTGTAGAATAGCTTCCATTATGCTTTTTTAATTATAAAAAATATATATATTACCGTATATACTCGTGTATAAGTCGATCTCATGTGTAAGTCGAGGGCAGTTTTGTAACCAACAATTGTGAAATATGCTATGCCTCGTGGATAAGCCGAGGGTAAAACTTGGGGCTATGAAATTCTGTGATTTTTAGAATTATATACACACACACACACACACACACACAATCTGCATTCTACACACACACTGCATTATATACGCAAACACTGTGTGTATATAATGCAGAGTGTGTGTGTTTGAGTGTGTGTAGAATGCAGATTGTTTGTATGAGTGTGTGTGTATAATGCAGAGTGTGTGTTTGTATGAGTGTGTGTTTGTGTGTGTGTGTGTGTGTGTATGTATGTGTGTGTGTGTGTGTACTGGGTGGGAGGAGAGCATTTTTATTATAATTTTTTTATTTTAATATTTTAAGTTTTTTTATTTTATTGTATTTTAAGTTTTTTATTTTAATATTTTTTATTGTATTTTTTTTATTATTTAATTAAATTTTCGTCCCCCCTCCTTGCTTGTTAGCTTGCCAGGGAGGGGGGCTCTCACTCCCTGGTGGTCCAGTGTATGGGTTGTGTAGGAGGTGGGCTGACAGTGAGCGGTTACTTACCTTCCTGCAGCTCATGTCAGCTCCCTTCTCCTCCGTGCAGCTCCTCTGTCAGCTCCCACTGAAAGTCTCACGAGAGCCTCGGTGACCCCGAGGCTTTCGCGAGACTTACAGTGGGAGCTGACAGAGGAGCTGCACGGAGGAGAAGGGTGCTGACAGGAGCTGCAGGAAGGTAAGTAACTGCTCACTGTCAGCCTCCAACATGACCGCCGGGCTTGTAATGAGCCTGGCGGTCCTGGTCTGTATTATGGCATAATACAGACATTGCCATAATACAGACATTAACTCGAGTATAAGTCGAGTGGGGGGTTTACAGCACAAAAAATGTACTCGAGTAAATACGGTATGTGTGTGTGTGTGTGTATATTATATATATAATATATAATCACATATATATTATAAACAGCTTCTGCTTTTTCCTAAAATGTCCTTCCCTGTTCAGACTTCACCTTCAGTTTGAATAAAAAATCTCTGTTTTTTTCATTGTTTATTCACTTTCTGGATCTTATCACAAAACATTACTTCCATTTACATGTCTCAGCACACACATTCAAGTGGATATATTACCTACCTCTTCCTCCTAATTCCTACTTCCTTTAGTTATATTAGGCATTCTACTCAAACTCTTTGCTAAATGTCACGGGCCTTACAGTCTGAATTTCATCCTCTTTAAACTTTCCTTCTCGCCTATGCTCTCCCCTTTCTCACTCTACCTGTAGCATCATTTGAAATCAAATTAATCTCCTAATATAAGTCTCCCATTATTATTATTATTATTATTATTATTATTATTATTATTTATATAGCACCATCAGATTCCGTAGCGCTGTACAATGGGTTGAATAACAGACTTGTAATTGTAACCAGACAATTGGACGTACAAGAACAGAGAGGTGGAGGGCCCTGCTCAATGAGCGTACATTCTGGAGGGAGTGGGGTATAGTCAGGGCCGTCTTTAATTGTGATTGGACCCTGGGCAAGCATTTACTTGGGCCCCCTGACTATATATAGATACACACAAATACACTACCTGACACACATGCAGATACACACTGACCGCATGTAGATACACACAAGAACATACAGATACACACAGACTATATACAGATACACTGACACACACATAGACATACACACAGATATAAACACTGACATACATGCAGATACAAAAGGTACACCCATTGACTACATATAGATACACACACACACTGACACACATCCAGACACACAGATACACAACCTAAAACACATGCAGATATACAGATACAAACACTGACACATACAGATACACACACAAACGGAAAACATACAGATACAGAGACACATTCTGACAGACGTACTGACACAGACAGTCATACTGAAACACACATACACAAAGACATACTGAACCACACAGACACTGACATACAGATACACTGACAGACATACTGGCACATATACACACAGACAGACGGACATACTGAAACACACATACACACAGACAGACATACTGAAACACACATACACACAGACACTGACAGACATACACACATACAGACATTTTGACACACACAGACAGCCATACTGAAACACACATACACACATACATACATACTGACACACTGACAGACATACACACATACACTGACAGACATGCAGACACACTCACAGACATACACACATATACAGACATACTGAAACACACATACACTGACAGACTCTCACACACACAGACATACTGGCACACTAACAGACATACTCATGCAAAATTTGATAACCACCCTCCAGTTTCTTACCTTTTCCTGGAGGGTGGCTTCCCTGGGGTTCAGTGGGCTGGCTGGGAGTTAAGCTCTCCCGGCCTGGCCACCTCCGGAACAGCTCCTTCCTCCCACGCGGCTCCTGTTTCTGTGGGAGGAAGTGACGCGCGGCTGTCACTTCCTCCCAGTGCTGCCAAAAGCAAGGGCCCGGTCGCGCTGTTAAAGCGCCACAGCGCCCGACCGGGCCCCTGCTGACACAGGCCCACTGGGTGGCCCTAAGTGCATGGGCCACCCGATGGGCCCCCATAGTTTGCGGGCAGAGGGCAAACAGGGCAGTTACCTCGGGCCCCCCAGCAGGGACAGGGCCCGGGGCAGCTGCCCTGTTTGCCCCGCGTTAAAGACGGCCCTGGGTATAGTGACCTAAAGGGTAAAAGTAGGGGTACGAAGTAGGTTGTTAGAAAATAATTTACTGAGGGCATAGTAGGTAAATTTTGACAGTTGCAGGAGAGGAGTCATGGGGGGTGGGGGATAAAAAACTGCTAACATTTTAATTTATATACTTTCTTGAAGAAGTGAGTTTCCAATTATTTTTTGAATGAGTGGAGACTGGGTGAAAGTCTTACGGAGAAGGGAAGGGAGTTCCTTAGAAGAGGTGCAGCCTTGGAGAAACCTTGGATATTTACATTTAATCTCCCCTTTTCACAGTGTTTTCTGGAATACCTTGGCTATTTGAAACAAATCATCCATTTCGGACCATTCTTCTTTCAGAATCTTTTTTTTTCTACTTTTCTCATATGTTTTTCTTTAAAACATAAGACAAAGTAGGAAACATTCCTATCTTGATAAAGGGTGGAGCTTAAAGTAGGTTTCACTATTTTGACAAAGGAAGCTCCACCCTTCACTTCAATGCTGTTTTTGGTCTGTACATACTGTCCCTGCATAGTGACAAATCCAAACATTGCTTTTTGTAGGAAATGGCAATGCTTACATTTGTCACTGAAGATGTTCTATACGGTGTTAATCAGACAGCGCGCTAAGAGCAATTCCTCATGAAGCCTTTCAATAACTGAAGTGCTATAGGCAATAAGAATCATCTGCCTGGATGAATGCGTCGCCAAGTAGATCCCCAATCCTTCTCTGCAAGTAGTACTAGATTAGACCTAAAATTATATCTCATTGTGGGAAGAGCATCTGCATGAGAGAAACTGACATGTGAGAGTTTACCTGGATCATTTTTTGTTTTAAAAATGGGGTGCATGCATGCCATATAAGAAACACTCTCAAATTCTAAATGAATATTTGTTTTTAATGTTCAAGTATTCCTTTAAATGCTCAGATTAGTAGGGCTAAAGACTGAATATGTTCTAATATAGATTATGCAACAAAGTCATACAGCTATAATGAATAGAAATAAACAGAACCTGCTTAGTCACTATGCTGACAAATTATAATGGAAGTAGACATTACTTATTTTTGCACAGGAACGATATATATATACACACACACACAACATACTGTCATTCAAGAGAAGAAAATAAAATCCAGGAGATTAACAGCTTGCTTGACACAATGCTCACCTCACTGGGGCTTAACGGAACATAAGTTATTTCAGTGTTAATGCCGAATAAAAATTACTGGGCATAGAAACCCTACATTGAGTACTTTAAGAAACAGAGCAGAGTGAACATGACATGAGAAGAGAGGGAGTTAAAGGAGCAGTGTAGTGTTGGAATACAAACATGTATTCCAAACACTACTGTTCCCCTACCCATGCACCTGTCACCCCTGCCTATGAGGATTATCAAGGTGAGTATTTCTTACCTTTCTTATCTTGCCTTGGCCACTACGCCTCACTGGCTGGGATAATCAAGACTGATGATCCCATAGGAAAAGCAGTTGAATGAGAACTGAGTCTGATTCGGTTCTCACAGGGAAGCGCCTCAAGTGGGTGTCAGGAAGTGAGTCAATAGAGAAGGGATGACAAAAGGTAGAGCCCCAGATGTTTTAGAAACTTCAGCTTCCATGATGCTTTGCCATTCTAAATTAATGCAGTGCAACATGGGAGCTGTAGTTCAACAACATCTGGAGATCTACATTTTGGGAACCCCCTGCACAAGTAGTACATTTTACCCTGCAATGGAAAAATTGCAGTTTCTACAAAATTGCTATGTTTTACATTGCAATCTTTGATATACCGGTAAGCTGGGTGCATTCTGTGGTCCTATAACAGGTGCTCAGCTTTTCAGTGCAAGAGTGCATATGAATAAAATAAATTCAATGACAAACCTAAGCCCTGAATACAATGACAGTACAATACGGTTAATTTCTTAATCTTAAATTCAGTCAAGTGCTTATAATTGTAACTAGTAATTCTATTCACTCTACTAAACAGGCAAGTCTGATGTATGCAAGAAAAACAATGTAGTGTCTACTTACCATGCTGAGCTTCTTCTTAAATCAAAGTTAAACCTAGAACAGAAAGTAACAAACTGTGTTAAAAAAGGTTACACGAATGCATATATGAATTTATACAAGTACCACCTTCATACCAGTAGGATGAGAGTCACACCCCTTCACCTGATCAGATAGACATTGGCAAGATGTTCAAAAAAATTCCACACAAGCCAGTGCCAGTCGCACAAATTATGAGAGGAAGATACAAAAGGGAACCACAAACAGGTAAGAGTTGCTAAGGCAGCAAAACAAACAGAAAAAAACACTACTGTTTTTTTTTGTTTGTTTTTTTAAATATATATAATACACCCTTGGGAAACTAATGCCAGGCTGCCATCCATAAACATGCAGTGTAGTGTGGTAGCAACAGTTTCATAGATGCAAATACAGCATCAGTTTATGCATATAAAAGATTAGAATATCTAGATAGACTGATCAGTTAACAGTGTGGTAGTTGCATTCTCATTGAGAGAAACAGACTACAGCAACAAACTTTTTAAAGAGAGTAAGAAGCATACTTTTCATATGAACACAAGTGTGCTGGGAGTGGTGGTGTCCAACAAAAACACAACACAGCAAGGCAATATTCAATGGAAAACATGTATTACTTCAGGCGTACTTCATAATCATCGCTAGGTGATAAGACTTTCGGAGTACATCTTTCTGCTCCCAAAACAATTTTACAAATCACACGCAGAGGCAGAATAAAGAAAGGCACTGTTTTGCTACCTTCTCACAGTGCAGAGTCAGTATGTAGAATAATGACAATCTGTGATATACGTCCATGGATTTTCCTACAAACGAGTTATTGGCTTGTCAACAATAAATAAATAAATAAAACAACTATTAACTTTTGTCAGTCTGTTTTCAAGAATCATATAGCATTCACTAATCTGTGTATTCAGAATATTGAGCCAGTAATATATGCAGTTATTGCATATGGCTATAACACAGAATGATTACAGATATGCACAGCTTTTTTTGACATTAATAATTTAAATGCACGTACAAAGACAAACCAGTTGAAACTGAATATGCATCAAACTGAAAGTGGAAAAAAAAAAAATCAAAGCAAAGAGTTATCTTTGACAACTCACATATAGAAACAAAAACATAAAAAATATTCAAGTTCTAAAGCAAATAAGACTTGTTAGTATGTTGTTTTCTGTACCCTGAAAGGTGTATGTAAGAAGATACTAGTATGTATTTGCTTAGGGTTTGCACTAAGCATTTTATCCCTTGTTAACCATTACAACAATAATGATTACACTTACAGAAAATGAAACCTAGTACTATTGAAACAGAAATCTACCAGTCCCCTCCCCACCCCAAAAAACAAACATCTAATGTCACATGTAAACAAAACATTTGCAAACCCAGTTATACTTTCCTTGTAAAATAACAACAGATCTCTAAAAAAAATTAAAAAATTAAAAAAATAAAAACGCTAATATACAGAATGATTTCAGGTTTGTTTTTTTTATTATAGTTTTAATAACAATTAGCCCAGAGGTAGAAGAAAAAAAAAATTCCCATAATATATGCATGTTTAATAACATATTTAGCTGCTTCCTGGCATTGTAGAGTAAAGCAATGAATTGATATATCATCCTTGCACGTTAACATTTATAAAAGGATCAAAATACATCATTATACACAAAGATGAATACAATCACACCCTGAACCAAAATACCCAAAACCTGCTACACCCCAAAACACCATATTTCATCCTTCACAATGCTCTGACAGGCAACCAATAGGAAGCACAGCAATAAAACCCTGTTAAACACTAGCCCCTACCTCAGTATAATAGACAGCTCCCAGCCGGTTGTTATTGTTTATTTTCCGCTATTCTGGTGTGTGATAGCCCTCAGCATACTTCTCCCCCTGTCACTGATTACTTCCTGGTACCCAGTCGCTCGGTAGTGACGTCAGTGGTGTCGCCAGTAAGCAGTCCCGTGCCCTTCCCGTGGAACTGTCCACCCAATGCGGTGGCACACCGTGTCCTCATTTGCATACTCCGCCCATCACGCCCCGCCATGTTGGTTTCTTGGTGTGGGTTTTTTTTTTGTGACGTTGTGGGCGTGGCTAGTACTACTAGCTGCACATCATGTATAAAAGGATAGTGTGTAGGAAGCATGCATTTTTAATATACACAATAAAGTGTGTGTGTGTGTGTATATATGTATATATATAAACTGGGTTTGGGATTTATTTATTTACTTAATAAAAGGTCATCAGATTTTAAAAATGTGTTCACATTGAGTATTTTTATTCTTCAAAGAAAATAAACATCTAACCCAACCTCATTTGCTTGTTGCTGCACACAGAGCAATCACATCCTCCCAACTGTCCCTGTTTAAGAAAGATAGTCCCAATTTTTAGCTCAAATCTCCCTGTCACTGTTTATTTTTTTTCCTCCCAATGTCTCTCTTTTTTAGGGGCTTTTTAGGGGCTTCAAATTGTTGGTGTGTCTGATTATAGCAGAGCTCCACAGCAATAACAGTCTTTAAATTGCAATACTTGTATACTATAATATACACTGTTCTTTGAAAATCCCTTTGGACGGTTCTGGTTACATGATTCCCATCAGTGGCCTACCCTTATACCCGGCCCACCGAAATCCTGCTTCACTGGACACTGCTGTTAGGGGGTATGTATTTAATGATAGCTATATCCTGTGAGTTTCCCTCCAGGACCACCTCCACCAGATCCATAACGGCTTGGGTGGTATAACTGTTTTAGTGTTTTCTGTTGATAAGATTCTGTAATGAGGCCCACCATAATTGTCATCACCAGGCCAAATGGGATCTTAATCTGGCCCTGATTGAATGCGATCCCACCATTGTTACCTAGCTAATAGAGCAGGCCCTCCCCAGCAGTCTTGATTTTGTATCCTATCTGTTGTCTCAAATTAGTTCTCTAGTCTCCCGTATCCATGGAGATCAGGGAACTGTCCTCTGGGAATACCTTGGGGGTGCATCATTAGATGCTGTTGGGAATTATTGTCATACAGATACGCTTGCGCTTCACCAGCGCTTTCTGCAAGGTCTTACAGGATGGGGACTGGCCAGACAGATCCCTTACGATGCCTCCTCTCAGACATCATACCCAACTCGATCTCATACCTCCAACTGTTGGTAGGTATGACAGAGGGGTGTACATCAAAGTTCTGTTCCCAAGCACTCCCTCCTGACAATCACCTGGGAGGACCAAACCCATCCTCCTAAGTAGCCGGGGTCATTATACTTGTTATCTCTTTTGTAAATAAAGAAAGATGCTTCTCAAAGAAGCTGCCTGATGTAAAATGACAAATGTTAGAAAAAAAACACTAAAATCCTCCTGCCTCCGAACAAACTGTAAAAATCCAGTGTTAAAGGTTCAAACATCCAGGGCTTCAGTGTACTAGTAAAGCCTTTGCTTTCCATCATAGCAACCACCGTGCATGCACAATGATTGGTTTATTACTACTTAAGCCTGCATTCCGTGATCTAGCTAGAGAAGTACAGGAACCAGTGGGAGGCTGAAACAGGAAAGAGCCCCAAGTGGGCCCTCATAAAGCCCTGTGTCTAACTTTTACTATTATTATTAGCCCAGAGTTCACTGTGTCCTGTGCTTGAAGTGGCACCACGGCAGCAGAGACTGAGATATCTCTATGGTGATGTGCTATCTATAGAGATGGCATGTCTGTAGCAACTTAGCTGAATTGTGACATAAAATTAGTCCTTCTGGATTGTCTTTGGTTTGAAAATCTGCATTGCTCAGATATTCAGATTTTAATGATCTCTCAGACTGATAGTTGTGTAAAAGTGTTTATAGTATCTCTTTAATTCAATAACTAAGTGCCACAAAAAAAACTAAAATAAACAGTAACAACCATTGTACTTTTTTCTTACGGATTAGAGTAAGCTCTTTTATGGTATAAAATGCATTGCTTGTAACAGCTTATTACATTTTTTTTCACACAAAATAATGGTAAAAGGATTACTATAGCAGGCATAGGCAACCTTCGGCACTGCAGATGTTTTGGACTACACCTCCCATGATGCTTTGCCAGCATTATGTGTGTAAGAACATTATGGGGGATGTAGTCCACAACAACTGGAGTGCCGAAGGTTGCCTATCCCTGCTATAGGGTCAGGAACACAAACATGTATTCCTGATCCTATAGTGTTAAAACCACCATCTAGCCCCCCCTGGGCCCCTCATGCCTCCATAAATATAGCAAAATCCTACTGTATTCAAGCCTGAAGCTGTAGATCTGCATGCTGTTTGGCTCAGAAAAACAAGCAGTCTGCTGACATCATCAGAAGTGGTAGTCTGATCCAATCACAATGCTTCCCCATTGGATTGGCTGAGACTGTCAAGGAGGCAGATCAGGGGCAGAGCCAGCATGATTCAAACACAGCCCTGGCCAATCAGCATCTCCTCATAGAGATGAATTTAATCAATGAATCTCTATGAGGAAAGTTTAGTGTCTGCATGCAGAGGGAGGAGATACTGAATGTTTGGATGCATTTAAGGCAGCCATGACCCAGGAAGGATCTCTAACAGCCATCTGAGGAGTGGTCAGTGAAGTTATCACTAGGCTGTAATGTAAACACTGCATTTTCTCTAAAAAGACAGCGTTTACAGCAAAAAACCTGAAGGTAATGATTCTACTCACCAGAACAAATTCAATAAGCTGTAGTTGTTCTGGTGACTATAGTGTCTCTTTAAGTTTGAAGTCTTTATAAAAGAGGACATATAGAAACGTCTAAGAGTATACAGGAAAGTCACAGACACCTTTTTATCTATCAAGACAACTACATTGTACAAAAGAGTGGGTGCTGGCATTCATTTTTCTTAGCACCTGGCTAAGGTTTGGTTTAATATGGCTCTGTTGATTTTCCTGTCTATTGGTGCAGTCTATAACTAAACACGGGGGTTATTTTTGCATTAAAACACATAACTGTGAATCCCATAACTTTTCAGTACATACTTGAACTCATGTTTCTCAGGTTTTATATAAAAGCAATTTATAAATAAAGCATCACTGATGCTTTACCACTAATTAAATTAGGAATGTCATAAACCAACAAGATGGTGTATTTGTAAGTAGCTCTGTCACCATCAATATTCTTGTTTTTCAAGTTATTTGTCCTACATAGTACTTATAATGTAAATGTAGACAAACTATTGTCACATTTACATATAGTATTTACATAATGCTATTTAAGATGAAAAATTAAGAATTAGCAAATATACAGCAGTGATACAAAGGACTTTTATGACGTTATAAAGGCTCAGTGGAGCTGAAAGTTGCCACTCTTTTCATCAGAAAATAAAATAATTTATTTCTTAGTTGCGATCATTGATGACCCTTATTCAAGATTATTCAAAGACTCCGAAATGCTTGGTACCTGTGTAGATACAGAGATAATCTAAGCACCAAAATAATTTCATCTTAATAAAGTGATTTTGGTGCATAGATACTACCCCTGCAGTATTTCTGTTATAAACAGTACAATTTCAGACAAATTACACTGTCTTGCACTCTTACAAGTTCACTAGTGGCTGTCAGACGATGGTTGGGCTAAAAGTCCATAAAATCAGAAATATTAGTTAATCCTAACAAAAGATGCAGGGATCATTTTTTATATAGAATAGTTGACAGAGAGTAAGAAGAATTAATATTTCAAACATGGATTGCAACTCCTTTCTTCATTTGGTACGTGTAGGTGAATCAGTAGCCTGGCAGTAGATACACTTTCTTTGTTAAAGTATTCCTCTCCAATGTAGGCATTTGCAATTTTCCTTCAAAAGATGATCTGACCTATGGAGAGATGAAATCAAGTTTAAAAGTTTACAAATTCATATCTATCTGTCAATGTATGGATTTATTTGTTATAAAGCATTTGTATGTCGTAAGTAGTAAAAATCACCAATAACAGGTCCGAGTGGATATCAATTGTACTTGTTACCAGTGATATAACAACATGATCATTTACATTGTTTTAAGTTACTTAGAATAAATGTGTCATTACTCTTACATTGGTGTCCTGCACTATCTAATTGGAATCATGGGGAGAGTTTGTATTTGAAGCCCTTATTCCCATATACACTTGTGAGTGCAATATTTGCCTTCACATACATAGTGCTGCCAGAGGGTAGTAGCCTATCATATACTTTTAAGTCTTTGATATAATTCGGGATTATTCTAGCTCCTAGTGACTGAATAATCTAAATTTTATTAAAGACAGGAGGCGAATATTTGCTTATCTTTCTTTACTGTAACTCCCAGCAGCAAAGAAACAGTTAACAGCAGTGTAAAAAAGTTTAACCAATCAGTAAGCATTACAGTAGTATAAACTGTCATCAGGCTCCTCCCAATTCCTCTTTCTTGATGTAGCCGAACAGTCGTAGAGTCAACCATGTAAATGTAGAAACCTTAAAACGATGAACAGGTAACGGTGTAGGTATCCGGTAGGATGAAGGTAGTGATCAACCCGCAGGTAGATTCGAGACAGAAGGCAATTGATCTTCACACTAGGAGGAAGGAGAAACATCGTGAAAGTATGGTCTCTTTGGCAAGAGAAAAATCAAAGTAAATGCAGTGAACTGACTTCCAATTTAAGTGCAAGCTCTAACTTATGATAATTAACTGTGTGGTATGTAGAGTAAGTGACATACCTAGAATACAATAAACCAATGTACAATTGAAAGCGGTTTAGCATATAATAACGACCTAACGAGTATAGGCTAGGAAAAGAGAGGATGCTGGTCATAGTTAGAACTGGAGATAGTGCAGGATACTTACCTAAAAGGGTGGGTAAGGAGAATCCAGGGTGGGAAAATATTCGCCTCCTGTCTTTAATAAAATTTAGATTATTCAGTCACTAGGAGCTAGAATAATCCCGAATTTTATGGCAAGACAGGAGGCTTCATATTTGCTATTTTAAAGCACAGATAGCAAGGACAGAGAAACGTGTGGAGAATGTCTAAAATAAAAAGTACGGAAGGTGGATTCTCTAGACCAATCAGCGGAGGATAGAATCTCCGCTAAGGAACCTCCAGCTATGAGTGCCGAGGAGGCGGCTGCGCCTCTAACCGAGTGAGCTCCGAAAGATGCATCAATGCCAGCCAGGGCTAGAAGCCATTTAATCCATCGTGCAATGGTAGGGCACGAGACTGGTTTGTGAGGTCGTACATAAGATACCAGGAGGGGCCCAGTAGGTGCTCTGAGAGGGGTAGTGCGAGCGATATAGTGTCTTATACACCGGGCTACGCAGAGGAGGGGTTTCTCAGAGAAGTAAGGGTAGCTCACAGTAGATGAGTTGGTCTTGGTGCGTCTAGTGATATGAAAGTGCACCCCCTCCGGTGTGAAATCGAGGGCATGAAAGTCGAAAGCCCTGATGTCAGAAACTCTTCGGAAGGAGACCAAGCAAAGGAGGAGAGCTAATTTGGCTGACAATTGGCGTAGGGAGAGTGCCTCGTTGTCCGGCCAAGCTTCCAAGAACGTGAGCATGATGGCCACGTCCCAGAATTGATTATATTTGGGAGTCGGGGGTCTAGCGATGCGGAAGCCCCGCAAGAGTCTACAGACAGAAGGGTGTTTGCCTACTGAAGAACTTTCGATAGGAACGTGCGCTGCAGAAATAGCAGACCGAAACACGTTAATGGTCCGGTAGGATTTACCCTGGTCGAACAGAGACGACAGGAAATTGATAACATTAATTATAGATGTTGAAAAGGGATCAAGGTTCCTTTCCAAGCACCAGCAACTCCATAGACGCCATGCAGAGATGTAAGAACGTCTGGTTCCCGGGGCCCATGAATCCCAAAGGAGTCCCTGAGCAGTTGTCGAAAGGCCTGAGACATTCCAAGATCCCCTGAAACGGTCCAAGCCACTAGTTGGAGATGATCCTGGATTGCCAATGGGTGAAAGTTGCCTGTCGGGTCTCTGAGGAGGTCACAGGCGTTGGGTAGCAGCAGGGGGAAGTCCACAGACATTTCCAGGAGGTAAGGATACCATGGTTGGGCCCGATTTTTGAGGTGCTGTAGTGTGCGTGGAATCATGGAGAACGGAGGGAACGCATATGCCCCGGACATCGGCCACGTCTGTAGGAAGGCATCGACTGCAAGGCACGCTGGGTCCGGCAACCAGCTGTAAAAGGCGTCCGTCTGCCTGTTGAGGCGAGATGCAAAGAGGTCCAGGTTGAATGGCCCCCGGCAGACCTGGAGACGGTGAAATATCTGTGGATTCAGATGCCAATTGCTGGAGTCCCTCCAGTGTCGGGAGAACCAGTCTGCGACGAGGTTGTCTGATCCCGGTAGATATTCCGCTCGCAGGGAGATATTCCTGTCTAGGCAGAACTGATATAATTCTTTGGTCAGATCTGAAAGCATCTTTGATTTGGAACCTCCTAGATGATTCACGTAACGAACTGCGGACACGTTGTCCATCTTCAGCACCACGGAACAGTTGTAGACATCTTTGGCGAAACTGCGGATTGCGAATGAGCCTGCAATCAGTTCGAGGCAGTTGATATGAAGTGCTCGTTCCGAGTGGGACCAGAGTCCTCCTGTAGAGCTTTCCGAGCAGGTTGCGCCCCATCCGAGCAGACTTGCATCCGATTCCAGGATGAAGTCTGGTTGGGATCCGAAAATGGCTCTTCCATTCCAAGCGTCCATATGTTGTAGCCACCAATGGAGTTCGAGCCGGACTTCGTCCGTGAGTGTGATCTGTTGGTCGTAGGACGTCGACTGATGTAAGTATTGGGTCTTCAGGCGTTGCAGTGCCCGGTAGTGCAGTGGGGCAGGGAATATAGCCTGTATTGAGGCGGAGAGCAAGCCGATGGTGCGGGCTAGATCTCGCAGGCGGAGGTGTGGTGATATCAGTAACCTCCGAATGTCTTTTTTGATGGATTTGATTTTGGATGCCGGAAGTTGAAGGACTGCTTGAACAGAGTCTATCTGGAATCCCAGGAACTGTATCGTCTGGGACGGTGTTAAAGATGATTTCTGGTGATTGATCACGAAACTAAGATTCTGCAATAGGGCGGAGGTCATGCTTGTATGAAGGTGGAGAGTTTCTTGGTCTTGTGCCATGAGGAGGATATCGTCCAGATAGATTATGGATCGGATGCCTTGGGAGCGCAGTAAGGCCATCACTAGTTTCATTAGTTTGGTAAAGCACCAGGGTGCAGAAGATAGGCCGAAGGGGAGGCATGTGAACTGCCATAGTGCTTGTTCCCAACGAAACTGAAGGAGGCAGCGGTGTGCTGGTGTTACCGGCACCGTTAGGTAGGCATCCTTTAGGTCGAAGCGGGAGAACCAATCTCCCTCGGAGAGTAGGTCTCTCAATAAATGGATCCCCTCCATTTTGAAGTGACGGTATGCGATGAACTTGTTCAGATCTCTCAGGTTGATGACAGGTCGTAGACCTCCTGATTTTTTCTTGACTAGAAACATGTTGCTTATGAAGATCTGTGGGCCAACAACTCTTTCGATCGCACCCTTGGTGAATAGATCGTCGAGTTCGCTCCGTAGAGTCGACTCGTCTAACTGTGACATTTTGATTGGGGTAGGAGGAAAATTTTGTATTGGTTCGACTGAAAAATCCAGGTGGAACCCGGACACCGTCTGAAGGATCCAAGGATCCTGAGTGAGTTGAGACCACTGTTGGGAAAAAAGGGTTAACCGGCCTGCAATAGGAATATGAGAATAAGGAAGGTCCATTACCTGTAGCAGTGCGACCGCGGAGGGAAGCGGATCCACGTCCTCGGATAGCTCCGCGAGTGGGAAAAAATTGTCTGTGGTGGAATCGGGTATTGCCCGAGTTCCAGGTGTCTGAAGGTCGAGGCCTGTAGCCTGTGAAGGCGGCTCTGCCAGTCGCTCGGCCTCTATAGCGACCAGCTCTTCCAGAAAAACGCTGAGTGCGAAATACCTTGCGAATGGAGGACTGTGCTTTTGTCAGTGTAGTAAAAACAGAGACGTGCTTACTTAGTTCTTTTATGAACTTGTCTCCAAATAACATGCCTTGAGCCTCTGGACCAAGTTCTTTAGTGCCCAATTCGGCAAGTTTGGCATCGATTTTATAAAGGACGGCCTTCCGCCGTTCAGTTGATATTGCCACATTGGCATTGCCTAAAAGGCATAAGGCTCTTTGTGCCCACTCTCGCACCATATGTGCATCAAATGTGCCACCTGATAAAGCCTCGTCTGCAATTATGAAGATTTGTATAAGTGGGCATTCTGCCCTTAATTTGGCTCTCACCTCTTTTTCTAAAGGCAGACGGAGCCACATTCTGCAGTATTTGCCAATGTGGTCCGGGGGTGTCCATTCGGCCGATCTAGGGTGCCTGATGCATCTGGGGTCAAATAAAGGGCGGCCAGAGGTGTCAAATAAGGTATCCTCTTTCAAGTTAGGGTTTTCAGAGGTGAGATCAGACTCCAATTGGAATTAGTTGCAGAATCGGAAGGGTAGAGGTCTGGGAATGTCTTATGAGGTGGAGCCTCAGTATCCGAGTGTTCTGCGTAGTATTCGTCTAATACGTGGAGATTATAATTAGAGGTTGAACCCTCAAATGCGTCAAAATCATGTTGGGAGGTTTGCTTGGGTTTAGAATAGGGCACTTTAGGGTGTTTAGCAGGCGCTTTGCCTTTACCGGCGGTGGCCCTATCGCCTTTCCAAGGGCGTTTGTTGGGTAATGGTCGCCGTAGGGGCTGGGATTGTCTGCTCGCGGAAAGCCGCTAAAGCTTTGGGTATAGATTCAGTAATGGCATTGAAAAGCCAAGCCTTAAGTTCGGCAGAAACTGCTGGTTCTGGCACATCCGACATAGTGTCAGTAACAGTGGGGTCACCACAAGAGAAATTAATTATTATATTTACAATATATATAAAAAGTTTTTTTTTTTTGTATTTTTTTTTTTTGTGCAGACAAATTAATTACAATGAGGCGGTGGACTTAGACTGCATGTAAAAAAGCAATTATCCTGTAAAAGTGGAGTTCGTCCACAATTCATCAGTGGGGTTCACCCAGAGAGAGAAGGACAATATAGTGTCCAAGATCTAATAACAGGTATGTGCCTGTGTTATCATATAGGGATTACCCTGTATAGAGACAGCAAAGGGGGTCACCCTTGAAGGAGAGGCTAGAGGGGGTCACCCTCAGAATAAAGGCTGGAGGGGGTCACCCTCAGAGTAAAGGCTAGAGGGGGTCACCCTCAGAATCAAGCAAGGATTTGTGTAAGCTGTGTTGGCAGTTATGCTGAAATCTGCAAGAAAAATTGAAGTTTTGAGTATTGGGTATGTCTTTAATTTTGTAAAATTAAAGGGTCTGGGGCTTTAAGAGAAAAAATATATACTTACCAAACGGCTGGGTCGCGTCCTGCAGTGAGAGCCGAGATGCGAGGGAACCGCCGCGCATAAGCCTGCCACAAGATGGCGCTGAGAGGGAAGCCCGGGAAAAGACTAATAGAAATGGCCGCGGCATGAAAAAAGGCGGGAAACGTCTCTATGGAGACGGCAGGGCAACACACATTGTGTGTGAGGGAACTGAGCGGCTGAGCGGACCGGCAAAATGCCGGGCGCTGCAGGGAAAGCGTTAGTGCTATGGAAATTAAACTGACAGTACAAAAAATAAAAGAGTGAGGAAATGTTGAGGTAAATTGAGTTTGTGGGCTGACTGGAGTGTCAGCCCATGTAACATAAATAAATAGAAGCAAAGCACAGAAACATAAAAGGAAAAACTGTATGAGAAATATAAAAATATTAAAATAATATACAATATATATTAGTCAGTTAAACTAGAGAATTTAGTAGGAGTATAATTAGAATAGACTCACCTGGGAGGCTAAGCAGCAAAGAAAGAGGAATTGGGAGGAGCCTGATGACAGTTTATATTACTGTAATGCATACTGATTGGTTAAACTTTTTTACACTGCTGTTAACTGTTTCTTTGCTGCTGGGAGTTACAGTAAAGAAAGATAAGCAAATATGAAGCCTCCTGTCTTGCCATAAAATTGGCTGTATCCTCATATCTGTTTTCATATCCATCATGCAAATATAGTAGACAGCAGGCTGCTTCCCGCCTGTATGGGAGCCATTTTGAATTACCACAAGCCTAGGATTGATGAGAGTATACTGTAGGTCCAAAGGTCCTTTTCAAAAGCAAAGTTCCATCACTTGTATTTTTGCTCCCACACAATGGAGGCTGCTGACTGAAAGCCTCACAGGTCAGCTGGACCTGCTCTACTCATAAACAAATCAAGACCTGAACTGATGACGGTTTAGTTACAACCAGATTTTGGAGAATATATTGCTGTGTTCACGGCAATAACATTTAATTCACTGCCACAGTATTGTGAGACAGGCCACTGTGCCTGTTACAAAAGAAATGCAGGGTTATTTACAAGTGATAGGATTGCTGTGAATTAAAAGTAAATTTCAATTTTAAGGCCAAAGTAATCAAAGTAGAAGCATTGCTAACTTGGAAAGAAATTCCAGTTGGGCTATATGTATTTTAAATTTGAATTTCACTTTTTAGTAAATCACCTGGATATTATTAAGAAAACACCCATTAGCTATTGATGTTCCAGTGTTCTTGGCTGGCGATAATAAGGAGGTGTGTGTTTAATCTGCATAGGATAAGAATTATTGTATCTGGGGGAGAGGACACAACCCAACATGCACATGAGCTGATTCTATCCCCAAGCACTCCCATTGTCCTAACAAGTAGTGTGAGTATTGTTTTGGACAAACTCTCTAAGATCTTGACATGTCCAGTTCCTATCAACAGCTTTTCTGACATCAGTAAGGAAGGGGATGGGGGGGGAGGGGTGGAGGGAGGAAGGGGGGGGGGGTTTGCAGAAACGCAGTTATTTCTTATAGGTGCATGTTTAATTTGTATTTATTTATTTTTAATATTGCCCCTATGGAGCCTCCATTGCCTACGTCAATATGATCCATCTCCTACCACCCAAAGTATGAATGCAAATGTTAAATTGTTTAAAAAATAAACAATAATTTAAAAATATGTTTTTAGCTATTTTTTTCTATCATATTTATTTTAATGTTAATTGATACTAATTTTTAAATGTTAAATTGCATATATGTGGAATATACCTCAAATTTGTGAGCAGTGAGACAATATGCAGAATGTCTACTTAGTATTAATATATATATATATACACACACACACACACACATATATATATATATACCAATGGCACATATCTCAGATAAGAAGGAGAAATGTAATCATTGTTTCGGTTTTTCTCTTCTCTGTGTGTTTTCTCTGACTCCTAGGTGCAAAGGACAGAGCTTATTACCCCTCGTCCTGTCTTGGTTGGAGTCCCCCAAGGCTCTGTCCTTGGTCCCCTTCTATTTTCTCTTCTCTTGGCAAATTTATTGCCTCTTTTGGATTCCGCTACCACCTGTACGCTGATGACACCCAGATATATCTCTCCTCCCCGGACCTCTCCCCTGCCGTCCTGCAATGTGTCACTGCTTGCCTATCTTCCATCTTTGACTGGATGTCCTCCCACTCTCTAAAACTGAACTCCTGGTCTTTCCTCCTCCCAATACTGATCCTCATCTCTCGCTCTCCCTTCAAGTCAGTGGTATCCACATAAGTCCATCCTTGCAAGCGCGCTGTCTTGGCGTCATACTTGATTTTGGCCTCACCTTTGAACCTCACATCCAGTATGTTGCCAAATCCTATAGATAGACTTCTCGCAGGCGGCCCCCTTCCTGTGGAATAGCCTGCCTACCCCAATCAGACTTTCCCCTAGTCTTCAATCATTTAAGAAGTGCCTTAAAACTCATCTCAGAGTAACCTCTATGTTACATACCTGTCGCTTGCTCTCTCCTGAACGGTAGCACTCTACTCTCTCCTCCAGCTCTGCTTCACTCCCACCTTATTTGATTGCTATTTCTGTCCTAATGTGTTTTATACCCCACATCCTATAGACTGTAAGCTCGTTTGAGCAGGGTCCTCTTCAACCTATTTTTCCTGTAAGATTTCTTGTAATTGTCCTATTTATATATAATATAATAATAATAACAATGAGAGACAGGGAGCTAAGATGGAGGCGCCCAGTTAATGACAAAGAAGCAGACATTCCAACTCTCCCAGATCTTCTGGAAGTTTCCTGCATTTTAATTGCGGCTCCCGGAAGCCCATGAGTTCTATATAATATCCTGGGAACTGACTTTTTTTGAGAGCGAGGGTTAAATGACAACTGAACTCTCTCTTACTATAAAAAAATCGATTACCAGGATATCATGGTGCTGATCCATAAGGGAACATCATGCACTATCCCATGAGGGAGCTCCTCACCCACCGCCTCACATTCTGCGTGGGAGACTTTAACAGCTTGCCGCCAGAGAAAGGATACCCAACAGGTACCATACTTAGAGGAGCCCCGCCCCCTACTATAACAGGTAAGACAGCAGGGAGGGGGCTTCAAATTTTGTGTATGCAGAGCTGGTGTTGTGGGAGGCAGCTGCTTGCTGCTTGTGCAGGAGGGAGGTTTATGGAAGGTATGGAAGAAAGGGGCTGGGAGATATTGGGGGAAAATATGAAGAACTGGGAGATATTGGGGGAAGATATGAGGGGCCGAGAAAATTGGGGGAAGATATAAGAGATTGGGAGAATTGGTGAAATATATGAAGGAGTGGGAGATATTGGGGGAAGATTTGAGGGGCTGGGAGAATTTGGGGAAGATATGAGTGGGTGGGAGATATTGAGGGAAGATACGAGTGGGTGGGAGATATTGGGGGAATATATGAGTGGCTGGGAGAATTAGGTGGTCCTATGGGGTGGGAGATATTGGGGGAGATATACATGGAATGGGGGGTAGGAGATTTTGGTGCCCCTATCTCTCCCACAACATCGTCTATCACCACACTTGCAGCCCTTATGTTCTTCTACAGACCCTAACCCCCCTTTTACACCCTATACCCCCACTACAGCCCATACTCCCTGGCTACAGTATGTACCCCACATTACAGTCCTTATCCCCCAATTGCAGCCATCCGCCTACTTCAGTCCCTAAGCCCCCTACTACAGCACTTATCCTGCGCTACATTTCCTACCCCCCCCCCAATTACAGCCCATACCCTTCACTGCAGCCCCTGTCCCCCACTGCAGCCCCTATCACCGCACTATGACCCACTATCAGTGCCCCTCCCGAGATTGCGCAGGAGTGGGGGGGTGGGATAGTAGCTGGTGAAGCCACCTCCCTGAAATTTGTTTTTGCATGTTGGAATGTACGACAAAGTGTGGATTTCTATATTAAATATTTTTTTACGACACATATACACATTTGTTAAATATAGGTGTTAAGTAAACATAATATAAAAAATCCAGTGAAGTGACAGTTCAACTTTAAATAAAAAGTTAGAGGGTAGTGGATGCATGGAATAGCCTTCCAGCTGAAGTGGTAGAGGTTAACACAGTAAAGGAGTTTAAGCATGAGTGGGATATGCATAAGGCTATCCTAACTATAAGATAAGGCCAGGGACTAATGAAAGTATTTAGAAAATTGGGCAGACTAAATGGGCCGAATGGTTCTTATCTGCCGTCACATTCTACGTTTGTAAATATCACTTACCTGACGGAAGATGTCCTCTAAGTGAATATTGTGAGCAGTTCTTTTGATTTCTTCAATTAGTGACAGGATAAAAAGTGAACCTCTCTTGGGATCTCTATAAGAAACAGTATCTGTAGAAAGGGGACACAAAGCACGGAAGTTCACTTTAACATATTTGTGGCCTGCTATTTCTAACACTAAAGGGTTTTGCCATGAAACAGTGCACTGATTTGAATTAAAAACCAAATTGTACATGTAGTCTACATGTAGCCACACATTGAATATTAAATATTTTAGGAATTTTGCAATTTCAGTTTTGACTTTGTTGACTCAGCTTTAAATCCTGTCTATACCTTAGCATTAATTAGCCCCATTGTACCTACCTGTACCTGGACTTTGCCACTCCCTTGCTATATATTTTTGTATCCGCCCATCCATTGTGCCTATCTGTCCACTACCTCCCTCTTGAATTTGCTATCTCTCTTTCGGGGAAAAAAGGCTGCTCACAGTTCAGAGAAGTGGCACCATTACCTACCCATCGTGAATTTGTAGCATCATAAAACTAATGTTCTAGATTGACAGGACCTGAGCAGAATGAAGGATAAGAGAATGGCACTAGTAATTATTAATTTGAACGATTTACAGATTTCTGAGTATTCCTTTCTCATGAGTATTGTGAGAACTAACATTGCTAAATATATGAGGTACCAAGTTAAGCCATTTTGCATTTTTATGGTTTTTTTTGTATCAGTTAATATATGTGGTTAATAATTTTCACCTTATATGTTTGTAAATGCTGTTCTTAGATTCCTCAGCTAGATGAACTGCTTACAAATATCTGTGGTGTAAAGGGTAGCCCATGAGGTTAAGGCGGCCCAAGTTGTCTGAGCATCTTGGGAACAGCAGTTTTCAAATATCAGCGATGCCAAGTTTAGTCATCTTACAAATATATTTTACGTGAATGTTAAAGCTAATCTTGCCACCCCAGATGTTTGTAAACTACTGTTTACTGAGTTGCCAAGGTTAGCCATCTTGTAAAACATGATTAAAGGGACACTATAGACACTATGACCACTTCAGCTCATTGAAGTTGTCTGGGTGCATATTCCCAGGTCCCTTAACCCTGCAAAGGTAATTATTGCAGTTTAAGAAATATCCCAAATATATCCAAAACCTCATAGAAAATGACTGTATAATGCTTTCCTATGGGCGAAGTTCTAATGTAAGCGCGGTCAGGGTCAGCCAGGGGGAGTCCAAACCAGCATCGAGGTACATCGTTGCTGCACTCAGGTAAGTGACAGAAGGGTTTTTTAACCCCTTCTGCACAATGGGGAAGGAGGGGGGCACTATAAGGAGTAAAATTTTGTTCATGGCTTGGTTAAAGATTATGAAATCACTTTTCTATTATACCACTTATGATTTTATCCCTGGTGATTTTATTGTTGTATATACACATTTTGACAAAACAAACATTGTAACAAAAACAGGGACTATTCTGGCCTCCGTGCTGCCCCTTGGCTATTTTCACCTTCGTATGAGCAACTTAAGTTGGCAATAACAGGCTGACAACAACACACAGGACAGTGCTTATGGAATCTTTGACCCATAAGAGCTATAGTTGTTATGGTGCTTAGAGTGCCCCTTTAACTTTGCAATGTAATAACTTGATGTACCTGGGGTTGTAGAACAGAAGCAGATGGAGTCTGTTTCTATTTGTACCATTGTATCGCTTTCAAATTGGCCACTAGCATCTGTGTTAGTAGAATCACTGGCCCACATTGTATTGCTTTCAAATTGGCCGTACTTAGTAGAATCACTTGCCCAGACTCGACCTGCTTCACCTGAAAATGAATACCAAAAGGATATGACATGTTATATATTTTACAGCCATAATTATATTTTTTTATTTATGTTGTTTTTCCAGCTACATGCACTAATTGCCATTGTGACACAATGTGGTCACATGGAGCGAGTTACATGGCTTGAACAATTCTTTTAACATTTACCAATTTCTGACAATGCAATCTGTGCTACCTACTTCCACGGCATGCCTGGACAATGATGATTTTAGGCTTGCCCCGTAGTTTAGAGCAGTTCACATTGTTAAAAGTTTTGAAGATGTCATCAATTTTCAGAAGGTCTGTATTTTCTTTTGTACCATTTTCATGTTCAATGTGTTTACTATTAATCCCACAGATCACATCTCTTTCTCCATGAGACATAACAACTATCATAGCAATATCAGATTCTGCATGTTCCTCCCGATTGGCAAATGACTTCATTTTCTCCTGCATCATCTGAGAGGGAGACATGGGTCAAAACCAGGTGAAGCAAATTGTAATCATATCAAAGAAGGGACACAGTCACAGTGGAAAAAGTGTATCAATGCAAGCAGTTTATGCAAGTTTTTTTACATGATTCCATGTGATGTAACAAATTACACATGAGCAGAGTTATTCACTAACGTTATTTACGAAAAGATTCTCAACAGTTTAGACATTAGTGAATAACCCTGTAAGTGTCAAGTTATTGCAAATGAAACCGCCCAATTAACTGGGCTAAATTATACATAAAACATGGAAAAGGTAAAAGCGCACACACACACCAAGGAGGGAGTTTACCTGACGTATAATAGATAGTAGGTATCTCCTCCTTATATATAGTTAGTGTATTGAATATTGGATTGCCTATACAGAGAATATAAACATAAAACAAAACATAGTGTAATCTGTATATCGTACACAATAGAAATGGAAGGTCTGAGTTGAAAACACTCACACTTTGATGAGCCGTTTAAAGTAGGCTCGGAACTTATATGGCTTTTATGTCACTTCAATGGGACATACGCATTTTCTTTACTCTTCAGGCAGGTTCTCCATTGGTCTCAGTAGTCCTCTATAGTAAAGCAGGAATCAGGAGCCAGGAGCCAGGAGTATCAGGATAAAATATTTATTTATAATAAAACAAAAATAATAAAAGTATTGCACAACGCGTTTCAACCATCTACTAGTGGTCTTCCTCATGTGCTGTTTATTATAAATAAATATTTTATCCTGATACTCCTGGCTCCTGGCTCCTGATTCCTGCTTTACTATAGAGGACTACTGAGACCAATGGAGAACCTGCCTGAAGAGTAAAGAAAATGCGTATGTCCCATTGAAGTGACATAAAAGCCATATAAGTTCCGAGCCTACTTTAAACGGCTCATCAAAGTGTGAGTGTTTATAACTCAGAACTTCCATTTCTATTGTGTACGATATACAGATTACACTATGTTTTGTTTTATGTTTATATTCTCTGTATAGGCAATCCAATATTCAATACACTAACTGTATATAAGGAGGAGATACCTACTATCTATTATACGTCAGGTAAACTCCCTCCTTGGTGTGTGTGTGCGCTCGTTTCTTCTTTGCGCTTAGAGACTGCTGATTGGAACCAAAAGCCGCTTGGTGGATATCGTTGTTCGGCGGCTAGCAGCAGTTCGTGGATTTCCGTTCGGGAGTTTGGAGCCTTTCACGGATCCCGGTCGGGAGATTGCCGCTTCCCTTGGTTATGGTTCGTGGATTACAATTGATGCGAATGGATTATTGATATTGCGAAAGGGGAAGGTGAACTACATGGCGGTTTCTCTTAAAGACACAGGAGGTGTCTTAACAATTGGTGGCAAGTGACAGGATGAATCCCACAGCACAGAAGGTCAGCTACACATCCCAATTGAGTAAAAGAAATGCAGTATGAGGAGTTAAGCCGTGCTACTCTTAAGGACATACTGGAACGCCGAGGACGGTCAGCAAGCAATTTAAAGAAACGTGAAATTATTGCTTTGCTAGTGGAAATGGATGCGACACAGGGAATGGAGAGAGCTAATGTGCCCATGGATTATTGATATTGCGAAAGGGGAAGGTGAACTACACGGCGGTTTCTCTTAAAGACACCGGAGGTGTCTTAACACTAACTAACTCATACAGACACAAACATACAGACACACCCTGACCCTATGTCTGTATAGGTCAGTGTGTGTCTGTATGGGCCAGTTTATGTCTGCATGGGTCAGGGAGACAATCAGTCAAAATTCAAAGTTTGTAAATCAAAATGGAATTTTTTTTTAATGAAGTGAGGGAATGAGGTTGAAGATACATTGGGATATTTAACTTCTGTACCATTTAGTGAGTTTATGTGTATGTGTTGTGTGTGTGTGTCTGTGTAAAATGATCACATGGCACACCACATTTAGTTTTTTGCAAATCAATTTATTTTGTCCTAAATTCCTTAATAAATTTTGAAAGTTTGCAATGTTTTTTGTTGCACTTCTCTTGCGTCTTATGATGATTATCATCATGCTTGCCTTGTGGTGACACCAGACAGCCACTAGAGGTGCTTCTAGAAGTTTAACAGACCTAATTAATGATGGACATCCTCATGCTCTGCACGAGGACATCCAGCGTCGGTAAAATCCCCATAAAAAAGAGCTAATTCAATGTTTTCCTATAGGGAGTGCCTTAAACGCTTGTGCATTAGGTCCCCCCGTCAGATGACATTGGAGGAGCCTGAGAGCCATCCCAGCACCGAGAGAGACGGTGCTAGAATCAGATAAATGATTAAAGGGTTCTGTTCTACGGGGGGGAGTAGGGGAGGAGGCTTGGACCAGAGGGCACTATAGTGTTAGGAATATAACTTTGTATTCCCAAGATCTTTTTATAACATCCCTTTAAGTCATATCTGTCTCACTCACCTGAATTACAAGACATAAATTATTTGGAGCAATTACCTTTGATGTCAGATTGATAAAAGACTGAACTTCGAACCCAAGGTCTTGTAGTAGTTTGGTCATTCCAATTTGATCATATTCAGCTCCTTTGCGCTCACTCAGAAAATTGAACTGAATATTACAGATCAGCAGAGCCAATCGCTTGCGATTTCTACGGGGCATAACTGCATACATCTAGGAAAATTTTACATGCTCAGTCTCAGAGAGTCATGAAACAAGAACAATCAACATTGGCATGAAATCAGTGGCAGAAAAAATACTTGATGCACAACCAAATGAAGTTGTTATGGTGCACAGAGTGTTCCTTGGCTACAATTTCATTTGACATGCTTGCTTTCTGTTTGGAAAACTCCACACGGTGTTAAATAACTAACGAAGCAGGTATATAGTGCAGCACTCCAATTTCTGAGTATTACATGAACATGAACAAATGTTATAATTCCAATAATAACTATCGTTTTCAAAAGTGAAACATAGTTGTAATCTCTCACTTCCAGTTTTCAGACACAAGCTTACTGTCAGTTCACTGTAAATATTACATAGTTATATAGCTGAAAAGAGACTTGTGTTGATCAAGTTCAGCCTTCTTCACATATGTTTTTGTTGATGATCCAAAAGGAAGCAAAAAACCCAGTCTGAAGCGCTTCCACTTTTGCACAATTTAGGAAAATATTCCTTCTTGACCCCAAAATAGCAGTCAGATGTCTCCTTACATCAAGAAGCTATTACACCACTAATTATGATTTTCTTACAATCATATCATAACAATTAAAGGGCTGCTCGTATTAAGCAATAAATATATTTTTTGCAATATGATTGCTATGTAAAGATTGTCACCTTAGAGTCTTCTGTCGCTATAATCATCTCAGCTTCTTCGTCGGAGCATAAAGTAATCTCTTCTTTAGTTTCTACGGAGAGAAAAGTGAGTATATTTGATTTGTCACGCTCCTATATGCAGAGAAAGTAAAGTAAATAAAGACATGGCAGTGGTTAGAAATTCAGAGGATATACTTGATACATGCAAGCGGCAGGAGATCCTTGGCATTAAAGGGTTACTTACTCTTTTTAATAATGAGTTGTTGTTTTTTACATCATAATGTCCTATTGGGCATTTCTCCTCCCTGTTAAACCGTGTGGAAAAATGATTTTTTTTACTTCCGTGTGCTCTGATGTCAGCAGCCCTCACTAGGTCCAATCACAAGCTTCTCATTTCGGGGGGAGCGAGTGTGGAGGCAAATAGGAAGGGATTTTTATTTATTTATTTTTCAAAAGGCTATTTATTTAACGGAGGTAGGCAGAGGGGGTGCGCAGGGAGACGAATAGTACGTTTATTACCAAATAGGTGACCAAACAGTGTAAAAAACACTTAGATCAAAACCAACAATATATTTGTGTGCCCAAACACATTATAATGCATTAAAATAAATGTGTACTGTACCAGCAGCACTCACACCAAAGTGACACACAAAAATTAAGTGTTATTCCAAGCGCACCACTATTTTTTGGTATTTAAAGTGACACTATAGTCCTCAAAACAACTTTGGCTTTAAAAAGCAATTTTTGTGTATAGATCATGCCACTGAAGTTTCACTGCTCAATTCACTGTCATTAGAAATTAAATAACTTTTGTTTCTGTTTATGCAGCTCTTGCCACATTTCTCCTGGCTGTGACTGACACTGCCTGCATAAAAACAAAATGGTTTAATTTTCAATCAGATGTAACTTACTTTAAAAGTTTTTATCTCCTGGTCTGTAAATTGAACCTTAATTACATACAGCAGGCTCCTGCAAGGTTTAGCAAGCTGTTAACAGAGCAGGAGATAAGAAATTCTCAATTAAACAGAATGTGTAATACAGGAAGAGTAAACATTAGATGACTCTTTGTAGGAAGTGTTTAGAAAGGCTGTGCAAGTCACATGCAGGGAGGTGTGTCTAGGGCTGCATAAACGCCTAAATTTAACTTCTAAATGGCAGTGAATTGCGCAGTGAGACTGCAGGGGCATGATCAATACACCAAAACTGCTTTGTTAAGCTAAAGTTATTTTGGTGACTATAGTGTCCCTTTAAAGTAGAATCATTCCCTTCAGGCTTTTTGCAGTAAACACTGTCTTTTCAGAGAAAAAGCAGTGTTTACTTTACAGCATAGGGATAGCTACACTGGCCACTCCTCAGATGGCTGCTAGAGGTGCTTACTGGGACAGTGCTGCACAGTGTCTCCACCCTCTGCATGGAGACACTGAACCTTCCTTATAGAGATGCATTGATCAATGCATTTCTATGAGGAGATGCTGATTTGCCAGGTCTGTGTTTGGCTTGTGTTGGCTCTGCCCCTGATCTGCCTCCTTGTCAGTCTCAGCCAATCCAATGCTTTCCTATGAGAAAGCATTGTGATTGGCTCAGAACATAACTTTTGATGATGTCAGCCAAGCAGGCAGATCAGGGGCGAAGTCGGCAGCAGCAGACTGCAATAAAGATAATATGTTGCAATATTTAGGGGGACAAGGGTGGCTAGATGGTGGCTTTAACACTATAGGGTCAGGAATACATGTTTGTGTTCCTTAGCCTATAGTGTTCCTTTAACAAAATTCTTATCCAAAATCAAATCATGCATACTGTGGCATATCTCCTTCTCAAGTGGAGCCATTTACATGCAGAACCAGGGTTGACAAGGTTCTGGTACATGTGAGAGAGAAGATTATTAAGGCTATTATCAGCTTGCTGTGCGCATGGATGACAGTTAAAAATATGCACAGAAATGACATTAAGTAGCCTGGAACTCTGATCCAGGCTGCCAAAGTTATGTATACAAGTGGTGCACAAAAGGTAATATATCGCTGGATGTGCAGCATTTTAAGCTGAAACACTGCATATCCACACTTCTACCACCATGACCAGTTCAAATCTCTTTAAGTCTAGCTTTCCAGAACAAAGTCCAGTGATAAGAAAAGTCTGACACTATGGGCAAAAAGGAATCAGTATTTTCTGAATGTTAAACAGGATGAAGGTCCAACAGCATGATTCTCAGCCAGAATTGTGAGTTAAATTCTACACATATTGAAGGCAGGAATTCCTAACCCTACATCTTTAATCTTAAAGTGGTTCTGTCACCTTTGGGGGTCACCCAACTCAGGGCCCATTTATCTTTAGCTCCTGGTGCTTTATTCCCCAGGAGCCATATCAGTGCTGTACACTTGTACTTGCATGTGAGTTTAACACTGATGTCTATAAAGAATTCTGCAAAACTATCACATAGACCAAGGATGCCCAAAAGGTAGATACCCAGATGTTTTAAACTACAGCTTCAATGATGCTTTGCCTTTGTAAAGGCATTCTAAAGGCATACAAAGCATCAAGGGTGTTATTGTTTTACCCAGATATCCCACCTTGCAAAATTTCATTTCAGGGAAGTGGCTTCACCAGCTAATGCATCACTTTCTCCCTGCAGGCTGATATCACAGGGCCCCGGTCTTCTCTTAAAGGACCGGCACCTGAGTGGGCCTTTGTTTAGTGAGTATTTAGGGCACAACTCATGTATAATAGCCTGGAAATCACCCACACACAATCTGCCATACATTATAAGTCAGATTGTATGTGTGATTCCCAGAATATTGTATGTGATTTGGGGGTGTCAGGGAGCCGTATTCAAAATGCAGGAGTCTCCCGACTTGGAATGTCTGTCAACCCTTTGGGCCCCCCTGACATAGACTAAGTCTCATGATTGCAAAAAGCAGCCTCATTCCCATAGCTGTCACTAGCGTTTAAGCTTAGGCTTTACCATAACACAATGTAGTCCCTACTTTATCTTGAGAAAGCTGTGTTGTACTTAAAGGAACCCTCTAAGATTAGGAACACAACATGTATTCCTTTCATTAGAGTGATCTGGATGATGATTTTGATGGTAGTCACCATCTGATTCCTTTTGTATTTTGGTCATCCTGTGCCTATTATTGGTGCAGGGTATGTTAAATGTATTGCTTGTATGTGCCCCTCCCCCTTTTCCTGTCCTATTGTTTCCCCAGCAGGGCATTGTCCCAGGGACACTGCCAGACCAGTTTAAGCTAGCTGCCCTATCCCTCCTCAATCTCCCATAAGCCCTTGCTATTGTCTGACCCCACCCTTCCTTGTACTATAGTGCTCTATGTTCCCTGATGTATGTAAATGAGGCTGTTGGGGGCTAAAATGTGTGTGCTATGTCTAGTAAAGTTAGTTGCTGTTTTAACCTTCACCAAGTGTCATCTGGTGTTTGGTCCAGGGTAGAAAAGGCCCTAAGTGATCCCAGTCAAGCCTCGGCAACTGGGTCTGAAGAGCTCCAGGGTCCAATATAGCTACAAGGAAGCAGACATAGCGGAGTCATACTCGGTCGGAGTATTGAAGCTCCGTCACAATGATCTCAGCCAGTGCAATGCTTCCCCATAGGAAAGCATTGGGAGGCTAGTGGCAGTCAATGCGCTGCGTCAATCACCATCTCCTCAAAGAGATGCATTGACTTGATGAATGTCAATTCAGCAAAGATGGCAGGATCGTAGCCAAGAAGCTCCTCTAGTGACTGTTTGAATGACAGCCATCAGGGATTGCATTAGGCAGCAATGTAAACACTGCCTTTTCTCAGAAGAGACAGTGTTTACTTTGCAGAGATATGTAGGGACAGTATCTTTGTCCCAGAACATTAAGTGTAGAGGTTATAGTGCTTAGAGTGTCCATTTAAGAATGCAACGACTTTTCCGCATCATTCCTACTGTGATTGCCATTTAAAATGCAGTGTATGAAATGGATATGAATGTTGAGATGTGGTTTTATTACTGCTTTTACTGGTGCAAAAATAATTAAGTGGAAAAAATACAAATTAAATGGAAATTACAAAAACATTGGTAACAGTTATATAATGTATACGTGTTTCTCTCTCTTTGGAAAAAAGTTAGGTGTTCACCCCAGTTGTAGTTTTATGTTTAAAAAAATATATATTTTCATTTTTCTTTATTAAAGTCCATGTCTCAATATAGCATGCAAGTTATTTAATTCTTAGCAAAGTAGATTTGCTTTTTACAGACTGCTCCAAGAACCCATAATGCTGCTTGGCCCGTGATCAATGAAAATCTAGGATGCTACCTATAGAGATAAATCTATACAATATCCTCTAAGAATGAACGGAAAACAACTGAGATATTTGTATCTGCTGAAATTCTTGGTTACATAATGATGAGACCTGTAACATTTTGCTATGAGTCACGTGCGACTGTGAAGGTGCATAGGCCAAATAAATACAAGCACAGTTTTCACACTGAAAAATACATTCAGAGTGTGTTCTGGGTCAAGTTCTCGGTTTTCTCCATGTTGTGGTCCACAGCTCCACTAAGAAATTGCACCCAAGAAGAGTTTTCTCCAGGACAAACGTGGCTTGCTCTTGTGATCTCCAGCACTTTTTTCAGAACGGAGGATAGCTTTGCAGCCTTTTGGAGTGCTGGGGGGATTATTCCCTGGGGTCCAGTGGTGCTGCTGGGCTCCTGGGCGGATGGCCGGTCGGGCAGGCTCCCTCGCGCACCGCGTAGGGATCCACCCCAGTTGTAGTTTTAATATGAATAGGATTGGTACTGTACAAGGACTGGAGCTGCAACCCAGAGTAAATAATCCAAGTCTTCATAGATTGAAGATATGGAGTGAGGATCACACTTCTATATGCTTCATGACATATTTCAGAATGATTGCTATGAGCTGAGACAAAACACTCAGTTTTACTTACAGGAAAATTCCTTAATTATCCTCAACCACTAGCCTGTAATGGAAGGATCAGTGTGGAGTCTAGTCTAAAACCCCTGTAAGAATATACACACAGGAAGAAAATTCTACTTAAATATCGATTAATTATCCTCCCTTACCTGAAGGCCACGATGGTCCTGCCATTTGTCTTTGCGGAGGAACTGAAAATAAACAAAATATTAAAGGTGTTATCAATGACATCCTTATATATAGGCGACATGAATTGGCTGACACATGCACATGCAGCTATAGTAATTGAGGGATGAATAGATTTTGCCCACCTACATAGTGAAGTGATCATTGTTTGTATTGTAAATATAGAACTTGCATTGTGAAAGCTGAAGCCACATCTACGAAGTCATTTAGATTTAAATCTAAATCCTGTTCTTGCAAGCCGTAACTGTAGCAAGAAAAAAGATGTCTCAGACCTAAGGTTTCTGTTTGTCTCTGTCTAGCCAATAGAGTAATTAAAGGGACTGTCTATGCAACATAGCAACATAAGCACTACAGCTCTGTACAAAGGTTATTTTGCAAATAGTCTGTAGGTGCTGTCCTAAAGTTTTTTGTGAAATCAGACCTATTTGTTAAATCAAATTAACCTCTTTTATGAATTTAAGCTACAGTTACATGATTGGCTAATAATATATTCAGGAGCAGTTGAATATAAGTATCTAAGTGTAACTATATATACAAAAGTTATGGAATAGTTTATATAAAGTTTACAACTATCCCCAACCACTAGCCAACCTATGAGATGCCATAATGAATAGTTTAGTGTGCAGTCCTGACTAAAATCACAGTACGAATATATACACAGGAAGAAAATTCTCATTGAATATTGATACTGTTAATAGCCATTTTTTACACTCTTCGTACTTGTATACATTATCCCATCTTACCTGAAGGCAAGGGCGGTCCTGCAATTAGTCTCTGCGGGGGAACTGAAACAAAACAAGATATTAAAGATGTTATCAAAAACATCCTTCCCACTAGCTGTTTTTCTGGTAGTTATGGCATAATTAATAATTTATACAATATAGTTATAGGCTACAGGAGTTGTCTGGCAGACCCCACTATCCCTTACTTAAATGGACACTATAGTCACCAGAGCAACTACAGCTTATTGCATTTGTTCTGGTGAGTAGAATCATTCCCTTCAGGCTTTTTGCAGTAAACATTGTCTTTTCAGAGAAAATGCAGGGTTTAGATTACAAATTAGTGATAACTCCACTGACCAGATGGCTGCTAGAGGTGCTTCCTTAAGCAGTCCTGCCTAATGTGCAGCACTGCCATTCAGTGTCTCCACCCTCTGCATGCAGGCACAGAACTTTCCTCATAGAGATGCATTGATTCTATTCATTTCGATGAGGATATGCTGATTGGCCAGGGCTGTGCTTGACTTGTGTTGGCTCTGTTCATGATTTGGGGGTAGATGGAGATTTTAACACTATAGGGTCAGAAATACATTTCACTGACCCTATAGTGTTTATTTAATATAGAACTTGCATTATAAAAGTTCAAACTTCCTTAATGAATTCATGATTTAAATCTCAATCCTGTTCTTGCCAACAGTTACTATAGCAAGAAAAAAATAAGTCTCAGACCTAAGGTTTCTGTTTGTCTCAGTCTCACAATAGGGTCGTTAAAGGGGATGTCTATGCAACATAGCAACATAAGCTCTACAGTTCTGTACAGTGGCTATTTTGCAAATAGTATATAGGTGCTGTCCCAAAGCTTTTTGTCATATCGAACTTTTAACCACATCTGTAAGCTTTTATGCATTGAGTTATTGACACATGATTGACTGATAATATATTTACGAGAAGTTGAATATAATTATCTAAGTGTAAATATATATATATAAATGTTTTGGAATCGCCTTCTACTTAAAACACAATTTACCTGGAATGTTGAAAGGTCCTGTTGACTGCCTCTCCTTGGGAGCTAAATGTAAAAATTTTTAGTTATTATTAGAAATACATTTTCATCCACTAAAACATAATCAAAATGAGTCTGAGACTTTTTCGTCACCCACAGTAAATGTTGTAGCCAAGTTTAATACAAGTGTAATTTCTGCATTATCAGTGTCTTTGAAGAGGGTATATATTATGGGTGTTCTGCAGAGCCCAAAGCTTTCTCAAACCTCCCCCAATAAGGAGGAACAGCACCCATAGACTACCACTGAGCTCAAATTGTTATGGTGCTTAGAGTATCCCTTTAAGAAACTAAATGTTGATCCAGTTCACAAGAATCCTTAAAATCATCAAATCATTAAAATTATCATCTAGGTTTCTGCTTAACGATACTCCACTAGTAGGCATGTGCATGGGGAAAATTTTCGGTTCGGTTCGGTTCAGCATTCCGAAATTCAGGACTTTCGCAATTCGGGACTTCGGCAATTCGGCACTTCAGCACTTCGGAACTTCACCACTTCAGCACTTTGGCACTTCGGAACTTTGGAATTTCGGAACGTCGGCATTTCAAAATTTTGGGACTTCGGCACTTCTCTTGCAGCCGCTTAGTAGATAACTCCCTAATTCCCACGGTATTAGGGAGTTATCTACCAAACGGCTGAAAGACCTAAATTGGTCTTTCGGACAAATTTACCAATACTAAGTAAAAATTACTTAGTATTAGTAAATTTTGCCCCTACTCACTATACTGCGAGTAGGGTCATGTCTAGTAAACAGTGAACAGCCTGTGGCTGCTCACTGTTAAAAAAAAAAAAAAGGTCCCCCCTATTGCCCCTTAAACTACCTATTGCCCCAGCCCCCACCCCTGAGCGGCGGGTGGGGGCCCTAATACTAATAAGGGGGGGACCTAATGTCCTCCCCCCTGGCCACCACCCCTGAGCGGCAGGTGGAGGCCCTACAGTAAAATAGTACTTGAGCGGTGGGTGGGGGCCAGGGGGGAGGACATTAGGTGCCCCCCTTATTCCAATTTAGGGCCCACACCCACTGCTCAGGGGGGGGGGCCAGGGGGGAGGACATTAGGTCCCCCCCTATTTTACTGTAGGGCCTCCACCTGCCGCTCAGGGGTGGTGGCCAGGGGGGAGGACATTAGGTCCCCCCCTTATTAGTATTTAGGGCCCCCACCCACCGCTCAGGGGTATGGCCCAGGGGGGAGGACATTAGGTTCTCCCCCCTGTTTCCAATTTAGGGCCCCCACCCACCTCTCAGGGGTGGGGGCCAGGGAGGAGAACATTAGGACCTCCCCCTTATTAGTATTTAGTGCCCCCACCCACTACTCAGGGGTGGGGGTCGGGGGGGAGGACAATAGGAGGGGGGACCCTATTTTTTTTTTTTAACAGTGAGCAGCCACAGGCTGTTCACTGTTTACTAGACATGACCCTACTCGCAGTATAGTGAGTAGGGGCAAAATTTACTAATACTAAGTAATTTTTACTTAGTATTGGTAAATTTGGCCGAAAGACCAATTTAGGTCTTTCAGCCGTTTGGTAGATAACTCCCTAATACCGTGGCAATTAGGGAGTTATCTACTAAGCGGCTGCAAGAGAAGTGCCAAAGTCCCAAAATTCCGAAATGCCTTAGTTCCGAAATTACGAAGTTCCTAATTGTCGAAGTGCCAAAGTTGCAGAATTTGCGAAGTGGCGAAGTTCTGAAGTGCTGAAGGGCAGAAGTTCTGAAGTGCTGAAGGGCAGAAGTTGCCGAAGTGCTGAATTGCCGAAGTCCCGAATTTCGGAATGCCGAACCGAAAATTTAATAGACATGCCCCTACTCGCGGTATGGCGAGTAGGGGCATAATTTACTAATACTAAGTAATCTTTACTTAGTATTAGTAAATTTGGCTGAAAGACCAATTTAGGTCTTTCAGCCTTTTAGTCGATAGCTCCCTTATACCGTGGGAATTAGGGAGTTATCTACTCGTTCATTCCTGTCATTACATTGACTGGCCAAGTAACTTACATTTTATATGAATGTATGTTACTTGATTGTTGTAAGTGTTGCAAATGCTTATAGCTGAATCCTGGCTATGTTTGTATACTTTTTATTTAAAATTGTATACAATGTAACATTCTTCTTCTTTCACTGAGTAAGTATATTAGTACTCAGGCAATACTGTGCTTCGGAACTTCGACACTTCGGAACTTTGAAACTTCGGAACTTCGGTAATTTTGGAACCTCAGCAATTCGGCAATACCCAAATGTCCGAATTGCCGGAAATTCATCCGAATTCATATTCGGACCGAAACGAATTGCACATGTCTATCCTCTAGTAAACTGACCACTAGTTTCATAATTTATGTGAGTCACAGCAGGGCCGAAGACTGTAACAATGAGAGAACTGATGTAACATCTGCGTTTTAATAACACATTATGTGTGTTTGAGATCTATCTTGGCCAGAGAAGAATTAAGATCCCATTGGACCCTTGGCAGGTTACCAATTTGCCCCTTCTTTCATTTTTCACATATGGATCGTTAATGGAGCAAAGCAAATTTATGTTTCAGAGGCCCCGTCTAATCTCTGGCACTAAACAGCTGCCTAAGGTCACCTAATTGTTAATCCTGATCTGATCTTGACTATCCAGTATTTGGCATTAGAAGATCTTTTTACAAAAGACCTCTTTGACTTTGTAATGTATGTAAGCGACGGTAACTATGGTTTGGAGACTTATTACAAGTCAGAATCCCCAATCGGTTTTCTTTACTTAGAAATATATCTCAAGGAGCCTTGAAGGGTTTTGTAACTATCTGCAAGTTTCAGATCACTTATTCAACTTATTGTGCATCTGTTCGACTCAACTGAAAAGACTGGTTCTGTTTGATTCCACATATTTACTCTTGCTAGTGTGTTCATTAGAGGAACAGTATGGATTTTAGCCTTCTGCGTGGAATTATTGATTATCTTCCCCTAAAACCTAAAGGTTTTGACCTTTAAGCACACTTGTCACTATTAGTCAGGCAGATTTTATTTTTACATAAATTCTTGTTTTTGGACAACCCATGCTTTTATTCTTCCTGGGAAATCCCCCAATTTCAACGAACGCTCTCCTGCTTTATAGCAAGCTGCTGATCAAATATTTTTTTAGGCTTCTGACATTCTTCAGTCTTGCAATGTTATCCACTATAGTGAGAATTCAAAGTGAAATTCAAATTTAAGATTAAAAAAGCCAAACTAGGAACACTGTCTAAGTCAGATATGTTTTCAGTTCGGCTAGTCTGAACTTAAATTTGAGCTTCACTCTGAATCCACTTTGAATTCTCACTATAGGGATCAAGCCATTATACAATATTGTGCAGTTGTGTCAGGGTTTCATAAAACTGCAAAAGACGTGAAGGCTTAATAAGAGAAACTCTCTCCTAATAATGTAATCATCATTAAGGCTCAAATATGCTCTTTCTTTAGAACTAATTTTTCTTATATTTGCTCACTTGTTTTAGGTGATGGACCCTTGGTAAATTGAGCCTGACGTTTGCTCTGCATGAAGGCAATGAACATTCCCCATAGAGATTAATTGATTCACTGCATCTCTGTACAAGGAGATGCTGACTGGCGCAGTGCAGTATTTTGCCGCACATGCGCAATAGCCTCCCAATAGATTGGCTGAGATCATCAAGCATGGGAGACCGGTACAGCGTGGGAGAAAACGTGAGTATAAACACCTTTCCTAAGCGATCTAGGAGGGGCTGGGAACCTAAATAGTTAAACAATACATGTTTGTATTCCTGACAGTATATTTGTGCTTTAAAGCATATGTACCAGAACTTCCTCTTCACTCAAAAAAAATCTGCAATGGAGCAGCTTCAGAAGCAACAACCTTGCCTTTAAATATCAGGATTTCAGCCCCAACTAAGGGTTGTAAGGCTGCATGTATAGCTGTGGTTTTCGCTTCTATATATAGATAGGAAGTTCTATTCTCTTTAAATTGACAGGTAGGTACAGATTAACACAAAACACTAGAATATGTTTCTGACAGCTTTGCCTAGTTTTAGTCAGCTGTTTGAATTAATAACTTGCACATATATGGCAAATCTAGCGCATGTACAGCGCAGAATACGCCAGAGCATCCATGGCAACGGAAAGTATTACATTAACTATCAACACACAAAAAACATCACTAATGAGTTAAAATAAAGCACTCACTTACTAATCAAATAACTATAAATTATATCATACTATTTGTAGTCAAAAGAGAAAATATCCAGTGACTCCAAGGTAATATAAAGGCAATTTTATTGGACCCAAATGTCCAGCAACGTTTCGACATTGAAAAAGACCATCTTAGGTCGAAACGTTGCTGGACATTTGGGTCCAATAAAATAGCCTTTATGTTGTCTTGGAGTCACTGAATATTTTCTCCTTTGACTACAAATTATATCAAGGGGCTGGGTGTTGGCCCCTTGGTCCGTTTGCACCTTAGTGTGTGCTTATGGAAGAGTGCAGTTCCTGGTTTGGTTTTTACATAATGTAGACTATGACTGGCGGTAATTGTAAGGATTCTATGAGCAAATAATTTTTCTTTATCACATTTTTATTTGTAGCACTGAGAGTAATTAAAAAAATAATCATAATGTAAGCCAACATGCAATAGCCTTTGAAGCTCTTTTATATAGAATGCTTAGTTAGATAGCCCGTGAGCTTACAATCTAAATGTACTGGATCTGTAATCCCCAGAAGGGGGTTGGTTATATAATCAAGGGACACGTGGCAACTGTTTTATGTGTAACATTAATACTGTCTCCCTTTTCATAAATGACACACTATTTCCTGCTATATTTACCTTTTATATTCAGTTCTGTGCAGAGAATGGTGTCCCTTTCAGATAGTTTCTGGAGTAAGAAACTGGAGGACAAGTCTCCTTTACGCTTTACTGTATCAACCATTTGGCGGCATCTGTCTCTGGTAACAGGATATCTCTGTTTGATGTCGTCCATTTCTGCCTCACTCACTATTGCTCTATCAAGTAGGTCATCGAGCAGACCATCAAGCAGTGCTTGGCTGGCTTTTTCCACCAATTTAGTTCTCACTCGTTGAAGTTCGTCTGCAGAAAAGTCAGTTAGCTACTTATGGCGAGAGAGAGTTTAGCATGAAAATGAGCATCATAGTTATTGTAATATTGGGAATTATACCTTCATGAAACCAGAATATATAACCACCCACCTTTAAATTTAATGATATAATAGAATATAAAACACACATTATTATATTTACAACGTAAAGATTACAACTACTTTTTCCATTCTGTATGGAATTTCTTAAAGTAGTTGATTATTCAGATTGAGGTACAGTTTGAAGCATACAAGAATTTAAAATAACCAGACTTAAAGAAACACTCGAAGCACTATAACCACTATAACATGCTGGTGTGGTTATGGGGCCAGGAATGCACTGGAGCCCTCCCAGGGTAAGTATGTACAAATGGTTTGACAACTCACCTTGGGTCTGCTGTAAGCCTGTTACAGGCTCCCCCGCATTAAGCCATGTAGTGCAGGGCCCTCTCATTGGCTGAGACCTTCAACTGAGTGCAGTGGCGTAACCAGAGATACGGTCGCCCGGAGCAGAACAAAATTACCCCCGCAGTTCCCATCCAACCTGTCCCTCTGGTTGTAAGCCTAATTCAACACATGTAAAGACTATTTGTTGACAAAGTGCATTTCAATTTTTATGAACAAACACTTGTTATTGCAATATAAAAAAATAACTGACGAATTTAAGCATATTTTGTGTAGTTGAATGTATGCATTTAATGTATGTATGTATGTGTGTGCAGTTTCTGCATTTGAATGCAGTTGTATGTTTGTATGTACTGTTGCTATTTGAAAGCAGTGGTATACTTGTGTTTAGTGTTTGAATGTGTTTGTATGTACACTTGATGTTTGATTATTGGGTGCAAAAAGTAAAGGACAAACAGGAGAAAGATAGGAGGAGGGTGAATTATCCTAGTAGAGTGGGTTTCCCTCTCTTACAGGGAAACATATGGGGAAGAGTATAATAAATTACAAAACTTCACTAAATACTAATACTTGGAAAGAATGCCTTACACCCGTGAGAAATACGGTAAAAAGGCAACTCAGTGCCAAAATCTTGTTCAGTTTGTAATTAACTATAAAAACAAGAGAAAGTTGGATAACGCCAGGTAAGTGCCTCTGACGCGAGTTTCGCCGCCATGACTCATCATGGGGCACTTACCTGGCATTATCCATCATTACTAAATCATCAGTGTATTACTCGTATCCGTGCTGTAACATGAGCAGGTCTACACTGCATTACTTGCTCATAATTTTTTGGTGAGCGGCTCTGTGCCATCTGTCATCTGTCAAAAAAGCACACTGAGTTTCCGAATCTTAGGACTAGCTGCCATTCCTTTAATAGCAGCACAGTCAGTATAGCACCTATCTATGCACTAGCTGTCGTTTTTAGTTATCAGTACTGACAGCACGAGAACTATTGAATCTATATGGCAGTCGCTCTTATGTTAATGGCGGGAGGAGGTGTATAGTTTCCCTGTAACTAAGCAGGAGATATAGGCTAGTGCATGTCGGTACCAGCAGGGATGTATTATGTATCATATATTTGCACCTACTCCATTTCCACTCTCTGGAGATAGACAAAATTATTGGATACAAATTACACCGTTTAGTTCACCTAAGCCTATGGCGACAGTATCTCTTTACCGACATCAGCCTGGAAATTAGGATACACCTCCTCATGGATTTTCTTTCCGCTTATATTATACTGTGGTTTTCATCATCTGTGTTATCATTGGTTATACCTGTTTAGTGTCTATATAATACTTTACAGTGTCTGGCTGTAAATACAGCCAAATAGCTCGCTGGATAAACGTATTTCACATTTCGTTCCACTGCAGCTACCTTGATAACGCTGCTTAAACCATAATTATTTCAGTCTACTCAGACAAAACTAAACAAATGAGCGATCAGATACAGTGCTGCTATAATATATCAAATCTAACAGATGTCAAGTCAGACTCTGCACTGACACATTAAAGGGACACTAGAGTCACCAGAACAACTGAAGCTTATTGAATTTGTTCTGGTGAGTAGAATCATTACCTTCAGGCTTTTTGCTGTAAACACCGTCTTTTCAGAAAAAATGCAGTGTTTACATTACAGCCTAGTGATAACTTCACTGGCCACTCCTCAGATGGCTGTTATAGATCCTTCCTGGGTCATGGCTGCCTAAAATGCATCCAAACATTCAGTATCTCCTCCCTCTGCATGCAGACACTGAACTTTCCTCATGGAGATTAATTGATTCAATTAATCGCTATGAGGAGATGCTGATTGGCCAGGGCTGTGTTTGAATGATGCTGGCTCTGCCCCTGATCTGCCTCTTTGTCAGCCTCAGCCAATCCTATGGGGAAGCATTGTGATTGGATCAGGCTACCACTTATGATGATGTCAGCAGACAGCCTTTGAGGCAAACAGCATGCAGATCTACAACTTCAGGCTTGAGCGCAGTAAGATTTTGCTACATTTATGGAGGCATGAGGGACCCGGGGGGGCTAAATGGTGGTTTTAACACTATAGGGTCAGGAATACATGTTTGTGTTCCTGACCCTCTAGTGATCCTTTAAATAAAAACTTTTACCATAACAGTATTCCCCTTACTGACATCACATCGGATAACACATTTTTCCATGGATAAATATTCAATCTACCAAATATATGTTTTATAACAAGTGCTACTTTATGACTTAATGCACTGGTTTTTGTCTATCAGACATAGATAAGTGGCAGCAGCACAACTGCACTGCTGACATATGTTTTATAAACAGTATACTGTCTTAGCCACTTTAACAACGTGATTCTTTCCGATTTTTGTTCAGTGAATATGACATACTACCTTAACTGGCAATAGTGTATTGCATGTATTAACCCTATCTCTTGAGGCTACAGCCACAAATTACAATTTGATCTCCAGACCGTACTGTTTAGACAGCGTCCACCAGGGCCGCCATCAGGGGGTGACAACCACACACTTAGGGCCACCCGATGGGTCCTATATCTTCAGTGGCCCGGTCAGCGCTGTGGCCGCGACCGGGCCCCTTAAAAAAAAAAAAAAGCAGCCACAAGTGCTGCTGGGAGGAAGTGGTCACTTCCTCCCAGCCCACTCCGCTGTGTATGTCTGTCTGTATGTATGTGTGTCTGTATGCATGTGTGTCTGTCTGTCTGTCTGCATGCGTGTATGTCTGTATGTATGTATGTCTGTATGTCTATGTATGTATGTCTGTCTGTTTATGTATGTCTATGTATGTATGTCTGTCTGTATGTATGTATGTGTATGTCTGTCTGTATGCATATATGTATGTCTGTCTGTATGCAAGCGTGTATGTCTGTATGTATGTGTATGTATGTATGTATGTCTGTATGTCTATGTCTGTCTGTCTGTATGCATGCATGTATGTCTGTATGTCTATGTTTATGGATGTATGTCTGTCTGTGTATGTATGTATGTCTGTATGTATGTCTGTATGCATGCATGCCTATGTATGTATGTATGTCTATGTCTGTCTGTATGCATGTCTGTATGTCTGTATGCATGTATGTCTATGTATGTATGTATGTATGTATGTCTATGTATGTATGTCTGTCTGTATGCATGTATGTCTGTGTGTGTCTGTATGTATGTGTGTGTATGTCTATGTTTGTCTGTCTGACTGTATGCATATATGTCTATGTATGTATGTATGTCTGTCTGTATGTATGTGTATGTCTATGGATGCATGTATGTCTGTATGTATGCATATGTATGTATATATGTATGTCTGTATGTCAGTATGAATGTATGCCTGCATATCATTATGAACGTATGTCTGTCAGTATGTCTGTATATATGCATGTATGTCAGTCTGAATGTATGTCTGTATGCCATTATGAATGTATGTGTGTATGGATGTCAGTGTCTGTATGTCTGTCAGTATGTCTGTCAGTATGTCTGTATGTATGTGTCTTTATGTCCTCATGCATGTGTGTCCGTATGTATGTGTCTGTCTGTCACTATGTATGCCTGTGTGTATGTCTCAGACTCAGTATGTGTGTGTCAGTATGTATGTGTGTATGTCTGTTTCAGTATGTGTGTCTATTAGTATGTATCTGTGTCCTTTTGTATCAGTGTGTGTGTTTGTGTCTGTGTGTGTATTCCTGTGGGCGGTATTTGGAGGCAGACCCAGTGGGCGGTATTTGGAGGCGGGCCCCAGACCCTGAGCTGAGTTAGGGGCCCCAAAATTTCTGGTGGCGGCCCTGACTTCCACCTTCAGTGCAAGTTTTTTTTCTGTTGACATCTGCTTACATATTTAGACAGAGTCGCTCTTCTTATCCTTTTATGCCATTAATTCTGTCAAAACAGGATATAGATTTTATTAAAGACACGGAGGCTCATATTATGCATAACTCTTTCTTTATTTCCTCAGCAGCAAAGAAAGAGAAATATAAATATTATCAAAACTGAAGAAAAAACTGTATAGGCACAACAGGTAGCCAATCACAGGATATAGGAAGTAGCTATATAAGTCTTGTGTCTCCCACAATCCTCCTCTTTCTTTGCTGCTTCCTCAGACAGATAAGTACTTTTTCTGCTCTGTGTTGCTGTACATTCTGTTTTTACTGGTAGTTTGTTTTATTGCACTGTTTTTATTGCTATGTGTTTTGGCTGGTTTGCCTAACATACTGTTGATTTTTACTGCGGCTGGTGTTTTCCCTGGGTCCGCGGGTGTTTTCCCTCCCCTGTCGGTGGTTTTTTCCCTCCCTCTACTCCCCTCCCGTGGTTACTGCACGGGTCCCCGTGCTTGTCGTGCCGCAGCCGCCCCTTCTCCCGACCGCGGCAGTGCGCACGCCCCCCCCCCTTCCCTCACTCGCGAGCCGGCTCGGCGGGCGGGTGCACGAGCCCCTTTCCCCGCCGAGTGCTCGCCGCGTGTGCCTTCCCTCGTGCGGCGGCCATTTTGGGCGGTCCTTTGTTTCTCCCAGTGCTGCCGTGCGGCCGGTCACCTCGTTACCCTGCTCCCTGAGAACACCAGCCGGCCAGTCTGTATTGCTCTTGTGGGTTAATCAACCCTCTCCTTCACCTCTCCACTAGTTTTTCTCTAGTCCCTTTAGTTTGATAGACTTACTTTTATATTCATTATTCTCATTTATATAAATTTTCTACTCAGTTTGCTCTGCATTCATTACACATCAGTGTTAACATGCAGGATAGGGGTGATGGGCCTGCTGGTCCCCCTGGGGATTTCCATTTGGACAGCACTGATGGTGCCATAGCCTCCCAGGAATTCCAAGCTATGTTTGAGGCCACTATGGCTTCCTCCATACAAAAGGCTATTGCCTCTGCCATGGGAGCTGTCTCTTCCAATTTTTCCCAATCCCTGCACTCTCTAGTTTTACCTGCTCTGGCCACCCCCGCCCCTTCCCCTGCTCAGACCGTGCCTGGAGCCCGTAAGGCAAGGGCCAAATCCAAACATGTCGGCTCCCACTCCTCGATGCAGGTTCTACCTGCCATGACTGACACGCCTGAGGCGGTCTCAGATAGCGCGCACCCCACGCGCAAAAGAGCCCCTGGCCGGGCTAAAAAGGCTAGACTGTGGAAAAGGGCTAAAGCCCATGATATTGGGTCGGATACCGACCGGAGTGTGGAGGATGAGTCCGACGCTATGGAGTACGACTCCTTTGATCATGATGATTCTGGCGAGGATTTGCCCCTTACGGGCGTGAACCCCTCCGGGTCCTCCGCCATTACCCGGGGCCCCTCACTTGCTCCCCCGGGGGGTGACACCTCGATCCTTGACCCGCAGGGCAACCCCCTGTTTGACCCAGACGACTTACGTCATCCTCGGTCCGCCGAGTGGGTTCCCCCAGATCACATCGCCCAATATGTGGCTAAGCGTATCCGCACGCCACTTTCTAGGGAAGGCCGCAATAAATTGCGCGCCGAGTGCCCACGCCCGTCCCTCCCGGGCGCGGCTTGCAAAACCCCGGACATTGACCCGCAAATCGCTCAATTCCTGAATAAGTCAGGATGGAAGCCCAAGAAGGGCCTGGACCACTCCCTTAAAAGCTGCCAGGACAAGATCCTGGATACACTAGGTCCCCTTTCCAAGCTTTACGAGCTTTTGGATGCTGCCAGGACCGGGGACTCCGTCCTGGACGTGGATGTGGCCGTTGGTTGGGTCCAAAGAGCTATTTGCTTACTGGGGAACGCCAATACGGCCATGTCTACAGAAAGACGCAAGGCGATCCTCCTGAAGATCGACCCTAAATTGGCCGCTATGACTGTGGCGGAGCCTGATCCAACTGAGGAGGGTCTCCTGTTTGGCGCGTCCTTCGTTAAGGATATGGGTGCTTATGTCAAGACCTTTACGGCTATTGACAAGGCACAGGCGAACATGAAGCGCGTGTTCGCACCTAAGGTTTTCGGAGGGGCCGGGCGTAGCAGGAACCGTCCACCCGGCCGTGGTTTCCGAGGCGCATTCCGCGCAACCAGAGGTTCCTTCTTTCCCTCGAGAGGGTTTCAGGAACAGAGGGCCCCTCCCTTCTTCCCGGCAAGAGGTCGGGCCTGGGGATCCAGATACCCCCGCGGTGGTACCCCCGGCAGACGTCCTTACGGTGAGTACCCTTTCTTCCCCTCACGCTCAAGTTCGGGTGGCGGGGAGACTGGCCCTATTTTGTCAAGAATGGGCAAAGATCACCTCAGATGCTTGGGTTTTACAATGTGTAAAGGGGTTTTCGTCTGGAGTTTGTTTCCATGCCTGTCCAGTTTTACTTCCCCAGAGAATTGTCCCTCCCTCAGGAACAGGACGAGATGATCTCCACGGAAGTGGTGGAGATGCTGTCCAAGGGCGCTATAGAGGAGTTGCCGTTCGCCGCCCCAGGCTTTACGAGCAATTTATTCCTAGTGCCCAAGAAAGGAGGCGGAGTTCGCCCTGTCATAAATCTTCGCCCACTCAACGCTTTTCTACGATACCAACACTTCCAGATGGAAGGTATACACTGCCTCAGAGACCTCCTACGTCAATCGGACTGGTTGGCCAAGCTAGACCTGAAGGACGCATACTTTACGGTCCCCATCGCTGTGGAGTTCCGGGATTATCTCCACTTCACCTGGCATGGGCGTCGTTGGCGCTTCACCTGCCTGCCTTTCGGTCTCTCCTCGGCCCCTTGGTGCTTCACCAAGCTCATGAAGCCTGTGGTGACATTCCTCCGAACCCGAGGGGTTCGCCTCATTATCTACCTGGACGATATCTTGATTTTATCCCAGTCACGAGAGGATCTCCTCACACACCTGGGATGGACGACCGATCTCCTGCAGAAGTTGGGATTTCTGATCAATTGGAGCAAGTCGGTCCTGGTCCCTGCCCAGTCCATAGAGTTTCTGGGTTTTCAAGTGGATTCCATCCAGCAGTTCCTGTTCCTCCCGGATGCCAAGGTGAAAGCCATCCAGAAGGAACTTCGGAGGGCCCTCCGTGTTCCAGATTTGTCGGTCAGACAACTGGCGAGAATTATCGGCCTTCTCGCGGCCTCTATTCAAGCAATTTTCCCGGGCCCCCTACATTACCGAGCGCTCCAACGGCTCAAGGGATCACGACTTCGCTCCGGTCATTCATACGAATCTCGGATTACATTAGACGAGGAGTCCAGGGACGAACTGGCGTGGTGGTTGGCGCACATGGAGGCATGGAACGGAAGAGCCATCTTCGGTTCGCCCCGGATGTAGTGATAGAGTCCGATGCCAGCTTACACGGCTGGGGCGCTCGTTGTGGCAACGTCTCCACAGGAGGCAGGTGGTCCGACACAGAGAAGTCGTTACACATCAACTGCCTGGAACTTCTGGCAGGTGCCTTCGCGATCCGCAGCCTTGCTCCGGGGAGGGCGAATTGTTGCGTTCTCCTCAAGATGGACAACGTATCAGCAGTTCGTTACATAAATCACCTAGGGGGCACGAAATCCAAAATGTTGGCGATTCTGGCAAAGGATTTTTGGCAGTTCTGCCTCTACAACAACGTTTCGGTGACGGCGGAACACATCCCAGGTCTGGACAATTCGGGGGCGGATTGGAATTCCAGACACTTACGGGACTCCGGGGACTGGCATCTACATGCTTCAGTGTTCCAGTGCCTGAACAGGTTGTGGGGCCCGTTCCAGTTAGACCTATTCGCATCACGCCTGAACACTCAGCTACCGAGGTTCTACAGTTGGAGGCCGGACCCGGCTGCAATAGCGACAGATGCCTTCCTCCAGGAATGGCCACCGGGTCTGATGTACGCATTTCCCCCATTCAACATGATCGCACGCACGATCTCGAAACTGGTCCGCCACGATTGTCGGATGGCTTTGATCACCCCTCTATGGAGGTCTCGACCATGGTTCCCTCGGCTGATGGAACTGTCCATAGACTACCCTCGTTTACTTCCGGTATTCCAAGACCTCCTTCTGGATCCGGATGGGAACTCTCACGACCTGGTGTTGCAGCATCAGCTACCCCTCATAGCATGGTTCCTTTCAGGGGACCTTGGGTTATCCCAGACGTTTCGCAGTCAACTCTCCGACTCCTCGATAACGCCTGGGCCCCGGGTACACGGACAGCTTACCGACATTCATGGAGATCATGGTCTGGTTGGTGCATGGAACGGGCAATGGATCCCGTATCTGCCCCTCTGCCTTTGATTCTGGAGTTCCTCACGTTCCTATTTGATTCGGGCAAGGCATACCGCACGATCAACCTTTTCCGCTCAGCTATCTCAGCCGGTCACGAAGGTCTAGACGGTTCTCCGGTCGGCAAGCATCCTTTTGTCTGTCGACTTCTCAAGGGTATTCGCCTTGCTCGTCCTCCTCGACCTCGTTTTGCCACCTTTTGGGACGTCAACGTGATGCTACAGTTCCTATCATCATGGTACCCCAATTTGGAGCTGACTCTCAAGCAATTGTCTGCCAAATTGGTTATGTTACTGTGCCTGATTTCTTGCAGAAGAGTCTCTGACGTTCGGGCCCTGGACTGGGACGCCGTTGCATTCACCCCAGAAGGCGTCACCTTCGACATTTCCAGGAGGACCAAGTCTGCATCTAAGTCACTTACATACCCTAGGTTTTCAGACTGTCCAACGCTCTGCCCGGTGGATTGCATCAAGGACTATCTGGATGTTACACGTCCCCTTCGCATAGCAGACCTGCACGATCTGTTCATATCCTTTAAATCACCTCACCGGCCGGTTTCGACTCCTACCCTAGCACGTTGGGTGCGCTGGCTGCTATCCTCCGCGGGTATAGACACCTCAATATTTACGCCTCATTCTGTAAGGGGCGCGATGGCCTCGAAAGCCTCTTCAGTCGGATGTCGCCTAGAGGACATCATGCGAGCGGCGGATTGGTCTCGGGAATCGACCTTCCGAACCTTCTACTTCAGACCAATTGAGCACATCGCATCTCGTGTGGTAGCGCAGCTTTGAACTTGCATAATATGAGCCTCCGTGTCTTTAATAAAATTCCCAGATTTTACTAGTAACATGACGTAAAGTCATGATTTTATTAAAGACACGGAGGCGAGTATTATTCCCTCCCACCCTCCCGGAGTGGAGTTGGGACAAGAGATGCTTGGTGGCTCTACAGGTATGTTTTTTCCAGTTTGGTCTGTACTCTATCAGTTTGATTTGCATCTTTTGTACGGGTTGTTGTACCTTTATGTTGTGTACTAATTCTGATGTTTTATATTTCAGGACTCTGTTTTACCTGTGTCTCCCCAAGTTTATGTTTGGTAAGTCTGCAGTTCTGTATTAAGAAATTACCATATTTCTCTATCTTTTTTAGCTTGAAATTGTCGCATCGTTTCCTGTTACCCTGTTTCGACCAAGTGGGACATCGTTCATCTTACCTGGTCTTCGGTTCGCAAGAAAGAGGGGGATTGTGGGAGACACAAGACTTATATAGCTACTTCCTATATCCTGTGATTGGCTACCTGTTGTGCCTATACAGTTTTTTCTTCAGTTTTGATAATATTTATATTTCTCTTTCTTTGCTGCTGAGGAAATAAAGAAAGAGTTATGCATAATACTCGCCTCCGTGTCTTTAATAAAATCATGACTTTACGTCATGTTACTAGTAAAATCTGGGAATTTTGTTTGCTATTGTAGCAACTTTCTCTTGTTTATATAGTTAATTACAAACTGAACAATATTGTGGCATTGAGTTGCCGTTTTTACCATATTTCTCACGTGTGTTAGGCATTCTTACCAACCCCTATTTAAGCTTGCTTAAAATTAAAAGTTAAGTTTTAGTATTTAGTGAAGTTTTGTAATTTGTTATTATACTCTTCCCCATAAGTTTCCCTGTGAGAGAGGGAAACCCACTCTACTAGGATAATTCACCCTCCTCCTATCTTTCTCCTGTTTGTCCTTTACTTTTTGTATTTTTGTAATTCACTAGGGGCTAGCCCCCACTAAGGAGAAATCTATCGGATACCTGCCTCTTTTTTTTTTATTGATTACTGGGTGCACATACACTGCCCTGCACATACACACTGAAACACAAACACGTAAACACTGACATATACACACACAGATACACACTGACAGACACACTCACTGACAGGCACACAATCTCACCAGTTTGAAACACTCACTTACAGACATACACTCTCAATGACAGACACAATCTCACTGATTTGAAACACTCACTGACAGAGAAACACTCACTGACAGATACACTGACACTCCCGTTGATGGACACACCTTCACTTACAGTTACACACTGACAGACACACTCACAGACAGACACACAAACACACATATACTGACAAATACACACATACATGACAGACACATCACACATTCTTGCACACACACTCACAAATTATTTCTATTTATTGTGGTGTCATTTTTAGGTGAGCTGGTATGGGTCTTCTCCCTGGGATCCGGGGGGCTCCTGCAATCTCCCAGGTCCTCACACTGCTCCCTCTGGAGTAACGTCATATTCCGACTCCCGACATCACCACAAAGGGCGCGCAAGGAATCAGCGAGGAACTGAAAGATCAGCACTAACTTGCCGCCTTCCTCCTCAATCCAGCAGAGTAAGCACCTGCTGTCCAGGTTAGCAGGTACCTACTCGATCTGAGGGAATAACTGACCACTCTGGGGACACACTAAGGTAACCATCGGCATGCTCCTCTCGACGCGTTCTCTAGTTACACCACTGACTCAGTGCTTACAGTCAAACTAAAGTTAAGGAAACCAGGAAGTGAAAAGGTATTTTTATAAGTAGTACTGCTTCCATAATATTTATCACAATTACCATTGTTTTGCAAATGTCTCCTAATGCAATCAAGGGTATTATACGGGAGATTTAAAGGTGACTACAAGATGCAAACATTGATTTTAAATGAAAAGAAATGCAAGAAAAAAATACATATAATAGGATTTAATTCTAGACGAGTTAAAAATGGTTAATATAATCAAGTACTATTTAACCCAAATGGTTGCTGAATGTGGTGCAATACAAATACTGATTCTGACTCAAGTGGTTCAAAAATGTAAGAAAAAAACTGCTGTAAATTAAATAGTTATTCACTGCAGTGTACTGTCTTTTATAAATATTGGAGTTTTCTTTTTAAATCATAGTGCCTGAACACAGGCAGGTATTGAGTCATTAGACCAATCATTGTGATTCATTCATATAGAAGAACTCCACATGAAAAATACATGCTGAATGTTCAACTTACCACATACAGATTATACTTACCAGCCATGTCTTATCAGCTCTTACACACCATAGAAACAAAAAATATTCACAGTGTGGCTGTGAACTTTGTCTTTGCATGAGCACAGAGAAACAACTGCACAGGGTTGCATTTACAGGAAACAGGAAATTATTGTTTAAAGCAAAACTGAAACTTATCTTTCACGTCTCTTCATTGGACACAAAAATACACCCCCATTCAAGCTATTCTGTTTCTTGAACATCAAGGAAGTTACATTCCAAAACATAGAGACTGTCCTGGAGCTAATTGTTGGCAGGGTCGTACCTCGAGCTTTGACACCCAGGGAGAATCCTATATTTGGGACCCTGTCTCCCCAAACTTTAAAAATGTAAAAAACGCCTGCAAAATATTTAAATGTGTTTGGGACTCAGCAATGTTTGTGGATTTTTTTAATGTATTTAACACTGAGCAGTGTTTGTGTGTTTGAATGTGTAGCGGACCCCGGATAACCTGACCAGTAACGTCCGCTAATGCCTTCCTTCATTAAACCAAGCAGACCTCCATTCCCCCCAGTAACTGGATGACACACAACTCTGGGAGTACAACACTATTTTATTGCGACACACACGGCTTTCACGCATAACCTCCTGCAAGGGGTCTTCCACACAAACAAACCGGGGTTTCCATCCCAGGATCCTCTGTACCTGGGAGCCAAGGCACTGGAAAAGAGACCTAGCCTCTGTCTCACAGGTACAGAAAGCCTGCCACACATGCAAGTAAGTTACGTGGTGACGATTTTTACGGCAACATCGGCGGACGGTGGACCTGCACAAAAACTGTAACTACCCCAAGAACAGTGAGCTGGATAAATACAGTGACATTTACTGTTTGAGTTACCGTATTTATCGGCGTATAACACGCACCGGCGTATAACACGCACCTCATTTTCTGTTTCCTGTACCCGGTCGGACTGACAGGAAGGTGCACACTGAGCGTGCACCTTCCTATCACTCCGGCCGGGCACCGTGGACAGCAGAGCAGCTCGGCCACGCTACAGGGGAGGGGAGGTGAGAACCAACTGCAGCCGCCTTGACAGAGCGCTCAGGCGGCTGCAGCATTTAAAGGTCCGGCGTATAACACACACCCATAATTTGCCCCCTATTTTCAGGGAGAAAAAGTGCGTGTTATACGCCGATAAATACGGTATATATCTTTTATATATATTTATATTTTATTTATTTTTAAAATGGAAATAAAGCTGAGTAATCCTTGAAAGATCTCCGGAGTAATTAATCTCTATATTGTAGGTTATATACAAAGTGGATACAAGTCATTATAACCAAAGTGTAACAGAATAAGGTGAGAGCTCCACATAGGGTGCATATGGTGGAGGCTCTTTACCTAATGTTATCACACCATTTAAGCCTTGTATTTCCCTAGATAACAGCTTAACCCCTGGAGTGCTGAAAAAAAAAAAGTGGTTATCTTTTGAGATTTGGACTGCTCATTTCAGGGATTCATTTCTGGGACTCTCTGTGCTGGAAGTTGTTTATATTTAATGAAAACGTATTTTTGTGTGAGCACACATTCTGTATAAATTACATCTATAAGGTTAATAGGTTATAATTATAATTTCTTATTTTTCTGTACTTTCCAACTGGAGAGCTTTCAAAAAAGATTGTGCGCTAACTCATTGTCAAATACATTAAAATGGCAATTAAAGGTTAATATCCCACACCTGTGGCTTTTTAAATTGCAATTAGTGTCTGTGTATAAATAGTCAATGAGTTTGTTAGCTCTCACGTGGATGCACTAAGCAGGCTAGATACTGAGCCATGGGGAGCAGAAAAGAACTGTCAAAAGACCTGCATAACAAGGTAATGGTAATGGGACTGTATAAAGATGGAAAATATATAAAAAGATATCCAAAGCCTTGAAAATGCCAGCAGTCAGCACTGTTTAATCACTTATTAAGAAGCGGAAAATTCAGGAATCTCTTGATACCAAGCCATGGTCAGGTAGACCAAGAAAGCTTTCATCCACAACTGCCAGAAGAATTGTTCGGGATACAAAGAAAAACCCACAGGTAACCTCAGGAGAAATACAGGCTGCTTTGGAAAAAGACGATGTAGTTGTTTCAAGGAGCTCAATATGACGATACTTGATCAAAAATTAGCTGCATGGTCGCGTTGCCAGAAGGAAGCCTTTACTGCGCCAATGCCACAAAAAAGCCTGGTTATAATATGCCCAACAACACCTTGACATGCCTCACAGCTTCTGGCATACTGTAATTTAGAGTGACAAGACCAAAATAGAGCTTTATGCTCACAACCATAAGCGCTATGTTTGGAGAGGGGTCAACAAGGCCTATAGTGAAAAGCAGGGCTGCCATCAGAAATTTTGGGGCCCCTGACACAGCTCAAGGTCTGGGCCCCCCGGTGCCCGCATCCGAGTCCGCCCAAAGTGCTGCCCCCCCCTCCCCCCCCCCCGAGTCCGCCCACAGGAATGCAGTGTCTGCAGGGCCGGTGCAAGGATTTTTGCCGCCCTAGGCAAAAGTAAAGTTTGTCGCCCCCCCATGTGACATCACAATGCCCCACCCATATGATCATCCATGTTAACTAACACCAGTGCTGCAGTGCCGCCGTGTTTACATTAAACGGCCTGCAGGGACAGGCTAGACACCAGAACCACTACATTAAGCTGTAGTGGTTCTGGGGACTATAGTGTCCCTTTAATGTGAGGTAAATTAGAGATTAGTGCCACAAATAATATACTAGATTGCCTACTTACAACCAGATGAGGATGATGATGGGCTCTAGCTGCAGTCTGGCTCCACTGGTCTGGTGTAGAACAGGCTCTCTGGAGGCGTTTTGTAACTGTGGTCACAAAAATCAATGTTCTGGGATCAACGGGAATCAGCTCCATTTTTTGGAGGGCCCTTTAAACAGCTCAAGGTCTAGGTCCCAGGGTCCACCTTCATGTTCCACCAATGAGTTTGTTCACAGGGGGTGGAGTGTGTGTGGGGGGGATGTCCTGATGTGTGTAAGGAATGCATTGTGTGAATCTGTGTTTGTATGTGTAAGGGCTGCAAGGTGAGTTTGTGTATGTATGGGATGCAGTGTGTGCGTCTGTAAGGGATGCATTGAGTGTGTGTAAGGGGTGCATTGTGTGTGATGGATGTCAATCTCTCTCCCTCCCCCCGTCAATTTCCTTCTCCTTCTCCCCCCTCCAATTTCCTTCTTCTCCCCCTCCCTCCCTCCAATTTCCTTATTCTCCCCCTTTCTCCAATTTCCTTCTTCTCCACCCTCTCCTTCTTCTCCCCCCTCTCCAATTTCCTTCTTCTCCCCCACCCTCCAATTTCCTTCTTCTCCCCCTCCCTCTCCAACTTCCTTCTTCTCCCCCTTTCTCCAATTTCCTTCTTCTCCCCCCTCTCCTTCTTCTCCCCCTCTCCAATTTCCTTCCTCTCCCCCCTCAAATTTCCTTCCCTCCTCTCCCCCAAATTTCCTTTCCCTAAAATTTCCTTCCCTCCCTCCCTCAGTTCCTTCCTCCCCCCTCAAGTTTCCTTCCTCCTCCCCCTCCCTCCAATTTCCTTCCTCTCCCCCCCTCAAATTTCTAACCTCTTCACCCCTCCCTTAAATTTCTTTCCTCCCCCCCCTGCCTTAAATTTCCTCCCCCCTCCTCCAATTTCTTTCCTCCTCCTCCCTTAAATTTCCTTCCTCCCCACCTCCTCAGTTTTATTTCCTCCCCCCTCCCTTAAATTTCCTTCCTCCCCCTCCTCAATTTCTTTCCTCCCCCTCCTCCCTCCCATAAATTTCCTTCATCCCCTCCCTCCAATTTCCTTCCTCCCCCTCCCTCCCTCCCCTCCCTCCAATTTCTTTCCTCCCCCTCCCATAAATTTCCTTCATCCCCCCCTCCCTCCCATAAATTTCCTTCCTCCCCCTCCCATAGAATTTCCTTCATCCCCTCCCTCCCATTTCTTTCCTCACCCCTCCCATAGATTTCTTTGCTCCTCTCCCTAAATTTCCTTCCTCCCCCTCCACTCCCTTAAATTTCCTTCCTCCCCCCAATTTCTTTCCTCCCCTCCTCAATTTCCTTCCTCCCCCCCACTCCCTCCCGTACCTTCCTCCCAGCTTCCTCCCCCCTCCCTCAATTTCTTTCCCCCCCCTTCCTCCCTTAAATTTCCTTCATCCCCATCCCTCCAGTTTCCTTCCCGCCACCTCCACCTCCAATTTCTTTCCTCTCATCCCATAAATTTCCTTCCTCCCCTCCTCCCTCCCCTAAATTTCTTCACTCCCAGTTTCTTCCTCCCCCCCTCCCTCCAATTTCTTTCCCCCTTCACTCCCTTAAATTTCCTTCCCCCCCCCACCCCACCTGGCCGGCCGGCGCGCGAGGGAGCACTCTCCTCTGCTGCTTCCTCTTCAGCCCCCTCGCGCGCCACGTACTGATGCCGGAGCCGGAAGATGACGTCATCTTCCGGCTCCGGCTTCTGGGGGGCCCTGAGGTGACCGGCTGCTGGGCCCCCCAGGAGAAGAGGCTGGCCCTGTGGGTACATACCGGGGTCGCAGGGCCCCCTGCGACCCGGTATGTACCCACTTAATGTGGGGCCCGGACGACCTGAGCAGTCCGGGCCCCCCAGGACCGCCGGGCCCATGACAACCGTTACGGTTGTCATGCCCTGATGGCGGCCCTGGTGAAAAGAATACCATCCCCACTGTGAAGCATGGTGGTGGCTCACTGATGTTTTGGAGGGGTGTAAGCTCTGAAGGCACAGGGAATCTTGTGAAAATTGATGGCAAGATGAATGCAGCATGTTATCAGAAAATACTAGCAGACAATTTGCATTCTTCTGCATGAAGGCTGCACATGAGACGCTCTTGGACTTTCCAGCATGACAATGGCCCTAAGCACAAGGCTAAGTTGACCCTCCAGTGGTTACAGCAGAAAAAGGTGAAGATTGTGGAGTGACCATCTCAGTCTTCTGACCGTAATATCATCAAGCCACTCTGGGTAGCTATACCACCTGCACGAATTAGGCAACTATACCACCTGCAAGAATTAAGGACCTCATAGACAACTATTACAAAAGACTGCACACTGTCATTGATGCTAAAGGGGGCAATACACAGTATTAAGAACTAAGGGTATGCAGACTTTTGAACAGGGGTCAT